CATGTAGACAGTTCATGAGATCCTCTTGATTAGGGCTGAAATGAATTTCTGTGGGCATGGAAGGCAATTTTATGTTACTACGTATACACATTGTTCCAATATTTTTGATGAGTAAGTGGAAAATACACATGCCTGTGATACTAGATCAATCTATGAAACACCTGCGAATCACGTTCGCGGATCAGGGAATGGAGAGGTTCCAAGATCGGTAGTGAACAGACAGAGGGTCGAAGCCGAAGTGGGTCGATGGGTACTCAGGCCGTCTTAGACCTAGCTGCCACGCCAGTTTTGGGTCCCCACATGACTCAAAAGCAGCGTGGCATGTCCAGCATTAGATAAGAACAGGCGTGATGTACGGGTCTAATTGTGCTGTCAAGAACAACTTTTAATTTCTTATCAAAGTAAAGTCAGGAATAGTTCCTTGAATCTTAGTGATATTGTGAAAATGGTAGTGACTCCTAAGCTGGGATCTCCAATTAAATTGCCAGTTCAAGGAGTCCCGCGGCATATGACACTACCTGAAACTCTAGACATTTAGTCAAATTTTGTGAAGTCTGGGTCCCCTTACAACCAGCTGAACTGCTTCTTCATTAGCCTATCACTGACTTGGGGACTGGTCAGCACTATCAAGTTTTCTAAAGGCTCCCACTTGGCTTATGTCTACTAAGAATAGATTAAAGAAAGGGACCTACAGGCTGAGGACTTCAAAGAAACATCTCATCCGAATCTAGTTAACTTGAAAGAGGTATTCATTGCGAAACAGAACATCTTCTTCCTTTATAATACCTGGGGTATCTTGCTAGAGGAGATTTAATAATCATCATCTAAATTTTGCTTAGGTAAGGTGGAGATTATAACAATCTCAAAAGGGCTATATAAACTTTAGAATATCCTTCTAGAGATGAACTATGCTAACATCCTTAGATCCTGCAAGCTTTGAAGTACATGCATGAAGTGCTTGGGATCTGCCATAGGAATGTCACACCTTCCACAGTCTTAATCAACCAAGAGGGAATAGTCAAACTGGGTCAGTGCCATCCGAAAGGTATACATTGAAAATGACCTGGCTATTAACAGGCTTCATAGCCGATGTTAGAAGCAGCCTGATTAGGGAATTAAAGAGACAGCAGAAGAGCAAGGACCTTCAGGCTGTTTACTTAATAGCTTACTTACTCTTGAGACTGGATGAGACATCTGCAATTTATGGGACAATGGGACTGCTTGCAGAGGACTTCACCAGGTCCTCTGGGAGAGCAACCGCAGCGGACCTTCTAAAGGTGAGTGGAACTTCAAACAGATCAATAGCAGCCAACTTATCAAGATTAGCATCCTTTCCTACGCATTAGCCTGGGACTGAGGTGTCTGCATCCAGTAAGTGTCCTCTGCGGGATTGCTTGATAATGAGTCCTAGGAAGGATGATACTGGCCCCCGGCAGGATGAAGGCATAGGAATATTTGGGGGGGAATATCAGTGCATCATTTTTGGGTCACAGATTTTTGGAATTTGTTTAATACACCCTTGACCAAGCTATGTATACTCTGTAAAGCATGTTGGACTGAGTCAATAGAGTAAATTAATCTGTCAAAGGAGACAAATTCAGACAATTACAATATATATTAATGATATCATACCCGTAGAAAAATATTACATATCACCTTAGTGAAACACAAACAATAAAGAAGGCTGCACGCCTATTTCAGAGTCATGACTATCCTCCCTATCCAGCAATATATAAGAAGATCTAATACTGCACACAGGTTCTACTGCTATTACTCATTACAGGCCAGTATGGGTTAAATAAAGCCATTTGATGATCTTGAAACCAATCTGCCTGAGGCTGAAAGTGCTTCAGTCATTAAGACATGTTATGTGTGCATGCTCCTTGAGCTTAACTATATTCCATGGTTCTATAATACCTCAGCTAGCGCTGCGCACTGGGCACTGCTTACTAGATATCTGGTTATTCCAGGAATATTTACCTCTCTTCAGAAGTCCAACTTCCTTACAGAAGGTCTGGAAATGAACTGTGCTGGAAAAGCCATCCTTAGTATAATCTAGAATCCGCCCCTCCTTGCTATCACTTGCTTTTTGATGGTTCTGGGCTCAGTAATGATTTCTTGGCTAACCTAGGAGCGGAGGGAGAATTACATATGGCTTATAAACTAGTTGTTTATGTCAGTCTGTCAGTATCTTTTGTAAATTCAGATGCTGATAGTTTGATAGACCAGTTCTTCTGAATGTGATAGCAGGGTTACTCACCACTTTCATCAATGTGTATACAGCGCAAAATGGTGAATGGTTAATAATAGCTGTTGTGATGGTTATTATCACCAGGATGTCTATAGCAGTCGCCTTGAGCTTGACCATAATATACAAGTTCAGAAAGCTAGAGAGGGTGAAGAGAGAATATGAGATGGAAATAAAGGCTAGCTTCCATGTAGTTTCACACAAGGCCAGCGATCCATCCACTGGCGAAGTGGGACCTGGCAGCTAGAGAAAATCAGTGGCTAGTTTCTCATCTCAACTTATCAAGGAATCATCAGCAGGACTGTACAGCACATTAACGTGCTAGGATTGCTGCGTGGTCATTAAAGGATAGACTGGACCTGCCATTTACAAGCAGCTGCTTCGGGGCAAGTTTTACTACTAAAGCAAAGCCTGTATTAATTAGTTTATTATTGATTAAGTAACAGGCTAAAGAACTCAATATAGCAACTAATAAGTATCAAGCAAGTATCTTCCAAACCTTTCAATCCCTCCGCTCCACAAGAAGCTTCAGGATCCCAGAGCACACCTCAACCACTTTGGCTTGATACCAGAAGGATAACATAGTAGGTGCGCTCAATTAACTTGTGAAACTAGGATATTACATCTAGCCAGTCTTAAAATATTAGCTTGCTTTTAGGGGTCCTTTCAAAGAGGTCCTCTAGGATTAATAGTTCTCAGATAACGGACCACGCCGGAACTTGCGCGGGGTCGCTCAGCATCCGGACACGACCTGGCAAAGAGTATGGTATCAACCCTTCAAAAGATGGTTTGATCTCCTAAGATCATAGACCTAGACCATAAAGGTAATTTTTTCCTCGCGCTGCGGAATGGGGGCAACCTGGGAAAGGTAAGTCTTATGCCTCTCTATAAAATTAACAGATGCTAAGGGACCTATATCCAGTATTATACATACAGACATGGTGACCATTTATATAGATGACAGTGATTTACCATTTTTTGTCCATTCAGGAGTGCTTCAGGCTTTTCCACTGGCTATCAGGCAGTCTATCAAGGCGTCAAAAAGTAATGAGAAGAATACTCTTGCGCTTCTGGGTTGGATGGACGAGCTCACCTTTGAGCTGTGCTGTGAGTTTGTATACACAGGCGATTTTTTTGTGCCTGAACCATTCCTGGCAACGGTCAATGGCTATGCAACGATGTCAACATTAGGAACAGCTATGTAGCCATATTCAGGCATGCTCATGGCACAGAATTACCCTCCTAGTTTGGTATAACAATTTCCGCCATTCTCATGGGGAGACATTGAACTCGGCGTTTCCCGTGATGATACTCTACCCAACATACACCTAGATGAAGTTTGCAATGAAGTACTCCTGAGTTACACTCACCTCTACCAGTTAGCTCTAAAATCAGACTGGGAATCCTTATGTGCAGCGGCCCTCCAATGTTTAACTATCACATTAGCATACTTTACTCATTCTGAAGAGTGCATCTACAGCACTGTGGAGCTGCTACATTTTGCATTTAACAGAGATATTAAAAATGTAGACAGCTTGCATCACTTATTTTAAGCATATGTAGCGTGGAATTTATCTACCCTACAGCCAGACCCTGGCTTCCATCAGTTTCTAGAAGGATGGACAGGTTGACTGTCTCAATATAAGATTTGATTGCAGGCTAAATATGGATTAGCGAAAAGTACGGCAATTATCCCTATCAGGCATCTAGTGGTCTCGCTCTTAAAAGATATCATAGTGGTTAGACTCCTCTTTTGTTCTTCTGTATATGATTGTCGGGAGTCCACGAAGCTGTGTAATCTATGTACAGTAATGACTGAAGAACACATAGAGAGATCCTTTATCTTGGTCAAGCAAAAACCTCTTAGCGACAGAGTGAAAATTGGAAGACCACTATCTATTCATGAACCAGGCTATCTAGATTAAGACCTTTAATGATGTCTTTCAACGCGCCAAATAGTACCCCAAAGGATGAGTGAGGGCAGCGGTGCTGATACATGGTATAACGGGATGATGGACCGTACTACCCTGGCGATCTGAACGATGACACTCTCTGCACAAGGGATTTGTAGGTTAAATTCTGAAAAGGTGCTGCAGGCCTTGGCGAAAGCAGAGCATTCAACTGTATTTGCTGTGTAAGAGCTCTATACATAATTAAGCTATATTCATAGCCACACCCTTGGTTGCCGCTTAGGAGTTTGTCATGTGTCTCATGGAGCAGGAGACATAGGCCATCGATCGCTCTTTGCCTATGGTCATTCATCGATCCTGCTTCCTACTATTAGTCAAGCACGATTGACGGCTTATGTGTCCTTACTAATGACATTATCAGGGATCAGAAGCCCCAGATTATCAATCCGATTATTACTGCACGACATGGCAGTTGAGGTAGCTTCTCTGAACTGTGCAGGAAGCTGGAAAAACCATGAAATCCATAGCCACAAAATCACATCCCGAGAATATGATTTAGGGATAGCTTCCTCCAGAGCATTTATCCATGTATCCACCAGGATGTCTAGATCCTCCCTGCAGTCATAGTAGCTGGCTAAAACAGCAACCTTCGCGAGCGTCTCAAGGGTGATCTTCCGCGGTACATGGTAGTATTGGCCATGAACGACACAAAGGAGGATTAAGAGAGCATCAAGATCTCAGGTAACTGCAGTAATCTCGACTGAGCCTTTTTGCGGGTAAGTACGGCTTTCCTTCCAAGCACCTTTGAGTAATTTCTTGAAGAAAGATGAGGCAAGGATTAAATGCTTCGCGGATACTTGGATGCGGAAGCAACTTTCATCCAGCTGGTCAGCGACTCGAGTTTCCGCAGGTACTTCAACAGCAGGTTCTTCAACAGCAGGTTCTTCAACAGCAGGTTCTTCAACAGCAGGTTCTTCAACAGCAGGTTCTTCAACAGCAGGTTCTTCAACAGCAGGTTCTTCGGCAACGGTCCATCCGGTAGTTGGCCATTCAGGAGCGGCCTCTTCAACGACTAATCATCTAGGAAGAGCTACTAATGGCAAAAAAGGCCGTGCTGGAGTGCGCAAACCAGCTACTCTAAGAGATCATAGATAATCAGCTTCCCTTTGGTGGAAAGACTTTTGTTGGACTGGGTGACTTCCATTAAGTAGCACCAGTAGTCCATAGTAGCTCTGGCCTATCTGCCACACTGAATAACTCTATTCACTTCTTATATCTCTGGAGCCACTTCAACATCCTGCGTCTGACCATTCCCATCCAGTATGCAGGGGATGTGGCTTACACCACCTGGGTGGACCAGCTCAGTGATGGTGTGCTGCTATTTAAGGCCACTATGCTAGTGCGGCATCTGCAGCATCTTAAAGACATGGATGATGCTGCAAGGTTCCTATTCCTTAATAACTCCCTTGCTCACTCCCCTGATGCCATCTGCTAAGTGTTCCTAAGCCCCTTTATTACGCAGGTAGATGTGTTTAACTAACTGCTGTTCAACTCCCTGTCAGGGCCTGCTAGTAAAGTCTCCCCCTCTGCTGATGTCTGCTCAGTATACTAACTAGAAGGAAGCTGCTTACTACAGTCACAATATAATTAAGGAAATAGATAAATCCAGCTTCCACCTACCAACCAGTGCAGAAGCTGATCTTCTTAGCATATTGCATGAGCCAGGTGTCCCACCACATAACCTCTCTCTTGAAATTAGCTGCGTCGCGAGCATCATGCACAACCTCTCCAGAAAAGGGCCTAGTCAAGAATGTGAGGGTGGAGGTGGTGAACTTACTTGCTAATGTCGTCCAGGTGTGTCTCCTGCAACAGACCCAGCTACTGAGCTCTTAAACTACTGGTGAAGAGACGCAGATCTTCTGCCTCCCTCATATCACCTTTGAGTTCCAACCGCATCGTGCCAATTGGACTGTCCAGCGTCACCAGTTCCCACTCCAACTAGCATATGCCACAACTTTCAACAGTTGCCAGGGCCTGACACTAGACCATGTCATGCTCGACCTTACCATGCCAGTATTTGCACATGGCCAGCTCTACACTAGCCTGTCTCGCGTCCGGCGTGGAGCTGACATCTGCATCCTCCGGAACCCTTGGGAGAGCGACAAGCCAACGCTCAACGTTGTCTATCGCGACCTACTCCTTCCCATATGAGTAGTCCTTCTACTGAATAAAGGAGATTGCCGTACATCACATGAAAACGGCCGTCGCATTATACTTCAGGATAAGTAGATAGATACACCATGTATGAAGATTAATTCATGTGCAAGCGGCGGCCGTAAGGCCGCCGCCAACGCAACTCGTAGTTATCTTATAATTAACCATGGTTATGATAATTATTCCAGTATAAATTATAGGAATCAGTATTATTATTATTACTATCTCCTAGATTATCCAGATCATTTTATTACGTTATACTAGACAGTGTTCAACACAAAGGAGGGTTTATGTATTGGATGGACACGTACTACTTTTGACCACTCAGTTAATCACCAATTGGCTATTAGTCCACTAAAGAGCTTGTTATCGCTAGTACAATGCACTCAGTGCTTCGGTCCATTATTTATCAGCGCAGCAAACAACCTCCCGAATATGCTCACTCTCTCCTCTGTGGTCAGGAACTTCCTCCAGCACTGGTCATCAAGGCGCACTTCCTCAAGTCTAGTGTCCGTTCCATCAAACACATTCTGAAGCCTCCTAATATTGTATGGCTCCCATGGAGCCTCGCCGTATGTATGGCACAATATCATCCGGGAGAAGGCGTCGGCAGTGGCTTGACAGGACCGTGGTGCTGCAGGACCAGCTACCGCGGGATAGCGACACAGGTACGTGTTGTCGAGCACATGAAAGGCGTTTCCTCGGAGGGGACTGTTGCTTTCTTCGTCAACCTGATCAAAGCGGTAGACATACAGGTATGGTGAGTCAGGGCTATTACAGGCCCTGGCGAGATTGTAAGGCAAGCGGGAAAAGCAAGCATCTGTGGCGACCCTGATAAATCCACGCAGTGCTTCCGTGTCGGAACCAGCTTCCAGGATGCCGTATTCGTTCAGAACCTCAGTGCTGAAGTTAGGATCGCTAGGGAGCGATAGAGAATAATTCAGGCTGCTCTTAACCATTGCCTTCGTTTGCCAAAACCTTTCGAGCCCAAAGATGGACAACTCATCTCGCATTGTTCCAACGACTATTCCCTGTACCCAGCTGGGAAAGGGCTCTGCGCTGTCCAGTGGTGACGTGGGCGAGCTATGGCCAACGAACCATTTAGGGTCCCAAATTGGAGACATTAACAGATCGTTCCATGCGATTAACTGCTCGGCTGAAACTGACCGTAATGCGGCGATCTTCTCATCGACAGTTGCACCCTGAGGGACTCCGGCACACTGCAGGAGCTTATTGAACTTTAACTCGGCCTCTTCGGGCAGGATCATGGTCCAGGATGGGGCCGATTGTATGATGGCGCGTTGAAAAAGTGGCTGGTCTGATCGCAGATGAGCGAGGACTGACCACGCCCCGGCCGACTCTCCGGCAATTGTTACGTTGGAGCCATCACCGCCAAAAAGGTGGATGTAATTTCGGACCTGTAGATGATGGTCAGCATGGGAACTGCATAGCGTGGTGGACCTCATGAAACAGCTGACGAACCCACTGAAGCGCAAGACGTTGGTCGTGGAGACCCTGATTCGCCCACCCAACTTCTCCATACTGAGCTGCCTCTTCCGAGAGCTCTGACGAGGATAGGAAGCCCAAGAGCCCTAACCGATAGTTGATGGAGACAAACACGATGGGCTTTTTGTTCTCAACTGAGTGCCGCACCAAGAAGTCGCCAGCTAACGCCCTCTATTAGTCGAGAACTGGGGGTAACATAGCGTACAGGCTATCGACTCACAAAAGTCAGCGTTACCGTTTTCGATTGCCCATCCACCTCCATGAATCCATACAAGAACAGGGACTTTCTCTCCAGATGAAATCACCACCTGAGGCGTGTAGATATTCAAGCGCAGGCAATCAAACTCCGACTGCTTCAGATTCGCGGCCGGTGCACCAGCGAAGAGGTGTTGCCGGAACTCGCGAGAGTTATCAGGTGGTTGAGGAGAGATTGGTCCATACTTGGTTGCATCAACACTACCATCATGACCAGCGGGGTGCACCAGCTCAGCCTGGCGGAAGCGAGCGGGAATCCTTGCGAACTGAACACCAAGAAAATGGGCTACCCCGAGTGTCGAGACAAAGCCATGGAACTCTGACTTGTCACTGATTCTAACGTCGATGCTGCTGGTCTGCACGCCAGCCTGCACTGATTGAGGCGTTGACATCACTTTGGAGGCGGCAACTCCTATACCGAGCGGCGGTACGATGAGGACTCAGTCTGAACAAAACTGGTAGGAGTGCTCAGGCCTCCATCTACTTAAGTTATAGAGTCTATAGATGGACTCCGACGACTATCCCTGTTGTGAGACCTCGGATGAAGTTGACGGCAAGAAACGAACCATGCCAGATTCCATAATAGGTCCGGAGATGCCGTCAGGCAACTATTGATAAGCACCTGCCACGAAATGGAGCTCAATTTGCGTCAAATTTGGGAAGCCATACTCATTGGCACGGTCCTTTTGAAAACTTTGGCCGCGGAGATGTCTATCGACGGGGCCGCTGGCTGAGCAAATAGCCGTTCACCGTGACCCCATACAGCCGCCTGGGTTATACACCGACTCAAGACAGTGGCTCCTATAACAACAATGACTATGGGCAGACATTGTCTCTTGAACCATTAACCCGCGGCCCGAATAGTGCTGCAATACGCATCTTCTCTCACCCCGAGTCATTAACCTCCATCCTGGGGGTGACAATATTTATGGATTCTACTAACCATGGACTGACCTCCACAACCTGATCCCATATTCTAGTTCGCTAATAGATCTGTAGTCATACACTACCGTCAGATACGGACGAGGCTGGAGTTCAATATAGATATTTCTCGGGTCTAGTGCTATAATGTACGAGAGACTAACAATTGTATCATTGAAGCCTAAAAAGTGGCATCCTCGAAGTCCGACCTATCACTGCATAGTGTCCTTAGCTGAGCCTATCATTCGTTATTCTTTGCCTAGAGGTTGTTGCCTTCCCAAATGCCGAGCTGTCTCCCAAGAACGCCCTGGTCCTCTCTACCTTTTGATTATTCGTCCCTTGAGGCCCCGGGTGTCCCTCCGTCCAGCCGTCATCAGATTTGGATAAAATATGCGGCGTAATCGAGTAAGGAACTCGGCACTCTAGGGTTCCCCTTTGCAAAAGACGGGGAAGCATATTGTGGGGTACAGATGATAACTAGTGTACGAAGGCACGCCCCAGGACTACAAATAACGCAGTATTCTTCCCCAGGTTTGACTCGCAAAAGTAACCAGAAATCACCATCCGGATTCTTGACATGGCAGACCAGCGAAAGGAGCAAGACGAAACGGAGATCACTGTCGACCATGAGGAGAATGTGCAACAGGAACAGCCAGCGGAGGCACTCTGGAGGGAGGTTTTAAAGCATTGGAGAGTTCTTTTATGGTGTTAGTATAGCCCCTACCCCAGACGGCTGTCAAAGGTGTGGATGGTCCATCATACAATGACCGCAGCTGACGATTCTGTTCAATAGGCCTTCTCATATTCCTCCTGCCCATGAACTTTGGTTACGAGAATGCCATCGTCGGTAATCTCCTGGCTATGCCCCAGTTCCTCGAACGATTCGGACACCAGGTCAATGGAACTTGGGTTCTGAGCGCTCGGGATCAGCAGATTCTCAATGGTGCATTGTCTGTTGGGGTGTTCTGTGCTGCAATCATCACAGGCTTCCTGTCCGATGCCTATGGTCGGAAAAAGGCCATGATGATTGGCAGTATTATCTGTTGTGCTGGTGCTATGGTCCAACACTATGCTACAAGCATCTTGATGCTTTTTGGTGGGAAAGTTGTCGCAACCCTGGGGTTTGGGATTGGCCATTCTGTAGCACCAGTCTTTGTATCAGAGCTGGCACCGAGCTCATTGAGAGGAATCTGCCTTGCGCTCATTGTGAGTACGCTCTTGTTGACAGCATTTCGGTGATTCATAGCTCACCGCTGACCATCACGGGCATAGAACACGATGATAGTTGGCGGGCAATGGCTGGCCTCCTTGACGGTATACGGGTCGACCTTTCGGTCTGATGCAGATGCATGGCGAGTTCCACTAATCTGTCAGATCATTCCACCAGGTATTGTCTTCTTAGCGGCAGGAACAATTCTCCCCGAGTCGCCAACCTGGTTCCTCATAAAGGACCGTCGTGACGAAGCCCGAAAGGCGTTTCAACGATTTAACGGTCCGCATTTCGACAGCGGACCCGCCCTTAATCACACTTTGGCAGCCATTGTGGTCGAGAAGGAGAATGCAAGTGGTAATCACTCTTGGATCGAGTGCTTCCAGCAGCCCAATCTACGAAGGACGACAATTGTTGTCATGACCTACCTGGCCCAGCAGCTGATTGGAGTTAACTTCATTGCTGGCTATCTCGCGTAGGATGAACAATACCCAACCTTCTTTGCAGTTGACTAATTCAGTTGTAGCTACTACTATGCGCTGGCGGGAGTGAATCACCCTGTTGCCATTGCTCAGCAATCATATGCAATCCAGGTCTTTGGCAATATGTGCTCATGGCCCCTGATTGAGCGTGTTGGCCGGCGCCGACTCATGGTGGGCGGCTGCATCATGATGACAACCATGTTACCCGTCATCGGTGGCATAAGCATCCTGAATACTCCCACAGCACTCAAAGTCACCGTGGCACTCATGACTGTTTGGGGCTTCCTGGTAAGACTTCTCTCCCGGAAACCGCATTGCAATCTGCCGAGACCGACTACTGAAAACCTGGTTGCAGTACCAAGCGACTCTGGGCGCATGTGCATACGCTATTGGAGGTGAAATCCCAAGCCCTGCTGTGCGCCAGAAGACCTACGCCCTCAACATGGTGGCCACGACAATATCATCCACGGTGGTGTACCAACTCATGCCGATCCTGATTAACTCAGACAAAGCTAATCTGGGTGGGAAAATTGCGTTTGTTTTCTTTGCTCCCTCTGTTCCCATGTGCTTCTATCTGTTTTTCTGTCTACCAGAGACTAGGGGCCGCAGCTTTGACGAGCTGGAGGAGATGTTTCAAGCCCGTGTTCCATCTCGCAAGTTCAAATCATATCAGACCTCGCTCACTCCGGCTGCGGTATTAGAAGGCAAACTCGAGGGCGATATCGGTACTGCGTGACCTCGGGGTTCTCATCAATGAGCTGGTTGGATTCTTTCCATATGTGATTACAGTCAATTAGTCAATAGCTATAACTTACACTTCCCAATGATGGGGAAACTAAATGGAGTTCTACTTGTCCAAGACGATGTTCAAGATTATCAGAGAGAAAGCCTCCAGTCATCTATATTGTCATAGCCTACTGGTAATCTGGTAATTAATCGCCGCCCCCCCATCCACCAAAATCTGCCAAAGAGATTCTACTTCATGCATGAGAGTCTGGATTCTTAAACTATCTGCGTAAATTGACTACTAGATATCTGTCGCCCTGAGCCGACCGTAATTTACAGGCCTCCAGTGACCGCGCTTGCTAGTGTATATGGATGCAGGAGCACCTGCAACCTGAATTATCTGTATCCTAAATGATCATTCGGAGCCAATCAGATGAAGGGGTAAAAAAAGGGGTAGATTGAACGCTTATAAACTAAGCTACATTCCTTCATCAGAACGATGAATTAAGTTCTTTGCATTTCTCTGCGACTAGCGGTAATCTTAATGGATGGGCTCCAGCAATCCCGTTGACAGCTAGAACAGTACCCAGAACGAGCCCCCCTGCAAATACTGCTAGGACAGATTGCCACCACGTTAGACCAAGAGTCTATTTGGTGGATTTTTTTATCTTAGCCTTTGCAAGATGGACCTCCTCGGCAAGACTCGTACTCGACGTGCGATCCATTAGCCCCCCTGTCAGCTAAGTATTGTGATTCAACGCGGCCGTTATCCTGCCAATGCTCCGGGAAATCTCAAACAGAAAGCCAGTGGTACTGTTTGCCAGAAATCGCGTTTTGGTGATGATAACTATCTTACAGTTTTATACAGGATTAGGACCACGTTGAAACCAACCTATGGCGCAAATATATACAACTTTCCATTGATTGAGTTAATAGCTCGTTACACCAGTGTAGATCAATATTGCATCATACCATTATTGGTTAAATGTCAGGCTGGATGAGCATTTTAACATGCTTAGTTTTATTGACAATCAGTTCCTGAAATCCTCCCTCAATGATGTTCGAAAGTGGCACGACGGACGTAATCATCTCCTCTGCTGGAAGTCTTCCAGACGACAGGAGAGACAGAACCTCTTCAAAGTCCTTTCTCAAATAGCAAATACCGCCAGTTAAATGTTTTTCTTGGAGAGACAAAGCATTAAGATTGAGACTTAGTGGCTTCTCATGGATTGCAACGTTGAAAATGGTTCCTCCTGGCCTGACTGACGCGATGGCGGTGTCAAGAGTAGCCTGGAGGCCAGACGCGTCAAAAGCGATGTCGACCCCCTCGTCTGTCAACTCATGAACTGCCCTTAGTACGGGGTCAGACACCTGGCTTTCCTGCACAGGGTTTATGACAATATCCGCTCCAAGGCGCTTGGCTTGGTCAATTCGCAGATCGGACACCTCACTTATTAATATCTTCTTCGCCCCTTTCGATCGCAAAAGTATGAGTAGACCCAACCCAATTGGTCCCGCGCCAAGGATCAAGATATTGTCACCAGCGGCAAAACCTGACCTTTCGATCATATGGCAGGCTACAGCCAAGGGTTCTGCGAGAGCAGCGGCCCTTAGCGAGACGTTATCAGGAACGGGAACGATATTGGCTGCATTGACAGAAATTTCTCCGGAGAAACCACCACCAGGCGCGTTGATTCCGTAATATGTGGCCCGTTTGCAAGTATTAAAGCGCCCGCGTAGGCAAGAAGTGCATGCCTCAGCTTGAATCTGCGGATCTGCCAGCAAAGGGTTCACTACTACTTTCTGCCCAATGCGGATCCCCTCGACGTCTGCCCCGACTTCAACAACCGTGCCGGATATTTCATGTCCAAGGATTACTGGAAGCTTTGCGCCAGAGTGAGGATTTGTCTCCTGGGGTTGAGGGGCGAGGATAGGCCCTGCCTGATACTCGTGTATATCTGAGCCGCAGATTCCGCAGTAAGCCACGCGCACTCGGACTTGGTCGGAAAGGCAATCCCTGCATCTAACTGTAAGCGGATGCTCCTAGGATAAGAGGCTAGATGTGTATTTACGGAATGGGAACAGTGTCAAGTCTAATATCCTGCCGTCCGTGTAAACGGAGTGCCAGCATGGTGTCTCGAGTCATAGCGTGTCTGATGGTTGTGGTTTTGCAATACAAGTGTGAATTTGTTTTTTTTTTTTTTTTTTTTCTCCCCTGTCAGAAAAGTAAGGCGAAAATGAGGGAAGCCATACGGCAAATAGTTATATCATTATGGCTGCTGGGTGCCCCCACCCTGAAAGTTATCTAGGGACTTTTCGTACCCCCTCTCCCGCATCTACTCAAGGTTTAACATAAAGCCGAGCTTACAACATATAACCTATTCCACCAATATACTGTAACGTGATAACTCCAAGGACCGGAAATTAATATGGCCCTCATTTTCATGATGTACCTCAAAAAACAGGACACAGAAGTTGGCAGAGATTTGAAGCATTTGAAAGAAAGGGGGAAATAGAAGTAGGAAATAATGATACCGACATAGTAACTACCGGCCACTCTCAATAATTTTTGGCTGTATGTCTCCAGAACGAGTTAACAGAATGTAGAAATTGTTAATAGATCTCAATTGCCCCGATATTTGCGTATCACCAGTAAAATTGATCATCCTTAAGGACAATAGAAATTTGACAGACAAGCAAGTAATGATTTCTTATACTACCTGTTTCTAATATACCTAAGCTGTCAAAGTTCAGCCAATCGAACATGCCAGTAGCTCCTATCTACGAATCTCACGAAATATATCAAAACACTTCTTTCGTCAACGTCAAATCTCTCCAGCATCCACCTTCTTCGCACCGTGCACACTGTCCACATTTTCCACGTGTATAACCTCTTTGGCCTTCCGAGCGGCGTCCCTGTAGGTCATGTTCCTGCCACCGTGGTATTTGATCTCGAAGAGCCTATCGACTTCTTCCAGAGACAGGCCCGAGGTCTCCACGTAAAAAAGCCAGCATATGGGGCAAAAGGCAAAGTTCGTGATGGCGAAGACGAGGTAATATTTCCATCCAATGTTTTCAATGGCTGGTCGCAAAGTTATTATTAAGAAAATTACAGTCGCAGTGGACGGGTCTCATATACCTGTTGGAGTCACAGAGACAATCACATAGACACCCAGCCAATTCGTAACCATGGCAATAGCGCTTCCCAGATTCCGTGTGTGATGCGAGTTAATCTCGGAAGGGTACATGAAAGGGATGACAAGAAAAGACAACCCCTATTGCTTTCACGTTAGCATTGCACAATGTTTGCGGATGGGAGGCAACCCGGCAAGGACACCCCAGAGGACTTACGAAGAAAAAATAGTAGAGGAAGATAAAGGCGACTGCAACACCGTTAAGAGCCTTTGTGTCAATTCCCAGTCCCAGGGCCGCCATAGCAAAACAGAGAGATTGGCCCGCTGAGCCAAAGATCAGTAGTCGTCGGCGCCCGACCTTGTCAATCACAAACGATGCCATCCCCGCCCAGAACATCCATTGCATGGAGTCCACGGCCGACAATATTAAGGACATACGGTCGCTGAATCCGAAAGACCGTTTGAGGACAACCGGCAGATAGTACGCGACCACGTTGATGCCCCCTAACTGTTGCATGAAATTTGCGCCCGCTCCTAGCGCGATTCGACGAAAGTTCTGTTGTGGAGCATTGGTGAAAATGTGTCGCCATCCGGAGATTTGAGATTCGTTCTCGTGACTTATGATCTCTTGGATTGTTCGGAGCTCTTGCAAGACGTCGTCCATTGAGGGCTTCACTGCAAGGCGAGCCAGCACATCCCGCGCTTCATCGTCACGCCCACGCAAGCAAAGCCAGCGAGGAGATTCAACCATGAATGGCACAATTGCAAGCGTAAGAACTGACAGCACTGATTGGAACGCCAGTGGGAACCTCCAAGCGACCGGCTGATCAGGGATATACGTAAAGGCGAAGTTTACCCAGTTGGCAACCACGAAGCCAAAGACAAGGAGGGTAAGTTGGATTGACATCAGGATCCCACGGTGCTTTGGATCGCAGGTCTCGCTCTGCCAGATTGGAACAGTAGTAGTATTCATACCAACTCCGATGCCGGACACAATGCGGCCGACAATCATATGGAGGAGCGTAAAGGCGGTTGCTTGGAGAACACCACCGACTGTGAGTAAAGCACAGGCAAGGCCGATTGATTTCCGTCTGCCAAGGCGATCACCAAGAAACATGGACATGAAGGCCCCAATCACGCATCCAAGCACATACGAAGAAACAATCTGTCCTTCAACTGTAGCATCTGGATGATCGAACTGTTCCTGAAACGATGGGTTGGACAGTATACCGCTGAAAACACCTTGGTCGTACCCAAACAACATGAATGCAAGGCCGCAGGCAACGGTGATACCGATAGAGAGGAAGCGGCCTTGAAGGCGCAGACCGGGCAGGACGGAGAAAGTCATACTAGGTTGGGTGAACTGAAATCGTGATTGCGGGTTACTTCAATTCAGTCGTGGTGGCCGAGTATGTATTATCTCGAATCTGGTCAATGAGATGAAATTTTGAATTCAGTGTTCCATCACTGACTATAGGGAAGGGGGGAAGGCATTATAAACGCCTCATTTTGCTTCAAGTTCAGTTTACCATCATCTTGTTAAACTTCGTGCTAAAAGGACACATAACCTAAGTAATATCTTCGACCCTGAATGCTGACAACATCAGCTGGTTGGTTCTACCTCTCAGCCGTTACCAGGGAACCATTGAGGAGATAGGAAAGATGATCTGTCACGCTTAGGAAACCTTATGGTCATTGATTTGCGTAATTAACAGCTAGAATAGCGAACGTTCGCGGAAGAAAACATGCTTTCGTATGTGCAAAATCCTCCAGATCCGGAGTGGTCAGCGAATGGTGCGGTGGGCATTGCAAAATTACTCCACTGGGTAAACATTTAAATGCTCAGCAAGAGGGTAGTGATCTCTAACCAGTGCGGGAATGTCGATAGAACCTCAGCATTGGATGATGCACCGGGGTTAGTTGAGGGTGGGAAGCTATGTTGATTCTTCAAGCTCTGTCCCGCGGCTACTTTGTCCAAGAGCTCCCCCGGAAAGCAGAATTTGTGGGGTAAAGCTGGGTTTCCACACATACAATCAGCTCGGAAATTGGAGAAAAGAAAAGTATGCTTTCGTCTAGCTTTAGTTTCCCGCGGCTTGTAGTCAATTGCGTGGAAGTGGCCGGCTACTTACACCGTAGACACAATACAGATCTTCTGGAGAGATAAATCCACGCAGGACCGAGCACTAGATTATGTGGTGCCCATTGAATCAGAGATACTCCTGAGTTGACGTGAACCATGGCTTCGCCTCTAACTGCGATTGTGACCGGCGCGGCGCGGGGAATGTGTGTTGGCCTCTGGATCCGATGATAATAACTGCATGACTGACATTATTCATTAGCGGTCGTTCCATAGCGCTTCGCCTGGCTCGGGATGGCTACCGCGTTGCTATTAATGACGTTCCAAGCTCGACAGCGGAGATCGAACAATTCGTGAATGAGCTCAATAGCACTGCAGTTGGGGGTAGGAGCCCGGTTGAAAAATCTGGTGCAGAAGCGATTCGAGCGATAGCCATACCTGGAGATGTGACTTCGCGAAGCGATGTAGTGTCTATGATATCGAAAACAGTTTCCACTTTGGGTCCACTACACCTCATGGTTTCCAATGCCGGGAAGGCACCAGTGAAGCCTTTGCTGTCCTCTACAGAGGATGACGTTGCGGACGTATTCTCTTGCAACTTCAAGGGAGTCTTCAACTGTTACACGGAGGCAGCCCGCCAAATGATTGCGCAAGGTGACCCGGAGGAAGTATTTGGACGGCAAAAGTACAAGATTGTTGGGGCCTCTTCTATCGCCGGATTCAGAGCGTTTGCGGCGCTGGGTTTGTACTCTGCCACCAAGTTCGCAGTTCGTGGGCTCACTCAGGCTATGGCTCTGGAATTGGCTTCACATAAAATTACCGTCAATGCATACGCCCCGGGAATAGTGGGAACCTCCATGTGGACCAAAGTGGATGAGATGCTTGGCCAGATTGAGGGTCGGGCTCCTGGCGAGAGTCTCAAACATTATAGCAAGAGTATTGCGCTTGGGAGGACAAGTATTCCGGATGATGTCGCTGGACTAGTGGGTGGGTTTCTCGCAAGTGAAGATTCAGACTACGTGACTGGGCAAACTATGCTGGTGGATGGAGGCATCGTTCTTACGTGAGTCGTCGCAGAGCTGAGACCTAGAATAGCATCTACTGGAACTTCATTATAACATATAGAAACGCTTGATTACACGTAGTTGCTTGCTTAGCTAACTTTAGAATTCCACGTATTCTTGTGTACGAGGAAAAATTTACTAAGTTACGTGCTGGCGCTTTGAAGATTGAGACCGTCTATATCCTCTGTGAGTTTCGGGCTGGCCGAGTAACATTGGAATCTTCTGTATACTCAATCTTTTTATCGCAAACATATCATCTAATGCCCTTATTATTACTCTCAAAGCTACTTATCGGCCTCGAAAATGATCTTCTGTGACCTCATATGGTTGAAATCATCGTAACTGAAAATTGTTAGCGACCAGCTGTCTTTGCGTGAAGAGAGAGAGAGTGCTCACCTCTGAGGAGCTTGGGATAGCGGCCGAACATCTGCAACCATGAAACTGCAATGGGTATTAGCGCAATTCACGTAAGAAGCAAAGAGGAATCGTTACTCAAAAGAATCCTGTTTCCTTTGTTTCCGCGCAAACAACTTCACAGCCTCCTTGAACATGCCTAAATCCGACTATGTTAGATTTGACGCAGAAGGACAAATACCGGGTATACACACTTCGAGCGGGGCATCTACCCATCTGAATGGAAAGATTCTTGGAATACGCTTCAAAACCTGTCCATGGAACTGGCTCGTTGTGTACCCCGACGCTGGAGATGCGGCCAAAGGGTCGAAGTAGATCGAAGCCGAGCCTCAGAGCATCAGCGTGGCCGACAACCTCAATGACGATATCAGCGCCTCGCCCATCAGTTAGGTCCTTGACTCTTCTTTCGAGACCTTCTCTATCAGTCTCAAAGTTCCACGCCTCGGCACCAAGCTCCTTCGCGCGTTGTAGACGTGAGGCGACCTTATCCACGGCAAGCAGATGTTTCGGGCGATATTCCAGAGCACTCATAAGAGCAAATAGACCAACAGGCCCACAGCCGAGAAGAAGAACAGTGCATCCTTCAACTGCAGGTTTGTCCAGCCCTTTGAACGCATTGGAGGCAGCAAAATATCCTGTTGGGAAAATGTCTGCCATGAAGACGAGCTTCTTCTCGTCAATCTCCTTCGGAGCCTGGATCAAGCTGGCATCTGCCATCGGTACGCGCACATATTCAGCTTGACCACCATCAAGAAGAGGGGACCCAAATAGCTTGGAGTTGACACAACGTGAGCTTATCTCCAAGCGGCAGTAAAAACACGTCCCGAAATTCACAGTAAAGGGTACCACAACATGGTCGCCTTTCTTGAAATGCTGAACTTCAGAGCCCAATTCAAACACCGTGCCTGTGAACTCGTGGCCCATAATAAACCCTGAGCCTGCGGGCTGGTGTCCTCGATACACATGGAGTTCGCTAGGATGGCTGTTAGCACAATGGAGTGCAAGGAAAGGCAATGAGCTTAGCGACTTACCTACCACACAGCGCCGTGTACCGCACCTTAAGGATTACATCCGTCTCATCTTGGATCACTGGGATTGGCCGTTGCTCGACTGCGACTTGCAAGGGTCCTTTGAATACAACAGCTTGCATTTTACGGCTTCGTTTCAGTTGACGAGTCTATTTCTGAAGTATACCTAATGAGCTGAGCTGGTTCGACATAGTATTATATAGCTACAAGCTCGAATGCTCTGCAATAATCCTTCCTAGTATCTGTGGATCATGCCAGGACTGTACGCCGAGGATTTTTTTTTTTTTTTCCTTTCGGTTGTAGCGAACTGCATAAAGCCACGGATACAACTTCCAAAGATCCGCGGGACCTCAATTGAAGAGTAGCGCAGGATCTGGGACACGGTAGGTCTACGACCATGAATAATCTGCCTAGGTTTATGCTATCAAATTAACGTTGCTCAGCTTCATATTGTCTTTTAAGGAACGCGGGTTGATGAGCGGGATTAATCATAAAACGACCATCGTCCATGTGGAATCATTTGCGACAGATACTAGTTGGAACGTCAGCATTTTAGGACCAGTCTGCCCAGGTAACTAAGGCCCTCCTTTTTTAAAGACTAAATTTATCTAATATACAACTAAACGCTTTTGCAGCTGCAGGACATCCCAGTATGGAATCAACCCAGCAGGTCACCGCGCCAGCTCCTGAACTGTTGGATCTCAAAAATCCAGCATTGCTAGTGACATCAGGATTGATCAACGGTCAAGAAATAAAGGGGGCTGAAGGCAAGACATTCCCTGTGATAGAGCCATCAAGTGCAACAGTGCTTGCCCATTGTGCAGACCTGTCAAAGGAAAATATCATAGCGGCCATCGAGGCCGCCGATAAAGGATATGTCACGTACTATGAGACTACCACCGCAAGGGAACGAGGGCTATTCTTGAAAAAGTTCTACCACCTAATGCTTGACAATGCAGACGACTGTAAGGTAACCATCCTCCTCCCTCCCACCCACCACCACCTCCTCCTCTCCGCTCTTATATTTGAGGTGAATCAAGCCTAATACCTCCGCACTTCCACACAGTGGCCAGAATCCTTTCCCTAGAGAACGGGAAGACAATCGCCGAGGCAAGAGGAGAAATCAACTATGCTGCCTCGTTCGTTTCCTGGTTTGCCGAAGAAGCGACTCGCGCATACGGAGACACCATCCCTTCATCTTACGCGTACACAGAGGTTTTCACCTTGAAAGAACCGGTGGGAGTGTGTGGTATTATCACTCCTTGGAATTTCCCTGCTGCCATGATTACTCGAAAGATCGCCCCGCCCTGGCTGCAGGTTGTTCAGTGGTTATCAAACCTCCTCGAGAGACTCCTTTCAGCGCACTTGCCTTGGGCAAACTGGCTATAGCTGCGGGTATTCCAGCTGACTGCATCCACATTGTTCCCACGAGCGACCGGCAAGCAGCCTCGGAGTTAGCAGCAAATGCCAAAGTCAAGAAACTCAGCTTCACTGGCTCGACTCGGGTTGGTAAAACACTGACGACGCTAGCCGCTCAAACAATGAAACGGGTCAGCATGGAACTCGGAGGCAATGCTCCGTTCATTGTACTTGAAGATGCGAATCTGGACCAAGCAGTTGCGGGAGTAATGGTCTGCAAATTTCGTTCGTCGGGCCAGACTTGCGTGGTAATTTGCCTTATTGTCTCTACTTCATTCTTTTGAAATTCCTTTGCTAACTGTCCCGAAAGTGCGCAAACCGCATCCTTGTCCACGAAAATGTACAGGAAGCGTTTATCGCAAAGCTTATCCAGAAGGTTCGAACCCTCAAGCTTGGAAGAGGTATAGACATCGACACTACACAAGGACCCTTAGTCAACGCCGCCGCTGTCAAGAAAGTCGCGGAGCATGTTCAGGATGCAATTTCCAAAGGGGCAATTTTGCACACTGGGGGCAAGTCACCAAGTAACTTGTCGGGGTTCTTTTATGAGCCGACGGTCATCAGTGGCGTAACGCCTGACATGACTGTCGCTTATGAGGAGACTTTTGGGCCGCTAGCGGCTATCTTCAGCTTCAAGAGTGAACAGGAGGCAGTGGACTTGGCCAATGCTACTGAATTCGGTCTAGCTGGATACTTCTTTAGTGAGAATGTTGGGCGTGTTATGAGAGTGGCGCGCCGACTTGAGTGTGGTATGGTTGGCGTGAATACAGGACTTATCAGCGCTGCAGAGTCGCCTTTCGGCGGCATCAAAGAGAGTGGATTGGGGAGAGAAGGCAGCAAGTATGGCTTGCAAGAGTACCAGAACATTAAGAGTGTCACTCTTGGCAATTTGCAAGCTTGATGGGTTTCACCATGTGCTTGGTGAATCTGTACCGTTTTAAGAGAATGAGGTTGAGCCCTGTGGTAGTTGGGACGTTCCGGCCGGTTTGCTTCCTGTTGAAGCCAAACCAAACCGTCCCTTATCCTAGGTAGCATGCAAGAAACACTTGTTTTTGAAGTTCTACGTACTCTACCGTGCGCCACAGCTAGCCCAGAGATATTTAGCGATATCTTTTGATCAAGCTCTCAAATTCAGTATCCATTCAGTAGCTTAGCACATTCTTGTATTCCGTGGGTGTTGCGCAGCCAACGTCATCAACAAATCAAGCCACGGTCCCGCGGCTATTTGGCTACGGAGTACTTTTCTGGTATAAGACGGTCAATCTTCGTCACCATCCGTACAGAACATACCGACCGACATTATTACTGATTTCCCCAACAATCCGAGAGTTCGCCGTCCCGTCATGTCGTCTGTCGAATTCGGATTTCTGCTCCCCAATGGAACCCGTATAGTGCACGGCACCGGAGCCGCCACCAGAGACGCCTTCCCTCCGGCTTTGGGCATTCCGGGCCGACTCCAAACCTTCAGCGGAGGCCATGTCAACGACCCGTCTACGCCTTGTTTTTGCGGACCTCAAGGATTATTACCTTTCGACACAAAGACGCGAATGCCGCGCCATGTGCATATGGCGCCAGACCCTGCAGGCAAAGGCCATCGATATATCGTTGAGAAGATCATGGTTATGGAGGGGGTGGCAGTAGCCGAGCTTGGGGGCGAATTCTACGTAATTCCACCTCATACCTTGGTGTTAATAGGGGCTGGCGTACCACACACCTGGACTGCGTGCCCACCAGGAATCGATTTTGGGGCATTAGGATTTTCCACCGAGGAGAAAGTGGTTTCAAAAGGGAAATTTGTGGCGGTTTTCGAATATGAAGCTCCTACTTCGTTCTTCCCGACAGCGCAAACAAATACTCTGGCCACGGAAGAGGAATATGTCAGATGCGACGATCTGCACGCTATCAGGATTCCAGGCATGACGGCAGAAGAAATTCAAGAACAGGCATGGTTTGTGTGGGGGAAGGAAATTCGGAAGCTCTCCCCCTTACATAACTAGATAATGCTTGCTGTCTTCTGTAGTCTACCTTATAGTGCCATTTCGTTATCGAGATTAAGAGGAGCGAAATTAACGTGTCCAATGAACTTATTTCTCAGACCCAAGTTTCTCCCTTTTGCTCTACCGTCAAATACGATTTGGATTCTAGAACCACAGCCAGCCATAGTTAGAGATAGGCTGCAGCAACATCCGCAACATACCCAAATGATTTGGCAGGGCAGAACCCACATTTCTCCAGCCCTAAGTGCACACAATAGTATAAGTGTTACTAGTTAGATAGCTTGAGAAGAACCAAGTGGTTCATTCTGATTATTTAAATACATACATTTTGCTAGTTCTACTGATTATCACCTACCATTCAGTATAGCCTAGCTCGCATCCTGCAGCCTACCTAGGCATAACCCGCCGAGGTAGACATCTCCTAAGCAGCGACCTCCACCTGCTTACACGAGAATTCTATTTGAAGTGTGTCCACCGCTCCTATTTCCGCCCACGTGCAATATGAATCAAAGGTAGTGGTGTATCTCTCATCATACAATCTTAAACCTCCCAACCTCTCCATCAATACGACGACGCATAACTACATGATGCCCCGTCCTTCCATTGACCTTGAGCCGTATAAGGCTGAACTAATTCGTCTCTATAAGAATAAGTCCTCTGTCGCATCTCTCCGAGCATTCCTCATTGAGGAGCGTGGGGTTGATATCACAACATGTATGATTGAATCACACCTCTATAAATGGGGTATTCGTAAGCAAAATCGCACGGCAAGCTCTGATACTGTGTTACATGCTTAGATTAGGGTCCTTTTCTTCCAGGTTGGACTAGAGGAAAAGGATCTCTTCTAAGTTCTGAGGGCTGAGGGCTTTAATATCAGCGCTAGGACACTCAAATATATTCATCACTAATTAGGTCTATATTGTTGGATGGTTAACCCCATTACAACATAACATCAGGTTGATACTATGATTGAGGAACTTGAGAAGGAGCTTCAAACTAGCCAGATTGAAGGTTATGGGAAGGAACTACTCTATTGATACTTTCGAAACTGTGGTTTTATTATTGCAAGGTAACGTAATCAACCACCGAGCGACGAATACCACCGAGCGACGAATTTTTGCCGCTTCTAATACTATTTTGAAGCTTTTCAACCACCAACATCATTAGACTTGACTATCTAGTAGCTGAATATATAGCTATATATTAGGACAATTCCTTCTAGTATGTCCAATAGTCCAACAGCCACTGCAGCGTGGTGGAGCCCGCTGACGAGGTATAGGTGTAGGCTCACTGACCTGCTCAACAAGAGGCATATCAAGCTGCTGAATGCGACTTTGACCTTCCTGTACAGATAAAAGGATATCATTACCTAGGTTAGCACGCCTCCTTGCCTTCTTTCTCATCTTTCGCTCATTCTCAGCCCTTAGAACCTTGATTTCTTCTTGAAGAAGAAGGTTCATATTCATTGCCATTTGTGCAGCCTTTTCAAGATGTTGAATATGGGATACTGGACTGCTAGAAAGCTTTCTTTTCTAAAGACTTCTCTCCAGGCTGCGGACCTTTTGATCTAGTTGCCGAGGATTCTGAGGAGTTTGAAAAGCAGATGATATAGAGCCTTCAGGAAGTGGTGGTATTGGTGTACGGAGTTGAAAAGCAATCTTTTCAAGCACCTGGTCTTCATTAAGTGGTTTAAGACCAGCACCTGTGAAGCCACTGTGTATATTCTTCTGGATAAAGACCCTCTCACGTGCAGATGGATATAGGTGTAGGAAGTCTTCCTTATCAATATGGTTGTTCCCAGCAACCATCATTCCTTCAACTAACTTCCCATATGCGCGCTTTAGTGGACCAAAAACGCCAACATCCAGTGGTTGCAGAAGGTGAGAAGTATGTGGTGGCATGCAAAGGCAGATAATTACATTCTCCTTGCAGAAAGCATCAAATTCTGCAGTCTGATGGCTAGAATGGCCATCAAGAATAAGTAATCTCTTTGCACCAGTTGAATGCCGCCTTGAGTGTGGCTCAAATACCTCCTTAAGCCAGCGAAGGCCTATTATATCAGTTGTCCAGCTATTATCACTCTTTGCAATTAACCAGCTTTGAGGAACTGCTGGTTCTTGATACCAGGTAGCCTGTTGCTCTTTCCCCTTTAAGATAACCACTGGTGGTATAGAAACCCCCTTTGAGCTTACACATTCAATTATTGTAACCCATTCACGGTTCCCCTGAATAACAGTACGGGGTCTCTCACTGCGATCCACTGCAGTGATAACCTTCGAAGTTGTATAGAGTCCCATTGCAAAGCCAGTCTCATCAAAGTTCCAGATATCATCCTCATGGATGCCATATTCTTGAATAGCCTCATGCACAATTGCAAACTACTGTTTTATCACCTTTAGATCCTCCTGCTTTGCACGCTGGTATGTAATCCTCCGGTTATATCGTGTGCAAAGGGCTGGATGGCGTTTAATAAACTTATATGCCCAGTTGACACCAATGGTTGCGGTAGGATCCCGTGTACGCTCATGGAGTAAGATCTGCGCCATTTCACGCAGGTACTCTGGTCGAATTGAAAAGCCCCGTTTATCTCATCTAGCAGACGCTTGGTAAGAACTTCTTCTTCCAGGGCTGTCAATTTATGGCCATTAGCACGTGTTTCTGAGCGTGGTTTTCTTCCATTAAGGCGAGCGCGAAGGGTAGGCTCAGGCACGCTAAAGGTCTCTGCAGCACACAGTACTGATTTAATTTTTTTATTCTTAATGGCTGCAATTGCCATTTGTATCCGATTTTCTTGAGATAAAGGCATTTTTAATAGTAGTGGTGATAAAACAACGCGTTGAAGAAAGGAAGTGGGTGGCGAAGGGAGAAATTCGTCGCTCGGTGGTATTCGTCGCTCGGTGGTTGATTACGTTACATCTGTATAAAGATGACTTCAAGACCTATAGCGACATCGAGGTGCTTATATAGTGCCAGGACCAAATTTTATTTGGTTAATTAATGGATACTTAAAGCTTGCACTATATAGCATTAAGATCTATGCTGCTATTAATGCTTATTCCTACTATATTATCCGGGTGTATATTGGAATTACTGCCTGTATAGCTGTTGATATATTAAGGTAATTTCTTAATGCTGTAGAGGTTGCTTAACTATAACCTTGATTCATATGGTCAGACTGTGGCATAGAAATAGTTCTCTTAGCAGAAGCTCACTATAAGCTTCAGCAATTAAGGCATCCAGAGATATTAATCTTTGAATGCTATCTTTATGGGACAAGTATAGCAAACTAAAGAATTAAAGCCTGGTGGCTTTAATTAACCAGAGGATTATTATTTTGATGGAGGGTAAGTTATTTAAGATATTTTAAGAAAGACATTGTATGACAGGCTAATGTTCTTGTAGAATTACTTTCATTCCCTTTAAGAACAGGGTGTATTCTCCCAGGACTCAGTTGCTGATCAGATTGCATTATTTGCAGTCTATATGCCTATTCTTCAAATTGAGATTACCTCCTTTGTATGAACCTGGAATAATCATTCCATTCGCAAACAGAAGCTTCTTCCGCATCTTGTTCATGGCAAGCCGTTTATGAACTATAATTATCCTCCTGATGGAGTTCAAGATCTTCTCTGCACATTACATGAGGATGTTGCAGAGTGGGGTAAGTTCCCATGTACCTATAAGTTATACATACTAATAGCTATTATATGATAGATCCTGATGAGTATCTCCCCCCAGTAACTCATAACTGGGTAACCAGACAGTTATAAGAGATGAATTTTAATCCTCTGCCACCTCTTGATCATCAGAATGAAGATGTGTTTGCCCCTCATCGCGGAATCTATATTGGATTACGTCGAGGATTATGACACACATTGAAGAACAACATGAGCCTGTACTCTGCCTAGCAAAAAGGCTGACAGGGGCTTTTGATTGGCAACCAGGTGGGGAAATTCAGGAAATGGAGGTGACAGATGACTTATCATAATTAGTTATAACTAGTTTGTGGGAGCAGACTTAACACACCGTTCTTGAGACCGGCTCAGTCGCGTGTTTCTAAATCTACATAAGACAAGAAACAAAAGATATCGCTGAAGAAAAAAGAAAGGTAAACTGGAAGATGGCACGAAAACCAGTCGGGTCTCGGAATTGGAGTCAAGTTGTGGCGTGATAGCCGCAACATGCGTTTATCGGGCATCGCCCGTTACAGCTTTTTTATGTACTCTTCAGGAAGCCTTAGTAGCTAGGTATAAGTATCCCACAGTTGCCATACGAAATTGAAGAAAAGACGGAATTGAAGAAACATATCTGTTCTCTGCTCAATGGCTTCCCCCCCTAGGGAGTGAACACCCTTTTGTCCAAGAACAGGGAGACCACATGGTGATGCTCTATCCTGTGGTTCTTGTTTAGCAATAAACTCTTCTTTATCTACCTCACAGGAAAGAGTCGAGGTTATTAATATCCCAGACTCACCACCTCAACCAAGACCTCCACCGAGAGCAACAACAGTCTTTGCTTCCCCTTGATTTGCTCTTTTTAATCGCACATATGGAGCAGAACAACTACGTCAAGCCTCTGTTGCCCGTACGAAGAAAGAAAACCAGAATCCATCTCCTGGTTTCGTAATCTCTACAACAGTTGTCTTCTTCCTTCTAACGCAAGTTAAAAGTGATGATGGTATTCTTACACCAGTATCTTGCAAGGCACTTGGTATATCAATAATCCTATATCTCTGTATAAGCCTAACTAATATCAAATTAGATCGAATCTCAGCCAAGCTCAAGCCTCGTATGATGAAGTCTTTTGAGGACTTCATCACCCGGGACCTTCTTCCTGGGATGAGTCAAAACAGCCTCGTACAGAAACCTTCTGATCAACTACGTCTTGCAACCTCTGTTATTCCAGCTCAAATGGAAGTGACATACATCTCTCAGAATGCCGATGAGGAACAACAGGTTGAAGATCTGCTATCAACATGGTTCCACTCGGGATCAACGAACAACCTTGCAACAATCTTTGTTGTTATCGTACGAGAAACTGAAGCAGGTCAGGTTAGGTCAGACCAACTATCTACACAACCAGATGAAAAGCCAGAGAGGAAGAGGGTTAAGAAGGAGCCAAAGCAGAAGTCGAAGATCAAGGCTGAGCCAAATCCTGAAATCAAGTTAGAACCTCCCATACGCCGCCCAACAAAGAAACGATCATTTTCAGTGGCTAATAGTGAGGTAAAGACTGAGGAACCTGATATTTTTGCCACTATACTCCAGGAATATGATGAAGCCGTGGAACATGTTGCTAATCGTACGAGGAATCGGCATACTCCACAGCAGGAAGACCTTGATCGTGCAGCAGAGTTTGGGCCAACAGCTGGATTATCTTAGGATATATCATGTTATGGTCACTACAGATTGTATAAGGAGGTTGCGCACTCTCTTTTTCCTTTATTATTTGTCTAACCATAGAGCTCAACCTCTAGATATCATCATGAGGAATATAACATTCCTTACCATCCATCTTCATGAACCATGCTTCATTAGCAGTTACCTGGTTAGTTAAGTTAGCTTGAATGACACTTACTCACTTAGTCATCTCTTTGAGCTTTCCCTTGACCCGTGTCCTTGTTGGACATGACTTCGAAAAAGGGCTCTTCCTGTATTCGTACAAGGCATACAAGAATGAATTCGTTATATCTGCTGAGACTGTTTCAGCAATGAATGTCTTTATTGGAAGCGAGCTTCCTGTATCTTCGTTTACGGGTTCACATAACCTAGTACATTCGCGTCACAAGGCGGGTTTACAGGAACAGGCAGACGGCAGTATATAGGTAGTTGACCCTCAGGAATTCTAGCTACAGGTCAGGCTATCTACAGGTACATAGACAAGACGTAGCTCAAAAAGCTACAAACAGGAGGCGGATCAAGATGCAGGATATTCTCAGTGTGGGTCGTGTGATGATAAGGCATCGACGGTGCCCCAGGCAGCATCTGAGTTAGCACCGTGACAGTACGAAAACTTCTTTCTGCCAGCAGAAAGCCCATTTTGTTTGAGGCATTTTTGTTTTTTTTTGGGATTTGTCCCAATGGCTTGCCGTAGAGAACCTTCCAGCGGATAACACAATGCCCCAGTGAAATCCTAGGGGCGCCATGTAGACGCAGACCTTTTTTGTTTAGGAAGTTCTCGTCTTTCGCAGGCCGCCACGGCGCCAACGTAAGGAACCGGATCCGGCTATATGGCTTCGTCACGAGGATATATCCGGCGGCGCAATATCTGATTTCAATAATAACTTACTAATGAGCTGGAATTGTGGAGAACGCAACGGAGGAATTAGACAGAGTGACTTTTTAACTATATTTTATTTGCGGCGCTTCAAGTTGATAAAGAGCCGCTGAACTACCGCGACTTGTACTATATAACAACGACATCGAGTGCAAGCTAGCGGAGAATTCAACTGAGCCCTATACTATCATACCTAGCAATCCTCATATTCGTGAATCAACCATCATGGGCAAAGTCACGCATATTGTCCAGCTCCAGTTCAAGAGCGATGTCAGCCAATCCACTATACAAGACGTATGTCTCAATTCCTAAAGCTAGCACTTCAGACAAGCTGACTTACTTTCCTATCACTGCTTAAGCTATTAACACCATGCTTTCGCTAAAGGAGGAGTGCCTCCACCCCAAGACAGGAAAGCCATACATTGTTTCGAGTACAGGAGGGAAGGAGTGTTCTGTGGAGGGAATGCAGGTATGGGCCAAATTGTCCTTTTGCCCACTGGCCACTAGCCAATCCGATTGTACAATAACAGAACGGCATTACGCATGTCTTCGTCGTCGAGTTCGCATCTGTCGAGGATCGCGACTATTACGCGAAGGAAGACCCGAAACACCTTGCTTTCGGTACAAGTCTGGGTCCTATCGTCGCACAAGTACAGGTGGTGGACATCGAAAATGGTGTTTCCTGAGGTTTTTCCAGGGGTCACCTCTGTTCAAGTTTAGGAGCGTTGAATTCAATCGTCCAAATCATAAACAAGTCATCTTTATCTACCCATCATTCACTTAGGTCAAACACACTAATCAACACTCTTATTCTGATCATACTATCGGCCCCGAAATCTGTCAAAAACTAGCAGGTGACTAAATGATTCCAAGTAAAAGAGTAGTATCAATCTCCCTAAGCCCAGCGGTAGCACCAATTTACGTATCCACCGACGTTTCGAACACTAAACACACAGAGATGTATCCCTGTACACCAGGAAATTCACAATTTCTCCGTGTTGTGAGAGTCTTCTAGATGGCTAACCACTCCCATATCTGAAGCCTTGGTTGCTATTCCCCCATCTGCCTCGACTTCATCGAATACGACGACCATTTCTTCAAGGGAGTATCCGCGAGTTTCAGGGTAGGTGAGCCAGACGTTGATCAAGATCACGACTAAGAGGCAAATATACACAACGTAATATTTCCATCCGATCGCATCCATTGCGATAGGGTTGATGAACCTGATTAACCGGGGACGGTTAGCGAGACGGGCTTACAATAGACCCGAAATACACCATCAGGTGACACTTACTGATTAAAGATAAGAGCAAGGTAGGTGCACATGTAGGTGAGTGCAACACCCTTACTCCGGAGCGAGTAGGTCCAGATTTCAGCGGGATAGGCGATGAGCAGCGGGGTATATGCCAGGTCATAGCCGGCATAGTAGATGAACAAGAACGGGATGACGGCGGTGCCAACGGCAGCGACTCCCGTGGTATTGAAGCTACCAGCCAGGCCTGTCAAGCATATATAGCTTACCAGCATGATGATGGTGGAAAGAATGAATAGCAGACGGCGGCCGGCACGGTCCACGAGCAAGGAGCCAACAGCTGCAAATATGAGATTCCATACTTGCAAGCACGCGTTAATTAGGGTCTGTTGTGTAGCTGAAGTAATTCCAACGGTATTCAGGATAGTAAGAGACGATTCCCCTATGAAAGATAAATGATGATGTTACTCCAAGTTCGTATAGCTGTATCGAGAAAATCGAGGATCAACTTACACTCCGTTCCACTGGGCGGCGATACCTATCGTGACACTGATATGGAAACGGTGTCGATTCCCTTTCGTCTTGAGCATTTGAGACCACCGAGCATTGTTCGCCATCTCGTCCTCCTGCCGGATAGAATCGGTAATCTCCTGCATCTGTAACGCGACCAGCGGCGATGCTTCGTCGCCACCGGCGTGATACTTTGTCAGCACCTTAATTGCTTTTTTTCGTCCGTCATTGCGAATCAGCCACCGAGGGCTCTCAGGGCATAGAAAGCATATAGGGAGCGAGACTAGCGGGAATGCGATCTGAAGCAAGACGGGAATTCTCCAACCCCATGAAGAATCCATATTTCGGCAACCGAATGTCACCAGGCTGACAATGATGACCCAACATAGTACATGCACTGATACAGGGCGACGAGCTTGGAGCGATGGGTCGGATACGCCAATTCAGTGACCAGGATGGCAGCACTTTGGAACCAGGCGCCTGAACGACCGACGAAAACGCGCGAGACAATGAACAACGTTGGACTCGGAGCGGCGGTCTGCATGGCCACAATTCTGCCAGCTTAGGTCTGAAGTCTTGACACTGTGACCAAGAAGCCGCCAAGCAAGTCGCCAAGCGCGACAATTCTGGCTACGCACTTACGGTCCGTGTTCTTAAACCTGATCTGCTCGGTCCTTTGATTTATAAGAGGGAGACTTCGCGGAGGATATGACGGTACATAGTGTTGAGGATGACTCCTCGTCGTAGTGCAGAGATTCCTAGGCTCTCCAGGTACAATGAACCCGGAGTTTAACCCTGACCAGGGCACATAGCCGTTGACGGCTTGTGGCCATTGTATGATTTGGGGAAGTGCTTCACTGTAGCAATTATATTATTGATGCGCCGCAACACCAATTCCCTGCAATTAATTGCATCCTTTTACGGCCCAAGAAACTGCAAAGAGGGTATTCAGTCAAATTACCATCTGCCATTTTCCACTAATCTTGTTCGCTTAACCTCGTACTGGGAGACAAACCGCTCTTGGAAGTCCTGTGACTCTGTCAGGGCATACTAAAACATACTAAAAGCTATATGGGTTCCAGGCTATTAATATCCCGAAATATTCACAAAGTACTATACGAATTATATATTTGTATTACTAATAATAGTGGATAGCTACTATTGTTATGGAAAAGTGTCACAGTGCGGCTCGGCTTTCCATTCTGAACTAGGTGCTCAGAATGAAGGCTGCCTGCCCGCCCTGAACTAGTATTCCGGTTCTCTGATTAGCTTTGTCAGCAGCTGGCAGCTGAATAAGCCTTGGCAGCTGCAAGTGGCGGAACCTGTTTCCAATCCAGCTCCAAGTTCCACTTTCTTTCCGTGTCCAAAACCGAATGCGGGGAGGGGGGCAGAGGGAAGGACACTCTGAAGCACATGGCACACAGAAAGCACTGGACACAACTATCCTAAGGCCACTTTCTTCAATTAGACTGCATTTGCTCGCACACCAAACACACTCTCTCTCCCACGGACCAGCAAATGGTCTCTCCGGCCGGCGGGAAAAACCGACTGCGAGCCTCCAAGGCTTGTCAGAGATGCAGTCGGCGCAAGGTCAAATGTGATGCCACCGAGCGTGGTTGTCCTTGTAGCCGGTGTCGCATGGACAATGTCTCGGAGTGTACACTGATTACCTCCCGCCGAGGCACTTATGATCGAAAAAATTTCCGACGGCAGGTGGCAAGGCCTGGCCCATCTTTATCATCAACATCACCACCGTCAGTGTTACCGCCCTCGTCGCGTGGGCCGTCAACTGCTCAGATTAGTCCTTCATCGCCGTCAGCTGCATCCAGCGGCCACGGCCGAGTTGAGGCTCTTACCCCGCCCCAGCCCCTCGTCGGAGAGAACAGGCCGATCTCCACTCCTGCGACATATCGGCAGGAAAGAAATTCGAACTTAGAACAGCCAACCGGCGACGCTCCTGGCGCAGATCTGACTCGCCCGCCCGACAGTGTACCCTCTACCTTCTCGGCTGGCTCGTCCGACCACCGATCACTGTCGGCCATGTTCGAAGATTTCCTCAGCCAGGCGGGCCACGAAGACTTGTGCAAGGCGAAGCTGGTTCTGTTCGGGGAACCTTCGCCCTTAACTTTTGCCCTACAGCTGCGGAGGGACATGAGCTCGGGCCTCCACGACGCCAATCAACGTGTCTTGACTAGTAATTCGCTGACTGTAGTCGAGGAAAACGTCCATCCGAAGCACTTACTTCCGCATGAAATTGAGTATCTGAAGGCGAAGGGGGCGTTCATTTACCCAGAATCAGAAGTTTTGGAGGAGATGATAAACGTCTTTTTGCATCGATTCTATCCCCTATACTCGGTCGTGAATCCGACAGACTTACGCAAGGCGCAACAGGAGCGGAAACTGCCGTGGATCTTGCTTCATTCAATCTGTTTCATCGCGATGACGTTCTGCGAGCCTGCCCTGATCTACAAGGCTGGCTTTAGTTCTCGCCCACAGGCGCGTCAGCTCTACTACGATCGGGCTAAGGCTCTTTTCGATCTTAATTACGAAAATAATAAAATAATTCTGGTGAAGGTGGCCATCCTGCTAAGTTTCAAGGGCCCTCAGATGGATTGCTATTGGAACCCATGCTCGTGGATCGAGTTCGGGGTGACGATGGCCGTGGCCCTTGGGATGCACCGCAAATCCGTTGCAATCAATGGGAAATCGAATGACCGAGGCCTGCTCAGACGGTTATGGTGGACGTTAGCCGTCCGCGATGCCCACTGTTCCGCCCTGCTGGGTCGTCCCTTCCGCATCAATATGGCCCAATGCGATATTGATACTTTAACGGAGGATGACTTCCCCGACGAACACACGTGCCGATCCCCAACGACCCAATCAAGCTGCAGTTGCCGCGAGTCGTTCGAGTACCAGATTCAAGTCACGAAGCTATCAATTATCCTCCGAGACATTATGTACTTCCGGTTTGGGCCGACCAATGTAAGCTTCACAACTGATCTCCTCCAGGAGCAACTGGCCACCTGGAAGGCACAGCTTCCAGTCGCTATGCAATGCCTGCCAGGTCAATCCTCCGTATCGACATTGGCTGTGCAACTCGACATCCTGCTTAATTATCATATCACGCTACTCCACATGGAGCAACCCCGACGACCAGGACTTAATCCGTCGTCTCTCTCAACGTCGCTGCCCGGCGGCTACGACTACGCTGCCATTACAGAGTCAGCGGCCCTAGCTGTCTCCTCGAGCGCCATCAAACTCATGACGCGGACTTCCATCTGCAATATCCCCCACGAAGTATTCCCTGGGTTTTTCATGGCAGGAATCATACTCTACCAGCAGGCGCAACAGGAGCAGAACACCCATCTAGCGAAAATGATCCGGGCCAGCTTCGATAACTGCCAAATGCTCTTGAATCAAGCGCAAAATACCTGGGACCCGGGGGTCTGGGCGATGAAAGTTTTTGAATTTCTTCTGTTTGCTGCGGACGCAGCCGATGCTGCAGAAGCTCAGATACTGCCGGTTGACAGTCATGGCTTCCGAATGAACACGCCGTCCGTGGACATAAATCACGCTCCCGCTGTGCAACCTCACGCTCCAGGATCTTCAGATGTGGAGAATTCCGCTTGGTCAGAGGTTCCCGCCATGGAATTTGATCGGGGCTTGGCCATGGACATGGCAGATTATATGCTTCTGCCAAACTTTTTCCCCCTTACCGTTGGGCAACTAGCACGGACTTGCGGTGCTGCAGAGACTTGACCACAGTACCATTTGTACCTTTAGTAATCCATACTCATAACAATGATGAAACTGGTGGAAGGCATGCTATGATCCGATATTTGTGATTGGATGAACTAAGGTAGTCAAACATGGCAACCAAATGGAACAAACAATGCAAAGTCCGTGATGATCTCATAGGTGGAGCTTGGGGCACCTAGAATACCCTAGAAATCAGCCCGAAGTTAACTCGGGTACATGGATATAAAGGACACATTCCGGAGAATACAGCAAAACGTGTTGAAAGCCACAGTCTATTCGACGCAAAACAAACATTCGAATACTATCTTGCGATGTCTTTCAATCGGATCGGTTTACGGCCATCGGGGATGGGCCAGCTCGGTTATTGTTGCAGCCCTCATTGACTCGGGAGCGCCTATCAAGGTACTTTGCCGGCCGGGGTCCGATATTTCTACTCTGCCCGACTCGGTTGCCAAGATTGCGGTCGACTTGGCCAATCAGGAGAAAGTCATTGCTGCTTTGCAGGATGTGGATATTGTCATGTAAGTTCACGATTCTTGGGGTGCCACTGAGAAGAAGTACGAGAAGCCAACTGTGCAGTTTAGATCTCTTGTAGGGCACGAAGGTGTCACCCGCCAACTTGGTCTGGTGAATGCTATCCCCAAAACGAAGGTTCAGCTCTTCGTCCCTTCAGATCTCGCTGCGCGGTATGACGAGCAGGGGTTGCGTATTCCAGTGAACCACGCCAAGGACGAGGTTGAGAGAGCAGCGCGTGCTGCCGGTATTCCGGTGACAGTGGTCCTCACCGGCAATTTCGCTGAGTTTGCCTTGGCTACATTGCACGTATTCCATTCTTTCCTTTACATGGGGGGGGTGGTGATTGATGGGAAGATTGTTGGCTAACGGGGTTGCTCAGGGCTATGGGAGTGGACCGTCACAACAACAGAATTATCTTCACCGGCGAAAGTGAACACAAGGCTCTTAATCTCTGGTACGTGAGACTACGGTCCAGAATGTTTCAATTGCGCCCGCGCACCAATCTCTGACACCAAGCTAGCACTCGACCTTATGTTGCCGCCGCCTACGCCTCCATATTCGCCTCAACGCCCATTGACCAAATCAAGGACCGCACCATAGCACTGTCCGAGATCAGAGCAACGGGAAGCGAAATCGTCAGCATGTTAACAGAGCAGCATGGCTCGAGGACACGCAGCAGACATGAATCTACTGACTCCATCAACGAGTTGGTTGAGACCTCTGTCGCAACTGGGAGCAACTTTGCGCTGGCGTTCTACTGCCGCAAAATCTGGGGGACAGGGCAACAGACTCAAATGATGGGAGAGGATTTTTGGGAGGTGAAGGGGTACCAGAAGGCGTCGTTGCACGACCTCATTGTGCGGGGCCGGCTGCAAGAATATCGTCAGCTGCCACCGGCGGTACTGGAATTTTTCGAGTCGCACTTTGAACAGTGTGCTTAATGATGCAATAGCAATAAAGGCCCATTATTTTTTGGGAGCCGAGAGAGGCCTGCCAAGCTCGCTCTAGCTTTTCGGATTTATGACCCTTGTAGCATCGGAAGTGCGTCGGGTGTATCTCATTTACCGCGGCTATATGCCTACCGGGTGACGTCGGGCTTGCTTTCGTTAATTATTGCATAACCATATCAATTAGAGTTCAAAGAGTAAGATTGCCAGTGGAGTGTCTATCTGTTGGCAAGACTCAATTGTTCGAAACACTTTCCTTCCACAGCAGAACCGCCTTGATTGCTCGCCCAACTTTCAAGTCGTGAAACGCCTGTTGATAGTGCTCGACCGGATAGTATGTAATTAGCTTTTGCACTGGGAACTTGCCTTGCTTGTTCTGCTCGATCAAGTAAGGAATCATCTAGGAGCTCGGAATTTTGTAAGTAGCGAATTTAGATACGGCCTTGCCCATAGAACAACATACCTTCTCAGCAACACTCGACCCTTGGTGACAACCTACGTACTCCCGTCCAAGTGTTAGATGAGAGAACACATCCACACCTGCTCTTTTGCCTGGCGCTGGGGCACCGACGCTGGCGGCTCGTCCACGGGTGGCCAACGAATCCAACATGATCTCTATCACCTGCGTAGCCCCCGAGCAGTCAACCGCGAATTCCACGCCGTTGGAAGGCGCACAAATTTCACGGATTTGTTGCAGAACTTTTTCTGACCCCCCTAGCAGTGTATGGGTTGCCCCCAGTTCACGCGCCATCTCTAACCGTGAATTCTCTAGATCCACAGCAATGATAATGCTCGCTCCTCGAAGCCGCGCCGCCATGATAGCACTCAGACCAACTGCGCCCACCCCGAACACTGCCACCGAGGTACCCTCCCGCACGTTGAGAGTGTTCAGGACCGCGCCTGCCCCGGTTTGCACCCCGCACCCCAAGGGAGCAAATATATCTAGCGGAGTATCCGCTGCAACGCGAGCCACCGAGGCACGATTGACTAGGGCAACGCGGCAAAAAGAGCTTTGACCGAAGAAATTGGCAAACACCTCTGTTTCACCATTGGGAAGGCGTATAGTTCTGCTCTCATCCAGCCGCTTGCCGCCAAAGTTCTGCGCTATCAAATTGACACAGTAGGCAGGTTGGCCGGACAGGCATTGGTGACAGTCCTTGCAGAAGTTGTAGCTAAGAATGACCTTGTCGCCCACGTTGACATCCTTTACCCCCTTCCCCGGCCGGAGAACCACCCCAGCGCCTGCCTGAATGTCAGTACAAAAGAGAATTCTACTGGTGCCCCGTCGTGTTCAGCAGCAGTGGTGTTGAAGACCTAGGGTAAATTCTCTCACCTTCATGTCCCAAAACACAAGGAAACTCGGCCGGCAACTTGCCCTCGATGCAAGCAATGTCTGTGTGACAGATCCCCGTAGCGTGGATTTCCACCAAGAGCTCATCGTCTCGTATGGTATCCAGAATCACGGGGCCAAATTGGGGTTCGTTCCCCACCGCTGATACAACTAGGGCTTCCGTAGGGTAGGCCATTGTTGATGCAGAACCGTAGTCGAGAAAGCTTGGATTGGAAGGTATTTTGTTTCTGTTTTTGGACCTCCTCTCACGAGGAAGAACTAGCGCTCTTTTTAATCCGGGCTCCCTTTTCGCCTTCCGATGATATGCCGGTAAAGAGGCCCAAACTAAAGGGCTAGTACGTCTGTGTTGCCCACTTGGTTTGAACTTATTTGGCGAGATTTGCTTGACAATGGGGAAAATGGGGGGAGGAACAAGCGGGATGGGTGGTGCTGGCCTATCGGCAACATGGGTGCCCCAGACCCCGTTCCGTCCCTCCCCCGTCCCCCTTCCTCGTCCTCGCAGACCTGGATGTAGCATGCGGGCTATTGGACCCTTATTGAAGACTATCGGATGTGAGCAGGATATCGGATCGGGTAAGGACGATTTCACATGAAGCATTGTCTGTCTGCTGAAATCGATATATAGGCTTGATATGTCAAAGGTCATGGGGTCTACTTGCGCTGCAAAGTCTTTAACTGATTTACTTTTTCAGTCATCACGGACATCATCATGACTACCCCTGAGATCGAGACCCGTCTTTTCATCGATGGAGAGTTTGTGCCTTCTCTTGACGGTTCCAAATTCAAGGTCACAAACCCCTTCACCGGCGAGACTGTAGCAGAAGTGTCAGAGGCCAAGGCAGAAGATGTGAACCGAGCAGTTGAGAGTGCGAAAAGGGTCTTTCCAACTTGGTCAGGATTAGACGGTACTGGACTCCGTTCTTCGGGTATACTGCCAGAGAAGCTCATGTTGCTGACTACTCTGAGCAGGATCCGATCGGCGACGCCTCATGCTGAGGCTGGCTGACCTTGTCGATGAACATGCGGCGGAGTTTGCGCGCTTGGAAGCTCTTTCGATGGGGAAGCCTGTATCAACTTATATGGATCAGGTGATGGGTACAGCAACGCTGAGATGTATGTTTCTCCCGTGTACTCGCTCGAACTCATCATTACAGGAAAGCTTAACGCGTTACGCACAAACGCAGACTACGCTGGCAAGGCTCTGGATATCCACGGGGTCACTTCCCTAACTTCCAAGAACCATCTGAATATCTCCATCCGGCAGCCCTACGGTGTCACCGGGGCGATTATTCCCTGGAAGTAGGTACCGAATTGCCTTTCTGCATTGCGGCTGCGGTTGCTAATCTTGCAACAGCGTCCCGGTGATCATGATCTGTTTCAAAGTTGGCCCTGCACTCATTGCGGGCAACACACTTGTGCTCAAATCCTCTGAGAAGGCGCCACTAACCTCACTCCTCTTTGCGCGACTGGCCAAGGAAGCTGGGTTTCCCCCAGGTGTGTTGAATGTTCTATCTGGTTTTGGCCTGCCGTGTGGGGATGCCATCGCTCGACACATGGACATCCGGAAGATAGCTTTTACGGGCAGCACCAAGACTGGCAAGCTTATCCAAAAAGCTGCGGTTGATTCAAATCTCAAGTCTTGCACATTAGAACTAGGGTTTGTCCCTGTCGATGCCTTTTAAATTGAGCGCGAGCTAATTGTGAGGGAACGAAACAGTGGTAAAAGCCCCCTGATCGTGTTTGAAGACGCCGATCTGGAAAAAGCAGCAAAGGTGGCCGCCTTTTCTATCGTCTTCAATTCTGGTCAGGTCTGTATGGCTTCCTCAAGGGTGTATATTCAAGAGAATGTTGCAGACCAATTTAAGAAGCTGTATGCACAGGCTATCCAGGCGGTTGCGGGGCAGGCGGGCAACCCTCTCGAGGCAACGACTGGGTTCGGTCCCCAGGCAGACAAACAGCAGTTCGAGAGCATTTCCAAGTATCTGCAGGAGGCCCAGAAGGATGGCCTCAAGCGCCTGCCTATCGGGGAATTGACACCGCGGGACGGGGGAAACTTTGTCTCCCCGATTGTTTTCCACGATGTGCCCGAGGATCATTCTATTATGAAGGACGAGATTTTCGGGTTTGTGTTGGCTCCCCATTCACATCCGCGAGAAACCTGATGGTCGTGGAGCTAACATGGTTTGTTTGCAGAGCCGTTTCTTGCCTCAACACTTTCAGCAGCGAAGACGATGTGATCCGCGCGGCAAACGACTCTGAATACGGACTGTATGCCAGCGTATTCACTCGGGACATCAACCGAGCCATACGAGTGGCAAAGTGCTTCGAGGCAGGCTCGATTGGTGTTAATACCTCATCGCCATATTACTGTCAGGACTTGCCTCTTGGAGGGTTCAAGGGATCCGGCACTGGGCGCGAGCTGGGAGATGAAGGCCTAGAGGCGTGGACAGAGGTGAAGTCTATTTACATCTCGCTGTCGTAAGGGGAGAACTTCCTTCCCTGGCCGCTGTTATTCGTTTTGTACAGTTGACAATCAATAACTAAGTGAAGGGCTATGTACAAGCCATGACATGCATGTAATGGTAGCCAACTTGATCAGTTCGCATTATCCATTCTGACCAGTTCCAGACATTATTGAACTCAAGAAATAATAACATCATACCCATCATAGACTTCGGAGAGTTTCAATTGTAATTTTGTCACATCGTCCTCGACTTCGGAGAGTTCCAAAGGTTCCGTCGGTATCCGGAGGGTTGTTTCCACCGCAGAGGATGATTGCATTAGTAAACCATATAGCCGAACAACCCTGAACAGAGCCCTGAGATATAAAAACACAGCAGACAGACACATAGACCAAGCAATGATCAATAATCAATACGCTTGACATCATCACGCTGCTTGATCAAAGCTAAAACCTCGCAAGTTCTCGCTATGCTGTCTGTCTTCCTAGTAGGCCCTGGCCTGATCGGTGGAGAGGTGCTCGACCTCCTACTCAAGGAAAAGAAGTATGAGATCACCACTCTTGTGCGCAGAGAAGCAGCCCGTCCGGCATTTCACGAGCTCGGCGTACAAACTATCCTCGGCTCACTGAGTGACAAAGATGTGATTGTGAAGCAAACAGCCGCCAGCGACATCGTAATCCACACCGCCACCGCCGACGACTTGCCCTCTGTCCAGGCCATTCTGGAAGGGGTCCGACAACGCACCCAGCGCGGGCAGCGAACCATCTACATCCACACCAGTGGTGCCAGTCTCATCGGTGATAACGCTGAGGGGTCTTACAAGAACGATTGTGTTTTTGACGACGAGAAGCCAAGCTCTATCGACGCGCTGCCGGACTCCGCAGCCCACCGGGAGATTGACCTGGCTATTGTGAATGCGCGGAAAGAGCTCTCGTCCCATGCCAAGTTTGCTATCATGATTCCGCCAGTTATTTACGGTGTCAGCACACGCGAGAAGCGACTTTCTATCCAGCTGCCGACTATGGTGCGGTACTCGGTTAAACATGGCTATCCCGGTATGGTCGGTGACGGCCTCGCTGTCTGGAATCAGGTGCATGTGAAGGATCTCGCTCGCGGTTACCTAACTCTCCTACACTGGTTGGAACAGACCTCGTGCGAGGAGGTCGCCGAGAACCCTTACTTCTTCTGCGAGAACGGCGAGGAGCTCTCATGGGGACAGTGTGCTGCGGAGATTGGTCGCATCCTGCATAAGGCAGGCAAGGTGGCCGATCCGACTCCCAAGACCATCCCTACTGAGCACTACAACGATCTGTTTGGCGAGTATTCGGGCCTTGTGATCGGATCCAACGCACGTAATCGTGCTAATCGACTCCGGAAGCTGGGTTGGGAGCCGCGGGAGAAGAGGACCTTTGCCTCCTTGGCGGAGGACGAAATTCCGCTCATTCTGCAGGAGACAGGAGAATTCACAGGGTATGCTGCTCCGGTTGCATCGGGAAAGTTTGAGGGCAAGAAGTGAGAGGTTTTTGTTTCTAAAACCTGTCTTGGAGAGTGCAGTACCCAATGTGTAAATAGTTAGATGAATGTGTGACTCGGCCTAACCCTTTGACCAAAAAGCGACCTGCATTATGTTTGGCACTATTCCTATGCTTTATCCTTTTTTATCTGCGTAGTATTTATTTCCAAGTTAGTTCTCTCATGGTAAATTTCTGGGCGAGTCTAGGCGCGCCCCCAGGGGGGGGCTGTATGTTCCATACAGCCAGTTATCCCAACAACAGCAACTGAAGTATATATGGTTATAGGATATAACCACTTTAAAAGTACTATTAGCTTATCTTCCGGTTCTAAAAATATCTAGTTATTTTGTACAAAAACCTTCCTAGACTTATTACGGCAACATCCACCCCTCCGAGACTGGCGCCATGCCTTCCTTCGTGTGAAGGATGATGGGTCAGTTTCACTCAGCTGTCCTCATTGAACTGGCTTAGACGGGAACATGCACGAGTGTTGCTCATACAGCCACGGAAGCTTACAAGGTTAACTGGATAGGTGGGATTAACTTTGAAGGAATCACTTATGCTCCAGATGTACTAGGGTACTGGTACTGTGGACACCTACGACAGAGAATGCGGGGTCCCCGGAGCAGCGTATAAGAGCGTCAAGCCATTCCCCAGTTTTGGCTCTCTTCTCAACGCGTCGAGCTTCAGTAACTCGAAAAAATGGAGGAGAAATCAATCGACGAAACACATCACATCGACCATGTATCCCAGGGGGCTCCCGATGCAGAAGCCATCACAATCCGCCATCAACAACTCCTTCGCAAAATTGACTGGCGTCTGCTTCCCTTGTGCGCATTTATCTACCTGTTGAACTACCTGGATCGCTCGAACATCGGAAATGCTAAGGTCCTGAACGCTGAAACCGGTGATTCGCTCGAGCAACAAACCGGAATGACCGACACAGGCTATTCAATCACCCTTACACTGTTTGCTGTGGCATATGCGCTGTTCGACGTGCCCTCCAACTGGATCCTAAAACGCTATGCTCGCCCGTCATACTGGCTGGGGACGCTAATGCTTTGTTGGGGTGCAGTGACCCTCGGCTTTGCGAGGGTGGATAACATGCCCACGGTCATGGTGCTACGTGTGTTGATCGGAGTACTCGAGGCTGGATTCTTCCCTGGAATGGTCTACCTCATCACCTTCTGGTACCGACAGGAAGAGCGCTCCATCCGCATTGCCTTCATTCTCGCAACCGCGACGCTTGCAGGGGCCTTTGGAGGCTGCATCGCCTACGGTGTGGCGTTCTTAAACGGAAAAGGCGGGCTCGAGGGGTTTCGCTGGCTGTTCATCATTGAAGGAGGAGCAACAGTCCTCGTCGCTCCTTCGGTGTTTTTGGGGTTGCCTAACTACCCATCCACGGCGAAGTGGCTGACGCTTTCGGAACACCGCTTTGCGATTGAGAGACTGGAGCAGGATGGAGGCGTACCCACCCGGGATCGGGCGTCTAGGGGAGAAGTCTGCGAGACTTTGTGCAGCCTGCGGATGCTCCTTCATTACCTAGCTTATGTATGTTGTCCACAGCTTCTGGTAGTAGAACCTTCGAGAGTCATCATCACTAACAAGGAATATTAGTTTACGAACAATATCGTGACGAGCTCTTTGGCCTACTTCAGTCCTACTATAGTTAAGGGCCTGGGGTATACGTCCATCGAGGCCCAGCTGATGACTGTTCCCCCGTGGGCGGTTGGATATGTAATCTCGATACTCTTAGCCTGGTCTGCGGACCGATTCAACGCTCGTGGGCTCCATGTCTGTCTCGCAGGGGTGCTTACAGGTACCGGATTTCTTGCTAGCCGCCTGTTTCCAGCGGAGGCTTACTTGCCCCGATATGGATGTCTCATCGTCGCCTCATGCGGTGCCTTCCCCAGTCTTGCACCCTTGACGGCGTGGGTGACATGTAACGCCCCTTCTGCGAGGACACTGGGACTTGCCGCCGCAATGAACAACTCCATGGTTGGGCTGGCTTCCATCTTAGCATTGTGGATTTGGAGATCGGTAGAGGAAGACCGTGGGTTTCCTACTGGGAACACAGTCTGCGCGGTAGCTGGGTATGCTACTGCAGGGCTGGCATTAATATTACATTTCTTCTATACAAGGGAGAACAACAGGACGACTGGGCAGCTGCAGAGGCTCTGGGCGCTTTGAATAAATCGGCTCTGGCTAGGATGTATCGAGTGCATGGTTGAAACGACGTTATATGTGAGCTATTATTTGGAAATAGGACTACGAGTACTGTGCAATTGAAAGTGTTACGTGTTAAAAGTATCATTACAATGGGCATCAGTAGATAATTGCTCCAGATATGATCCATAAATCACGAGGCGCACTCATTCATCTCCGACGCAGCAGTGTTTCGGCTATATGGGTGCGCACATGCATGAATTCCGATGGAGACTTAGAGGAGAGGATGGGTTTATAGGCAAAGGCTGCACGACTGTAGCTATATAGGCTCCTTTTATACCACGTGCCACATATTTGGCCTGCCAACAACTCTTCTTTTTTTCAAATTAAACATGCGCGACATCACGCTCAATCCCTTGCTCCTCTGCAACCTCACCGGCAAAACTGCTGTCCTGACCGGTGGCGCCGGGGGAATTGGCACCGCCATCGCAAAACTACTACTGAAACATGGCGCGAATGTCGTAGTGGCAGATTTGGAACACACACGTCCCATAGTGGAGACAATGATCGTGGATCTTCCTGGTTCGTGCAGGGGACGAGTGCAGTTCGTCGCAACGAACATTGTGAAGTGGGATCAGATCACGGCACTCTTCCAGTCCGCTAAGGAGCGATTCGGTTCAATAGAACTGGTAATCGCCAACGCGGGAGTCATGGAAAGAACGCCAGTGTTGGACATGGATCAGATCGACGAACATGGAAACCTGGAAGAGTCGCACGAGTTCTGCAAAGTCATTGATATAAATGTGAAGGGAACCATGAACTGCCTCCGCCATGCTATATTCAGTATGAAGGGGAACCAACCATGCTACCCAGATGGATCGCGCGGCGCAGTGGTCCTTGTGAGTTCGATTTCGGGCTACTTTGGTGGCACAGGTGTATCAGGGTATATCACTTCCAAGCACGCGGTGACGGGGATGCTGCGTGGATCGCAGCTGGTTGCGAGCAAGTACGGCATTCGAGTCAACGCTGTTGCTCCGTTTGTTACTCCCACGGCCATGGCAGGCGAATTCTCCGAGGCGTGGCAAGCGAAGGGCCTTCCGATCAATACGACTGAAGGTGTAGCCACAGCCGTGCTGACGCTGGCCTTAAACCCTGCAGAAAAGGGATCTTGCTACATAGTATGGCGTTCCTTCTGGCACCGTGACAACGGTGCTCTCCTTGATCCCTAATATTGACAACAATCGCAGGTTTCCGGTCCCATTCTCCGAGAGGTAGAACATACCCAGAAACTTCTACTGACGGAATGGCTTGGAGAGGACTTGACACGGGTGTTCAGAGATGCTAATGAGTTCTTTGAGAGCCAGGGGGGATATCGATTGCCAAAGTGAGGTGTTCCAGATAGTCAGTCCCTACTAGAAAGGTCTAACTAGTAATCAAATATAACGCCGAGTAGTTATCTCAAGGGTGTACAGAGCTGCAGATTTTCTTCTACGATGAACAAAGAATCTCGAACATAGGACTATCATCTTGCCAACCTTTCAGCCAGCCCTTGTCTGGATTGGTCATGCGGTCAACGTGAGTAAGAATTCCATCGCGGAATCCAAATGAAATCATCCTGCAGATCCTTTCTATTGAGCGGCAATTAGGTTAAATCATCCATTTGCCGGGCGTATACGCAAGACTGCCGCGGCTGCATCCTCATTACTTCCCCCGTTTCTATCTCTGCAACCCCAGTGTCCCCACGGCTGCATAGTTACCCCGGCCAGCACCGTGGGGGTAATATGGATAGCGGGGGTGAAAGGTTCAGCTGCTGATACCAGTACAGTTCCAGATAAAGATGGGCTTGCACACTCGGAGAAAAGACAATACATCTTGATCATTCACTATTCCTCAGCTACAGCCACAGCCAAACACAAACATGCCTGCAAAAATGCTAACTCAACCCGACTTCGACGCGATTGTCATTGGCGCTGGCTTCGGCGGTATCTACATGTGCAAGAAGCTTGTCGCCCAGGGGCTGTCTGTCAAAGTCATTGAAGCTGCGCCCGATGTGGGAGGAACATGGTATTGGAATCGCTACCCTGGTGCATTGTCAGAGTGAGTTAGGCTCATCACACGCGAGGTTGTCCGTTAGAAAGAAGCTCATTCGACTAGCACGCGGTCGTTTCTGTACCGATACTCGTGGGACCTTGAAGACCTCCGCCAGTACCCTTGGAAAAGAGAGTATTTGACACAGCGAGAAATCCTTGCCTACTTGAACCATGTTGTTGAGCGGCATGATCTGCGACAATACATGCAATTCAATACCGAAATGCAAGGCGCCTCTTACGATACCGACCAGAACTTGTGGACTGTTTCGCTGTCATCCGGCCAGCAATTAAGAGCTCGATATCTTATTACGGCAGTTGGGCTTTTATCCAAAATCAATTATCCCGACATCCCTGGACTGAATTCATTCAAGGGCGAAATGCACCACACCGGCAACTGGCCCTCGTCTTATGACTTCACGGGAAAGCGGGTTGGAGTTATTGGAAACGGATCCACGGGAGTTCAACTAATCACTGCATTGGCCGATCAAGATGTCAAACAGCTGCTCTCATTTCAGCGGCATCCGCAGTATGTCGTTCCAGCGGGCGACGCGGAAGTGCCTCCTGCCACTCGAGAAGACCTTGATAAGCGCTGGGAGCAAGTCTGGAGGGAGGTAAAGGACAGCACTTTTGGGTTTGGCTTTAAGGAAAGTTCAAAGCCCACCTTCAGTGTCAGCGAAGAAGAGCGCGACAGGATTTTTGGGGAGGCTTGGGCCAAAGGGGGTGGATTTTATTTCATGTTCGGCACGTTTTGCGATATTTCCTACAACGAAGAAGCGAACAACGCCGCTGCGGAGTTTATCCGCCGGAAGATCCGCCAAAAAGTGAAGGATCCTGTCAAGGCAGAAAAGCTCATGCCATATGATTGGTATGCCAGGCGGCCGTTGTGTGCTACTGGCTACTACGAGAAGTTCAACCGTCCGAACGTGGACGTCGTCGATATCAAGACCAATCCGATCACCAAGATAACAGACAAAGGAATCCAAACGGCCGAAGGATCAGAGTACGAGCTTGATGTTCTAATCTTTGCAACCGGCTTTGATGCGGTAGATGGTAACTACAAGCGGATGTGTATCCAGGGCGCCTCACAGGATACCCTAAAGGATCGGTGGAAGGAGGAGCCCAGTTCATTTTTGGGGGTCTCGATCCCTGGATTTCCTAATCTATTCTCCATCCTCGGTCCTAACAGTCCGTTTACCAATTTGCCGCCCTTGATTGAGGTCCAGGTGGAATTCATTTCCGATATGATCTCTCACGCGAGAAAAGTGGCGGCTGCTGAACCGGCAACAAACGGCCCGCGTGTGGAGGCAGATGCAGCAGCATTACGAGACTGGATTCAAAAGTGCGACGAGCTCAGCGCCGACAGTCTATTTCGGAAAACCAACTCGTGGATCTTTGGGGCGAATGTGGCTGGCAAGAAACCTTCAGTGCTGTTTTACTTTGGAGGGCTGGCGATGTACAGACAAGCCCTACAGAAGATTGTGCAACAGGGGTATAAGGGCTTTAGCATTGTTTGAAGTGTGAATTCTATTGTGAATACTTCGATAGCAATGTACATGGCTCATCTGAGACTATATTGGGCGTTTGTTTTGAGTTAAGACCAACTACGAGGTCTTACCTAGTAGACGTGGGCTTGCATGTTACCACGGCTATATGTGCCTTTGCCACCAATATCATCCAATCTTTGCAATCCTCTTTGGCTTTCACAATGCCCACCCATGACAATCTATTCCCCAAAGTCTTGTAACCGTTGTGATTTAATTGGCTTCTACTGAGTCACTCAATCTCTTTACCCCAGATGCCCCAGTTTACTATATCAACTAACCCCGCACAAAAGTTGCAATATTAAGAATATCTCTCCCCACAAAAAGGAAGGGGCTAATTCTGTGGGTGCTCTTTCTGCAATGCGCTCTCCACTCCGCCTTGTGCCTTTTCATCCTTCTCAGACACTGCCATGTCAACGAATACTAACACCAACACCGCTTCCCATACAGCCAAGCCTGAAAAATCACGACTCCGTGCAGCCAAGGCATGCAGACGATGCAGCCAGCGCAAAATCAAGTGCGATGCAGTACAGAATGGACTACCATGCAGTCGATGTCGGATGGACAATACAGATGATTGCACGCTGACTCTGTCACGAAGAGGCACCTATGATAGAAACGTAGCGCGTGACCTGCGATTGAAACGACAACTGCAATCGTCATCTGCCGGAGTCCCTGATCCATCACGTCCAAGTGCACAGGGTAATGCGGCAGCTAGAAGAACATATTCTGAAGGCAGCCGATCCACAGTCGAAGCTCCTCTGGAAACGACGCCTTCCCCCTTGGAATCTGGGAGCTCCCGGCAATCAATAGCTGGCTCGTTGACTGGTTCCATTGGGCGCTCAAAGTCGGCTATGTTTGAGGAATTTTTGAGGTGGAGAGACAGAAAGATTAAAGGAAGACTGGGGCTGTTTCTTCTTGGAGAACCGTCCCCATTGACGTTTGCCCTGGAAGAGCTCCCGCAGGGCTCTGGCCCTCAGCTTCATGATGCAAGTGACCAGATATGCAATAGCTCCAATCTGGAGGTCATTCAAAAGGATGTTCACCCACAACATCTGGATGAAGCCGATATCACGTATCTGAAGGCCAAGGGGGCGTTTACCCCCCCATCGGAAAAGACACTGGATGATTTGGTTGCAGTTTACCTGTCACGTTTCCATCCTCTCTACTCCATAGTGAACAAGGTTGAGCTTGAAAAGGTCCATAAGGAGCACAAGCTCCCATGGATTCTTCTTCATGCTGTTTGCTTCATCGGAGCAACTTTTTGTGAACCATACATACTGCATTCCGCTGGGTTTCTGTCTCGAAGCGATGCCCGCCGCCACTTCTATCAGAAAGCAAAGCTGCTATTTGATGCTAGTTATGAGGCCAACAAGATTATTTTGCTTCAGGTGGCTATTATGCTGAGCTTTCGGGGCCCTCAAATGCAGAGTTATTGGAATCCATGCTCCTGGGTCGGCTTTGGGGTGACATTTGCTGTCTCGCTAGGTCTCCATCGTTCTACAGCCTCATCAAATGCACCCGGCGGTGATACAGGTCTACTGAGGAGACTCTGGTGGACATTGGTAGTGCGAGATACCTACTGTGCCGTCTTACTCGGGCGCCCTTTTCGTATCGATCTTCCCCATTCTGACGTGGAGATGCTGACGCCGGATGATTTTATCTACGACAGCCACGATGAAGCCTTCTACCAAATTCAGATGGCACGTCTGTCTCCAATCCTGCGGGACATTACCCATTGCCGCTCTGGAGACCGGAAGCTCTACCCACAGGTCGTCCACGCACAAATCGAGGCGTGGCGAGCTGACCTGGAGGTCTCGCTCCAACAGTGGCCAGGTGGATCTCCTTCCTTGACGTGGTCAACTGCGCTGGAGGTAATTTACAATTATTATCTCTTGCTTCTATATATCGACAAACCTGATGTATCTCGGCAGCAAATGTTCTATCGGCAACCGGGCTCCGAGCGTCCCTCCCAGGAACTGGTTGAATCAACAGCCAGAGCCATTGCATCCAAGGCGATCACCCTTATGACCAAGGCCCGCTTGTCTTACCTCCCTCATGAGGTATTTCCGGGATTCTTCGTCGCTGGTATCATCCATTACCGGCAAACGCAGCAGAATGACCCAATGGTGGCTCAGATGGCACGCGCAAGTTTGGACAATTGCCGTGTTATCCTCAACGAAGTCAAGGAATTCTGGGAACCTGGTGAATGGGCAATCGAAATCTTTGATTTCCTCAACATGAGCCAACAGGACAACTCACTGAGAAATGCTAGCCCGTCACCTTGTCAAGGGCAAGCAAACACCACTACACTTCACACCGATATTCCCGCAGACTTCCTCCCACAGGAGGACAGTGGCTTGTTGAACCATTATATTTTCGGTTCCAACTGGGAAACAGTTATGCAAGGAGGGCTTGCACATTCCGCAGACGACTCCTTACTGATGCCATGCTTTCTACCATCAGTTGTCGATGAACGGTCCTTCCTTCAGCCTTAAGGTAAATATGGCAAAGATATGAATTTAGATAACTTCTAATGTATACTTATCCTTATATCTTTTCCGTTGGCTTCAGCACTAAGCGATTGTTATGGATTATTATGGCTCGATTCATTATACATTCGGCCCACCACAATCAACGTCGGTTGAAATATACGTTTCTGGTCAACGTATAGCTCTATAAGTCAATCTCTACATATATCCTCACATGGACATCAGATGTTTCCTCGCACTCCAGTGAGTTCACTTGTAGCGAATGCATCTTGTTCCTTCTTTGTAAGCAGGTTCCGAATGGCTGACGGCATGGAGACATAACTGGAACCCTGCTTTCCACCGTGGAGAGTTCCCTCAAAGAAACGCCGTACAGTCACCGCAAAGGAGTAAATGTCGCCAAGCGTCCCCAGTACTTGCATACCTTGATAGAATCGTTCAAAAGTTTCGATTCCCATGCAGCCGTTGTTGGCCTTGAAGTCAAGCACCAGCCTTGCTAGGACCGGAACGAGCAGTGCAACCGTGCTGGTTGGGAGATATTGAACAAGCCCAAGTTGATTCAGATCCTGCAAGATCGATGGCATCTCGCATATAACCTGGCCATACTGCGCTCTCGGTAAGCTCAAGCCTTGAAATCGCGGACTCCCGGCCTCTCGATGAAGGGTTCCTATTGTTGCGAGAAATATTACCCGAATCCACGCACGTTGTACATGAAGTTTGTGGCATGACCCAAATCTTCCGATCGTAGCGGCTCATATTGAAGTTCTACAGGAAGCTCTTTGCACCAGGCTTCTAAACCCTGGAACGCTTCCTTCCATCGATCTTTGCAGGAGTCTCGCGAAGTTTGACGCCAATTCTTTTCCTGATAATCGCGGGAAAAATAATATGTCCCAAATGAGCATTGACAGTTTTGCTTTCTCAATGAAGCCCACCGCTAAATGTCGCTGAAGATGTACATTTTGGAGAAAGTCGCAATCGCCAAGCGCCATAATGATCTTCGGTGAATGGCAACCGATATTGAATTCTTCCAGGCTGATTAGAGGAAGCCTATTCTTATCATTTCCGTAACACAATGGTCGTCGCAGATTCTGAGCAAGCAACGTATCGCGAGTATACAGGCACCACCAGAGGCGTTTCCATACCTTTTGGAGTTGGGGGTTCATGGGCGACGTCGAAGGGTCGCAGTCGAGGCCAATTGAAGCTCCAAGCGACCAGCAAACATTGAGCCAGTATTGCGAGTCCTTGGGATTGTCCGGGGTTTCGTGCCAATAGGTCATGAGCAGAAGGGCCTGAATAAGTACCACTCGGTCTTTCTCAATGTCAAAGTCGTATAAAGTCTACACTCGCATATTAGAACACCTGCTGACCGTGTCTGCTTCCAGGGTAGTCATGCGCTGAACATACTCGGGCCCTCAGATAGAACTGTTCGCGTGCTTCCTTTCTGGTCTCATATCCAGCGTTGTGGAGGTGCTTTAGCTGAACAAACGCTGTTGCTGAAAACATAACGGCGTGAAAAAGGAGCAAGCTCACGGTCTGAACCCCGTCATTGGATATGACCGGAAGAAGGAAAGATTCCAAATCCAAAACGGGAAGAAATGGATAGACGCTCTCGACAAAGGCTTTGAGGAGTTCATGCCGGAGAATCGTGTCTGGCACACGAAAAACTCCCTTGAATTCCAGATATTCCATATCTTCTTCCGGGATATCTTCCGACATGCTCCGAATAAATCGTGGCAATACTGGCACAAAACTAAGAGATGGATGCCCCAACCCAAGAAAGTCGTGAAGCTCTGTAACGAGGTTATCGAGGGGTCTTGTAAGGTGCACTTGAGAGTTCTCGGCCATGCCCCTTAGGTATTCACTTTCACTCTTAACTTGGATTTCCACTGCATCTGTTAGGCCAAAATGCCCTCCCAACATCACAGGGCTGACGCTCTTACTGGTGACACTCTCAGGGGAACAACTATAGGTTCACAGTTAGCTCTATCCAATCTTAACCACATACCTGCAGATTCAAGCATACCCAATAGGCACTTTACCACGCGCACAGCATTGTCTTCTCATCAAACGACATCTTGTACATGGGAACCCACCGAAAGACGCATCGCACCATAGATTGTTTGCCTCACAGGAGGCGCATATAGTATAACATGAGGTTGTCATTTTTTTTGTTTTATATATATATGTATATGTATTTTATGGCAAGAAGAGCAATCTCGTAAACAGAGTATAAGAACAAATGTAAATAACTATGTGTCAGAAATGATGAAGCAATAAACCCAGTAGAAATAATTACTCCCCGATGTTCCGTGGAGTAAGGCTGCTACGCATACCTGGAGTGGACCAGGAAGTAAACATAAGCAGCCGCGGGTATATTCATGATCTCATCACCTATTTGCACAGAGGCAATAGCAGGAATTCATAAAATGAGAGAGAAAAAAAAAAGGGCATCACATTTTGGCATGAAGATAGTCTTGATATAGCAACTAATTTCATTTTTTGAATAATTAATCTCAGTTCAGACAACAGAAATCAATCATATTTTCCTGAAAGCCAAGACTGTTGTTACTCTCCTCGTCCTAGGAGCTCCGCCACACCTGGCTGAAGAGTGCAGTGAGACAAGCACACCCTTTTGGGCGCCCCGAACCACAGATCACAGGAGAACCACAAAACCAGTCTTAAGTCCCCGACCAAAGTGCATGTGTGTGTCTTTGCTGACAAGGCCTGGCACCTTCCATGCCTGAAATAATAATGTACCGTTCCAATGTCGAGAAAGGGCTCCTCTCTAGCGCCACCCCTGATTTTGTGGTCTTATCGTTGCTTCTTGTAAGAAAGAAGCTTCGATATAGTGCTTGGTGGGTTATCTACCCCGCTAATAGCGCCTATCTCGGTATCTCGGCTATTAGGCCCCTTGTTTGTTATTATTATTATTATTATTATTATTAATTTCATTCACGCATCTGTCAGCCCTATCGGCCGAGTGGCGGCAGGTCCCTGCCGGCGGCTGGGTAGGCCGCTACTATCTTACATACACTAGATCTACGGCAGGCCTAATTGTCCCTCTGCCCCCGCAGATATGCCTAGTATAAGGCCCGTTGCTCCTATCTTCGCGTCTAGATGATCCAACCACCCCGAGAGGTGTCTAGCCTAGTGTTCTCCCTCGTCAAATAATCCCCTTGTTTGTTGTTGAGATAGTCGGAGAAATATAAGCTCCGGCAATGTGGGTTTCATACAGCGCTAGAGTGACATCACGTGTATTACCATCGGCGTTCCAATCGTCCAATCACTGCATTCTGCATCCATTAACCGCCTTGCGAATTGCAATACACAAGTGGCACTGACGTTTACGAACTAGGCAATGAGTCGGACATCCTCAATAACTGATATCATGAGCTCTTTGCCCATATTTCCTCTGCCTGTTCTTCGCATGACCTTTACGTAGATTGTCCATGTCCGCTTGTATGGTTTTCCTGTTGGGCAGTGCTAAAATGGCAAGGTTATTAAATAGACGACGAAATTAAAACTTGGTATAGAGTTTAAATGTTCTTAGGACACTTGGAATCGCAATCGCATCTGCATCCTTTCCCTTTCTAGCTAAGGCGCAAGTCTCTGTTGCCAGTGTCTCTTCTATCTCCGACAGCCCGATGATAAGCCGCTAGCAGCCACAATATATCAAAGGAAAGGGTGCTTCGAGTAGGTCTGAGTCTGAGCTGCACACCATTGATTGCTGCCTAAAGTGATCATCATGGCTGTGCTACGTCAAGAAATAAGATATAGCCAATCAAACCTTGAAAGACCGACCTGTGTGGGTCAAAGGGAAATTTAATTGGTTAAGTCTGGGCGACCAGGGGGTGATTGCAGAACACCACTCACCCTGTCTATTCTGCACTCACCCAGACTCACCCAGGCTCACCTAAGGTCGCGTGACTTAAAGCAGCGTCGCGCGACGGCTGCAGTTACTGACCTTTTAACTGCGTTGAAGCCACACGCCGGCCGGTTAGTAGTTGGGTGGGTGACCACCAGCAAATCCCGGCTGTTGTATGTTGGTTATTCACCTCTTTTTTTGAATTCGTTAGATTAGCGCCTGTGCCGCCTTATCTTCAGCGCTGTCACCTGAATCCCTGAAGGCCTCTAATCTTCACCCGCCAAGCCTGAACTGCTGGCGTGTCCCTTTGAGCCCCTGCAGAGAGGAAGTTTGACTTGTTTACACTCAACAAAGTTCCCATCCTGTTTAGCTTCCTTCTTCTGCGGTGATTTTAGTTCTGAGTGCCCTCGCTTTGGAAGAGCTAAAGCAATTACTCCAGTTTCTTATACAAAATGTCCAATCACTCCCTTTGTTCTTGGTTTTTCGACAAGATTGCCTCTTTACGTGTTGAATTTGATCCCTTTACAGTAAGCGGGCTGAATGGGTTTCATGCCTAATCACATGACCAACTCCAGCTTTTGAATCATGTGATGCTACCCGAACCCCACCCATCATCATTGCCCCTCTCAACTGAAGAAATGGTGCCATGACATATACTACTGAAGCTTTATTTTCACACCACTTGTCGGTGGATAGTAAAGGAGTGCCTCAGTCTGTAAGTCGTCCTGATATTCCTTGATAGCATCAGTTGCTTACACTTAAGCAGTCCAAAGTAGTTTTGAAGCGCTACTCCTAGTAAGCAATGGGTGCTAGAGACAGTGATATTGCCTGCAACCTCACAGATCTGGTGAAACTTGGGAAAGACTTCTTTAATCTCATTAAGATTGCAGCAGCCAATTACACTACTATCACTCAGAGTCACTCACTTGAGAATGGTTAATCATACAAACCTTTGTATGTCACACCAGCGTGCATCAACATGATACAGAAGTTTGAGAGAGATTATCTGCTGAGGGTATGTTTACAATAAGATGTTAGCAAAAGATATGCACTAACATGACTAGATTCTAGCAGATGTATTAAATCCCTTAGAAATCGCTGATAACCGCACAAATGTTTTCCTGCTCGGGAGAGGGCCCTTTTTCCCAAGGCCACTTCTTACATATCTTATCATGGTTCTACATAATCCAGAAGCATTAAAACTATATACAGATAATTTTCGGTCCCAAAGAGTTCGACTAGAGAATAAAAAGGCTTCTATGAGCCTCATAGCAGGAAATAGTAAACTCATAACAGAGGGTAATGGCGCTGCAGTATGTTTGGTCTTAGGTTTTAAGAAAAAGACATGACATGCACAAGTTGCGAATTAATGAATCATACTTATTTCCAGATCCAAGGCTTGAGCGGTTCCCAGCTTACTTATACTTGTCATTATAGCGTAAGGATTGGGACCAAAGATTACCAAGAGGAGGGCTATGCTTGACATATATACATCTGGGTTTGAGAACATGCTTGTGCTCTCCATCACGTCATAAGGGTTTGAGGCGTCGTCCATTCGACAGGTGCTTGTCATCATATTGAAAGGATTCTGTGTATTATATGATATTCTGTTATTTGTGTTTGTCGATAATTCGCCACCTATATCTGTCCTGTTTAAATTGGCAGCTGGGGCCTCTCAATTGTCTTTAGAAGACATTTGATTGACCGCAGCAAAGTTGAAAGGCGTGGAACCAGATGGTTGGCAAGTTGGGTTACAAGGTTTCGGAGACTGCTGAGAGATCCCCAGATTTTGTGCCTCTTGCACATTTGTTTCGTATGCTATTCGTGTATGGGGTGATTCATAGCAATTTCCAAGGGGAGCTATAATATCAGCAAGTGCTCATCTTATAACTATAAGGTATATTCTTACATAAATACTGCTCCAGCTGATGGGAAACAAGACCAACTGCAAATAAAAAAAACAATAGGATTTAGTGGGCGGCATGATGAGCATCTACTCTTGATGCTTCCTGTGTAATACCCCTTCTCTTAAGGGACATCAGCATGTTACTACGTCTTGGTCCCTTGCCTTATGGTAGCTCTTGCAGCCAGCTAAAAAAATATGTCAGCAAACAGAATCATTGAGTCCGTCAAGGCCTTACATGTTCTCGCCGATGTCTTCAGGAAGAAGAAACAGAACCCCAGGACCTTCAAGGTCCATGGACAGCAGCCAAAGCCTCTCACCCTTATCCACCCAGGTACGCAACTTTCTCTGAATCGCATGTTCTCCAGCGCTGACCATATCAGTACGCTTGATCATGTCAGAGAGACAAACTATTGCGTCCTGGCGGAAGCCATCGCGTTGAAGTTGGTCTTTCATCAAATAGAATGCAACATAGCATAGTCGACAACGTACTTTCTCGATGATCATAACCCGTTCAATGCCACAAAGGAACAAGAATGATTTCGCAACAAACTCATCCGGAGACTTAACTGGCAGCTCTTGACCGTAATCTTGCGACTCTGGCAGGCGGAGCGGAAATTTCTGCGGGAGGCTTTTCCACTGCTCTAAGAGCGGCTGTAGTTCTTGAGGAAGATGTATTGGCGAATATATTTGGGCAGCTCGGTCTACTTTGTTTTGGCGACGACTGATTCGAGCAGGTATTCTTCTGACGACGGATCTTGCGATAGTCTCGATATCCTATGCTGGTTACCCATAGTTATTCATATTCTTATTAAGTGGCTTACCTTAGAAGCCCAAAGAAAGCTAGGGTCAAGATCAGTTTTGCCCTCTTTCTGTGCCTTGTTACAAGCCTTAAGAACATGAGTAGCTAGTAGCTTGCTCTCATTAATACCCATTATGTTAATGTGCAACTGCGACCCAGGCTGGAAGATGGAGACTGTTTATTTATCACAAGTAGGGAAGTAAGCAGGTCACCTATCGTAAATTCGTAATCCACCGCGCTAGACATATCACATGAATGAATCTTTTACTGACAAGGATTATGACTACATCCAAATATGGACTAAAGGGAAGAAAATAGATGTATTTGCCAACTGTGGATGGTATATACATGACAGTACAGATCCGTCACACGCAAATACCTGCATCCTGTGCTAATCATGAAACACTGTGGCGTCAGTGGCGTCTGCTCTGAGCCCAGGTCGCAAGGATTGTTATGGCGCCAAAAACAATTGCTATGAAGCTCAGGGATCTCCTCTCCGAGACGCATCTTAAAGAACGATTAAATAGTGACGGCGATGTGCTCTCCATGTTAAAAGAACTCAACGCCTGATGTAAACAATGTGCATTCTGAAATCCTCCTTGCGTCCAGCATTTTTCAATTATCAGGCTGACCCACAGACCGTTTGTGCTGGGAAGGGACGTTCGCTGGGGCCAAATTGCTCGACCATCATCGGGGGCGTTATCTTTGAAGAGATCAAAATCACACTTAGACCCTGTTACAACTTCGTACATCACTGCTCCAAGTTGTCCGATATCTGTCTGTATTGAGAACCCGTTATCGTCGGCTAATTCCATAACTGTGTCCAGTGGGAGAACAGATGCTTCGGTGAAATCGCACAGCTTGACAGAGAGATCAGAATCAAGGAGGAAGTTGCGAGTAGCAATATCCGCCACAAGCACACGCTTATCATGGATCTGCTCCAGTGTACGTGCCATTTGACGAAACCATGACATCTGGAGTGCCCGAGATGGCTTATTCTTTTCCAAGTAGGCGCGAAGGTCGCCGTTTTCCATGTAGGCGAGTTGAGTAGCTTTCGTGGAGAAGCCGATACAAGGCACAACACCATCAATTTGACCATTTCCGCTCCCAGTGGAATTCAATCGACGGTAGACTTCTTGCTCTCGCTGAATAACCTCCACATTCAACTGAACATCATCCTCAGTACTCCATGGATGCCTTAAAGGCGTCTTGACGGCTAGCCCATTACGCAACATCACGACACCGGACCTTCCATATCCTAGAATTTCGCTGTCGGGTATAGGTTGACCATCAAGGTCTATAAACAAAGAAGATGCCATTGTAGGCTCGAGTTTCAAGAAGGCTCTTATGAGGGACTGAATATGTATTGTGACTGAGAGCTGGAAACATAAAACCACAGGTTTGTTGGCCCCTTCTTATAGCTACAGGACAGAAACCCACAATTCACGTGATAAAATGCCAAGAATCTAGCCACAGACAACTGAACCGCTGTCGCGCAATTTTACGATTCTATCCTGATCACTTATGGTTGGGCATCGCATGTGGTTCAGGAAAATAGTTTCGAGGCCGGCTTAGTGTCAAGACAATGTATTCAAGTTGCATAAAAACTGAAGTAATAAAGAGAGCATCGCCAAGTATATGTTGAATATAAAGGCGCAAATGAGATCCAAACCATCAAAAAGCTTCCCGGCTCTGTTTTGCTATCCAATGCTTCGGATTAAGGCATCTTGCCTTGAAGTCCATTTTTATTATAGTAGCACCGGCAGTGGTTTCCTACCTGTCACGCTCCAACCTTAACACTTTGACCAAGCAAACCACTGCCACCTGCATCTCCGGGGCCTGGATTGGTATCGTCTGGCTTTGGGTTTTGAGTGCGATGCCTTGGGCAATCCGCTTTTCGCCGAGTAGAACTCGTTTGCGTCGTTGGAATGGGGTTGGGGCACGCGCTCCCCCTTTGCTCGGCTGGGATACACCATTTGACATGATCTTCGGTCGGGTCAAAAAGGATACAGTTCTTTTGAGACTTCCCTTTGCAGTCAGGGAATTTGGCCGGAGTTTTCCACATTTGCCAACACATTTTCTATCATTTATCAGCATAGGTTTAAAATCGATTAACTGAGGATATTCACCGGAGAGATTTTGGCCTGTTCTGATGGTGGTAATAATGAATTGTGCTATCAGTGCCTGTACGCTTTGTATAGAATCAGCAGAGATTGACGCTATATTTATAACTATTTCTACTTATGATCCCTGTCATGGTGTACTCTGCATGGAGATGTGCATCAAGGCCAATGAAAAATCACATGACCAGGATTCTTAATGTTGATGCAGTGGAAAATAAATTTAGGGGCTGGTGTTGGGCATGCGCAGTATACGAGAAAGGCCTAAGCCTAAAATGTTACTAAGTCTTCGCACGCGAAGAGCTAATGCAGCTCCTAGCACTCCACAGCAAGTGACAAGTATCAAAATGCCAACTTTTGCAACTATGTAAGATGCATTAATAAGGTTGGTACATGGAACTACTGGCTGCCAGGACTAGTGCAATGTGTGAGTCTAGAACCATTCACCCATTCAGACGCATGATTGTCATCACGTCTGGAAAGCAGATAGCCATATGGATATCCCGAACATTATATGCAGCATTTTATTTGCAGTTCCAGGCTATTTGCCTCTTTGAACCAGCGCTATTTGTTCAATCGACCATTAGACCATGATGATACTACTTATGTGATGTCTGCAATAATGGTGCTTGTAATGCTGGTAGTCTAGTGCCTCCTGACAAGCACCAGTCCCCTGAGCGACCCGGGGAAACGTATTTGTGTATGCATGTACATAGTGTGCCTATTCAGCTTGAGATACACGTGATTGATCGATTTGATTCTTCTCCTTCTAGTCACGTGATCTGCGTCTTTCGGCCCCATTTCCCAGGCATCCAAGTTCAAGAATATAGGAGATGACGGCATATGCTTCTATTGGGAATTTGACATTGTTCTTAGTAGAAATGGTCTTCTGCCATAAAATTTGTAGGTCGCACAAGTTCATGGTTTGGAGAGATGTTGCGTCCTTGTTCGTGCGCATCCGAAGTTGGTCCCTAGATATATATCTGCTCCAACTCAAGTATCATGATCCGTACAAAGACGGGTTTGATTCCTGTATATGATCTTCTCTTAAACGCAGGACCTCACAGAGGTTTACTCGAGTTAGATTCGCCCAGAATTGTACATACCCGATGGAGCCAAATGGAACGTGTTGATAAATCCAAAGTTGCACGAAGCTCGGTCCCGAAATGCCTCGGCAACCCCGCATAAACACCACATACATAAATGGCCATCATCATCCGCCTCACATCAATCATGGCATTCTCATCGATTGCAGACCAAAGAAAAATCTACATTACTCCTCAAAACGCAATGTCCGGACCCGGAGCTGGTTATGAATTTCCCGCCCAGGAAGTCTCCTGGCTCAAGCGGGATGTGTTGCTCTTTGCCAACAGCATCGGGGCGACCGCCGACGAACTGCACTTTCTCTACGTATGAAGTCCCTCTGCTCTCAGGACTCTCAGGGTCATTATTAACAGTTTCATACAGGAGCTGCATCCCAATTTTGCCGTCTTTCCAACTTATCCGATTATCTTGTGTAAGTTGCGCCGACAAAGAGAGAACACTGCATGATCAATCCGGCTGACGTCTCTTGTAACATAGCATTCAAGCTCACAGACTCCGAGGTGACTGACTTCTATGCTCGTCAAAAAGCCAACCCGGTTCCTGGTGTCCCCAAATTCGATCCTAGACGGTCGGTTGACGGCCAGCGGAAATTGACCGTTCTCAAGCCCCTGCCCCCGAGCAGTGCTGGCAAGCAGTTTGAATTGCGCAACAAGGTCATCGGTGTCTATGACAAGGGCAAGGCTGGTTCAGTGATGGAGACAGAACAAACCATCGTGGACAAATCAACGGGGGAGATCTACACCAAGATAGTGAGCAGTGGGTTCTTTGTCGGCCAGGGTAACTGGGGTGGTCCCAAAGGTCAGTTACTCGCGTCCTTCTTCTCGAATTGCGGACATTAACCTGTGTTTCTAGGTCCTAGCACTCCCAACTATCCTCCCCCAGAAAGCCGTAAACCTGATGCCACACATGAAGTGCAAACCACAGCGGAAACTCCTCTTCTGTATCGGTAAGTCGTCGCGACGCGTGCGCTGGTCGATGCGAATCTTGACTGATCAGTGCTCCCTGAAGTCTGAACGGCGACTATAACCCTCTTCATGCTACACCCGAGCCAGGACAGCAGATGGGCTTCGGAGGCACCATCATCCACGGTCTCTTCAGCTGGAACAGTGCTGCTCACGCCATTCTCAAGGCGTTTGGCGGCAGCGACCCCAACAACTTTCGCGAATTCCAGGCACGCTTTGCATCTCCGGTGAGGCCAGGTGACCGTCTCACCACGGAAATGTGGAGGGTCGGCGATGCCACGGATGGGTTCGAAGAGATCCGATTTGTGACCAAGAATGACAAGGGGAAGGTCGTCCTGAGCAACGGTCGGGCTCTGATTAAAGTAGCCAAGTCAGGCTCGAAATTGTAAGATTCTAGAGTTAAGAGCATACCGAAGTACAATGTCTACCAAGATGCTCGTGCAGATCTCGACTGATTAAGATTATGGCTGAAGGTAGTTTAACATACAACGGTCCTCAACAGCAACGCTCCGACAAGAACAGGGAAATGTATATAAATCACTGAGAGAAGACCTACGCAGCATCAGCAATAATGACGTCGGCCGCCTTCTCGCTGATCATATAAATGGGAAGCGCGATGTACCATCCCGGGATCTTGGGGAACACCGAGGCATCCACGACGCGCAGGCCATCCACACCACGCACCCGGAAGTCCGAGTCAAGGACAGCATTCGGATCCTCATCGGCTCCAATGGCGGCGGTACAGCAGGCATGATGGCCCCAAGCCTCCCGCTTGATAAAGTCCTTCAGGTCCGCCTCGGATGTTATATTGGGACCCGGCCATACTTCTTCAAAGTTGCCGTCCAATGGCACCAGATCATTGAAGATCTTGCGGGAAAACAGCATGGACTCATAGACAGCCTGAAGATCCTTCTCGTCCGCGCCGTTCTCCGTTACACCACTATCGAAGGAATTGAAGTTGATGATCGGAGTATCTCTCGGGTCCGCGGAGCGCAGTTCGACCGTGCCGGCATTGTTCCGGCTCTGGGCTTTCAGGGTAATCCAGGTCCAGTATTGCGCATCCTTCAGGCCCTCGTACGAGTAGTTGGGATAGTAGCCTGGAAAGTTGACGGGAGCCCCTGAAATGAGCACATCGGGCTTTCCTTCGGCCGTGGATGTCTTACGGACGATAGCGATGGCAATGCCGTTGGTTGTATAGGTACCCTTGTTGATGGCGTTGTTTTTCCACTGGTCTAGGCAGGGATCGGGCATGCTATACATGAAGGTGCACTTGCTTGTGAGGACAAAGTCCGTGGGGGCCTTGCCCACCACGCCGGTCTCATACCGGTCCTGCAGGTTCTTGCCCACGCCAGGCAAGTCCACCAGGGTGCGGATGTTCCACTTGCTCAACTCTTCCTTCGGGCCAATACCACTGAGCTTGAGCAGCTGGGGCGTGTTGAAGGTGCCTGCCGAAAGGATCACCTCCTTGGCAGCGTTGACACTACCAGGAGTTCCTGCGGATGCTTTGCTTGCACGGGGATCGGCGCGGTACAGACTCTGACCCCGGAGATAGTCGACGCCGATGGCTCTGGGTCTCTCACCGGTCGTATCAAAACGAACATTTGTTACCAGTGTATTCAACTGGATGTCCAGGTGGTATTTGCGAGAGCCGTCCTTGTTGACACTGTTGACTGTCTTCATGAGAAAGTCTCGAGGACCGGTACGTTTGTACTCGGGTACGTCTACCGCGATGGGGACCTGAAAGAGCCCAGTCTCGTGGTCGCGGGTGGGCAGCGGGTTGTTGATGTCGCGCAGCAGGATTTCGCCCAACCCAGTGACGGTAGTGATGATCATGCCCAGCAGAGACTTTCCCACTGCGGTGGCTGCCGCAATGACCAAGGACAACAGCTTCTGATCCTCCAGTACTAGGGTCAATTGGGTCAGACTGGTGGTCAGCCAACCGTCAAAACCATGACCTATCAGGCTGCTGGGAAGGTATCGGTTGCGCTCGAGGCGTGTGAAGTAGCCGCGCATCTTATGAAAGGCCCAGGAGTCATTGCCAGTAAGCGTGGCGAGATCTTGCCAGTCGCTCTCATAGGGGTAGATGGTGCTATCGGAGTCAACATACAGCCAGGAAATCTCACGCAATTAAGGAGACTCACATCATGGCGTTGTGCGCCGAGCAACCACCCAGTGTGCCTGCACGGGGATACAAGATGCCCAGGGGTTCCGAGTTCGCTGGAGGATTCTGACCCACATACAACCCCCCGGCAGGAGTCCGGTAGGTCATCTTGGAGTCTTGTTTCTGGCGCTCGAGATCCGAGTAGTGATTCACAAAATAGTCCCATCTCATTGGCTCATACTCGGTTGATTGCAGTTGAAGAGCGGGAACTTGTTGTTGGAGGGCATCTCCTTGATCATCTCCGGCATCGAGCAACAACACCTTGAACCCGGCAATTGCCAGCCGGGCTGCCAGAGGGCCTCCTCCAGGTCCAGAGCCGACAACGATATAGTCATACTCTGCGGTCCCATTGGTCGCCCGCGGAGCGTTGTATGTTGACCGAGCCTGGCGTTCGTGATACGCTTGGTGGCTTGCATCATGACCACTAAAAGCATAGAATGAGAGTGTCAGCATTCATCAATTTGGACGATCCAAACGAGGTATACAATCAGGCTGCGTACCTGACCAAAGTCCCGAAGAGGAGGGTGCATATCGAGAAGCCCTTGCTGATGTGCATGTTGGGCCAAAGACTTTTTGCTCAAGGGACTTGCGATGCTGCCGGACAAAGGGACTCTAACAAGGAGCAAAGCACTGATTCAAAACGAGTTTATATCTGCAGAACATCAGAAGCAGAGTCTCCTGAATTGCAGCTGTCGCAACGTTTTCCATCACGCAGCCAACGTGAGTATTGATCGACATTCGCAAACAGACGGTCGATGGTCCGCTGTTTCTCCTGTTACCAATGGCCCTGAGGTTTTGGGTTATCGCTGCGAGGCGTGGCGCACATGAGCGTACCTGACTGAGAGCAATAATACGAGCGGACTGGCTCGAGCTCGAGGAATATTCAAGCCTCCTACGCCGGCCTGGACCCAAAGGACACTAGCCCCAGTCTGCGTGCTCAAAATACGTTCCCGCGTGCCCCCTAGTCCATCGGCATTGGTAATGCTCACTGGACGGGATGTTTTCCGAGAAGGACCCGATTGGGTTGTCAAAATACGCCAGGATGCGTTAGTGTATCCTTAGCAGAGAGAGCCATACAAAGGATATACTCTTCCCAATCCATGTTCCTGCTGCTATTTCCCTATCGCTATTGTCACAACTATGTTCAAGTGTGTGAACCATTCCCCCAATCCATGACATCGCTGTCAGACGTGTCTGGAGTGATCATTACCCAAAGTATCAACTAGGTACTTCCCGCACCTAACCAACAATATTCATCCTAGGTAGTGTCGGATCCTCTCCGCAGAGGTTCTAGCTTTGGACAATCACTTATTTCCCCGACAATCCCTTGCCCACCAATAGAGCCCATACCTTGTGGAGCCGAGAAAGTACTGTTGTGGAGCACTCAGAAAGGTGGCGCTCAGCAAAGTTCGCGCCGTTTTGACGGGCGGTTTAGACTTAGCGGGTTGTCAGTGCCTAACCTAAAGGACAATTGACGGCTCGTTTTATGATACAAGGCTTTTTCCGAGAGACAATCGGCAGTCCCACTTTCTACTAATGGCAGACATGCCGTCGTGTTGCTTACTGCATGGGGAATATGCCCAATTTAGTTGTGTCAAACACTGGAACTAGCGTATCTTTCCTGGAAGCAATGCTTAAGTGACATTATGCTGCTTCCAGTTGGCGAGTAGAATTCAGGGTGACTGAGACATTGCTGCTGTTTAAGCTTCATTGCAACGGGATGTATAGTCCATGGCAGTGCGCAATGTAGATTATCGACAAGAAGCCAGTGGATACTACCGTTCGAATTTGATTAATATCCAACGCTGATTATTTTGATGATATTAATGGTTTGTAGGTAGAACAGAGCCGAACCTGACGCCAAAGGAGTCATGCGGAACCAAAACCCTTAGACTATAAGAACGATATATCCTGACAAAGGGAAAGAATGAATGTGAACAAGACAATTCTTTGCAATACTCAGAGCGGGATTCCCATCCAGACGCCTCCATATCATGCTGGACGACCGGCGTCTCTTGGGGGACGTTCCAAGTCCACCAACGGCACAAACTTGCCTTCTGACCAAGCGCTCAGGCTCGGACGACTGAGAATATTTCCCTCTCCTCTGGAAGCAGCTCTCCCCGACCGAGTCCCGCTCTGCTTGGAAGCTGCGCGAGTAGTGTCTCCAAACAGGGTCGGACATAGACGACGCATTAAGGCACGAATGGCCGGCAGACAGGCGCAAATGATGCCCACATGGACCTCAATTGTACTCCAGTATCCGATTTCGACATAGTCCCCTGTGGCACAGAACAATCGTCAGACAGGTACCGTGCAATTCACATCCTACGATTGGACTTACAGGTAAGATTATTGGTCGCGGCAAAATGGATGAGTGAGTTGAGTCGGACGATACTGACCAAAGTGACACTGTACGGCATCAGCTGCGAGAAGACAGAGTAAAAGAAGACATCGTATGCAAGCAGAAGACTTACAAGATTCCTAAGCTGAACATGGACATGACAAAAAGCTTTTTGCGCAGTGAGAGATTGAGCCGATACAGCTCGCGCAGTGGCAGGGCCATAACAATCACATCCAGAACCATGTTGATGGCTGCTGCAGACCAGCCTTGGGCATTGATGTTGTTGCACGAGTAGTGGCCTTCCCCATCCCAGTGCAGCCAGGCGCCCTTGAGGGGTCTGCATTGGAAGACCGAGATCAAGACAAAAGCAATCAGGTAGCCCATATTCAGCCCTATTACGACATATGTCATGATTCGAAAAGGACGCGCGGGAAACACACGCAGATAGAAGAGACAGATGGAGATCTTGGTCAGTGGGATGATACTGAGATACAATAATTCGTCGTAGAAGTAGATCTTGGGATTCTGTCAATATCACCCGTGACACTACCGTCTGCGGAAACTCACATAGAGGATATGCGTGATATTGTCTGGCGACACTGTCCAGAGGTCTTTTCCCAGACCTAAATTGGCCACTGCGATGACAGTCAGTATACCCAGCATTGCTGGCAAGGCGAAATAAGGGTTACACACAGACAACCGACAAGGCAGAAAGAGGGATGACCAGTGACTGAGCCAATTAGCTTGACTCAACTGCGCAAAGCCAAAGTTTCTCACCATCGTTACGATCATTGCTAAATCATCCATTCCAAATTGACCACCACAGCATGGCAGTCTCGCGATCATGCGCAGAACAAAAGCAATGAGTGCCAAAGCTCCTCCAGCAACCCCGGCAATGGAGACCACACTGGTCCGGTCTCGAATCGGCAACCCACAAGCCGATGAAGTCACGTTCTTCGTAGCTAATCCAGTCAGTCATTCGGACGCTCGGAGCCTACAGACATGGTCTTACCTAGAGACTCGCGAATGGTACAGTTTGCTTGGACACATATCTCAAGTGTGCCGGTAAAGACCGGATCCGTACACATACACGTTTGGTTTGTGAGGGTGCAGGGAGAATGGGGAATCGTCGACACCATGCATTGCAGCTAGACATATCAGCATGCTCCCTCCAAAACCGACAACATACCGGTGTTGACTTACTGCGCATGAGGGCAAAGCTGCCGCCAGCTTCTCCATGTTGTTGGCCGTAACATAGCCAGTCCACGAAAGAAGGACAAGGAGAATCCCGAGCACCTTCATTCTGCTGAATGCGTATGTCTGGGATAAACACCTGGAGGTGGATCGAACAACATGCGAGTCTTCGAGCTACAGCGAGATGAAAGAGAAAACCCCAAACATAAAGAGAAGCTCCTTAACGCATTCCCACGGTGACTCTTACCGGCAAGTGTTGGAGCATGAAGCGGTTGCAGCCCGACAACCACAAAGCCGGAAATGTATGATCACCCCGCGATGTCTTTCGATCCTGCCCCTATGCAGGACAGTAGTTCGGCATATTGCCGGAGCTTTGTGATTCAGCGAGTCATACACATTGTCCAACCCCCTGGTGACTAAAAGGATTTGCAGAAGCTCTGGTGGCTGCGCTGATTGGGCGTCGCACCTGCTGATCCGGAAGTTCTGGATTCCCCCTAAACGCCGCAGAATCCTTGGCCATGCAAATCAAGGAGAATATAACGGTTTCTAGCTATACAATCCTTGTGGAACCGTGGCGTTGCACGACCTGAACTTAAAGCAAAGCGCAAACCAGCTTTTCGGTGTTATCAAAGGGGTAAGCATTGAACAGACACGGGCCATTGTATCTTGCCCCCTTTTGGCTTCCACTTTCCCGATATCTGAATTGTCAGGACTCCAACTCGAAGACAAGCAATAAACTGTTAGCTAATGGAGTCGAGTCAGGTTCGACTGCTTGTTGCCTTCTATACAATTACGATCGACATCGTGCATGGCAGTTACTCCAGAGTGGTGCTACTTCGAAGTCTTCACTGTTGGCTTCTTCCAGCTCACCGGGGAAGCTAGTTTATTCAGGCCCTATCCAGCACCTGAGGCCCGACCGATTCAAGCGTTTTGATGTTTGTCTTGATCGGAATCTGAGGGGGATGCGAATATCAGGTCTAGATGAACTCCTTTGCTAGCAAGCTTGTTACGGATAAACACATACTCCACATCATATACACTTTCGCGAACAAATGGTCATGACATGCAGATGTCCTAAATCCAAAGCTCTGCTTAAAGCCCTACCTCGTACGGCGTATCTTTGCCAGTGTGGTACTTTGTGCCGCAGGCCCGCAGCTTTGATAACAAGCCGTTCAGGAGACCACCAAGCCATCCACTGTCAGAACTGGATTCTTCTCCGCGCTGTCATTTCTTGCTCAAAGTCATGATTGGTTCGTCTGCTTCTTGCTAGAAGCCACAATGGAGCCAAACGCATGCAGCTAAGACTAGGCGCGGGGTTCGCTCGTGTTCGGTGCGGACTTACTTCGAAACTCAGGACACGCCTTTGTGGAAGGGAATCTATGTGCGGATCGTCGACAGCAACCTGAGCGATGAGGGTTTGTTTCTTGAACGGGTCTGATCGACATTGGCCGGTTTGTTGTCGCGGGATATCTGAGACGCCCGGTGGTGGGACTATGGCCGCTTTAGGTAACGGCGAATGATACTAAAGCTGAACCAGGCAGTTTCTTGCGACCAAAATGGAAAACACGGGACTTGGGAGTAAATAAGGCTCAAGGGATGCTTCTGGGGTGGGTTCCTTGTCTGTGGGGGTTCTAGTCTTCTGGAGCTGCGGCGTCTGGTTACCGTGTTGAAATTGGCATGAAAGGCACAGGTCATTTAGACTATGAACTTATTCGATTGGCCCTTGCGTGCCTATGAATTTCGGATGATTCCGTCCCAAGGATTCTTATTACTCAAACTCGTAATGCAGTTAGTCGACTGGCATGTGGAGCCCTGCACGTTGACATGACGACCCCCTGTCTAGGGTTCTTGCTAGTTGCTACTCTTTTTATATCGTTTAGAACCATGAGGGTCGGATTTGCCGTGTAGTTGAATTAGGACCTCAGTGCGAGCTTCACGTTCCGCTCGACTAAGGAGAAAGTGATTAGTAAAAGGTTAGTGATCGCCGTCACAAATACTGAATCTCCAGGGGCATACCCTCGGGTATGCTACTGATTACGAACCGTTGTGTTGCTGATCGTCTATTTGTATAGAGACAACTCCAGGTTTCTTGAAGAGAATTTCCCGGCTGGTGCTTTACTGTCACTTTCCCTGGAAAGCCGTTCCTCTTGACGCTGCTAATACTCCTTGTGGCTGTGAGCCCTATCTTCCAGGATGAAGGCGACTATTTCCTTGGCCATTCTGGGTCTGGGTTCCCTGGCCTCAGGCTTTCCTGACCGTATGGGTGGATCTGCTAATACGAACTGCCCATACGCCGCGCTGAAGGAGAGCGAAGATGCAGAGCTGGGAAGGCGATTCCTGTTCGATTCGATGACCAAGCCCATTGATGGTATATTCCGTTCTTATCCCCGTCGGAGTGTGAGGGAGTGAAAATGGTGCTAATAGAGCAACAGTAACCGGCGTACACGCGTTTCAGCCGCCGAGGAAAGGGGACCAACGGGGTCCTTGTCCTGCGTTGAATGCACTGGCGAACCACGCTTATATCCCTCGCAGCGGTGTTGTGTCGGTACGTGGTCCTTCCCGAGCGAGAAGCCTTGGCCCTGACATGAAAGCAGTTCGCGGAGGTCATCGCGGCCGTCAACAACGGTAAGGATATCTAAATAATATCTATTGCTTAGGCCTAGGCCGTTGACCTTGAAAGTGTATGGAATGGGAGTGGACCTGACCACCATCCTGGCTCTCATGGGACTCGTATGGACGGGCAATCCGCTTGCTCTCGTCCCCAGTTTCTCTATCGGAGGTCGCGATTCTGGAGTCAACAATCTGCTGAACAATCTGGGGGGTCTCCTAGGTATGCTCCCAGTTTCACCCTGACGAATACTCCACGACTAATTCAATCTAGGTGAGCCCCAAGGCCTTACTGGTTCGCACAATTTTATCGAGGCCGATTCCTCCAACACACGGGACGATCTGTATGTTACTGGAAACAACTATGCGCTGAACATGGACAAGTTCATGGAATGGTACAACATGTCGACGGACGGGACTTTTAGCATGGATCTGATGGCCGAGCGGGCCAAAATCCGCTTTGAGCAAAGCATTCAGACGAACCCGGAATTCTATTACGGGCCAGTGACGGGCCTTATTGCTCGGAATGCTGGTTATCTGTTCCCTGCACGATTCTTCCGCAATCATTCGCGCGAGAACCCCGAGGGTGTTTTGAGTAAGGTTGAATCGTCCAGAGGGGGAATGCAAAACTGACGAGCAAATAGCCAAAGAGATTGTTCGCAACTTTTACGGCATTTATGGAGATGAAGGAAACCTGACGTACCGCGAAGGATGGGAAAGGATCCCTGAGAATTGGTACAAGACTCCGTTAGATTATGGCCTGGTACAGTTCAATACCGACTTGGTGGACTGGGTACTCAAACATCCGGAACTTGCAAGGTAAGTCTCTTGCTCCTGCATACTCCGTCGGTTCCCACATCGCTCATCATGAATCATCTAGTATCGGAGGAAATACCGGCACGGTCAACAGCTTCACCGGGGTGAATCTCGCCGATGTGACGGGAGGCGTCCTGAACCTCACCACCCTCTTGGAGGGAAATAATCTGCTGTGCTTTGTCTTCGAAGTGCTCAAGTTTGCCAGTCCTAATGCTTTGGCTGGTCTTTACAAGACCTTGGCAGCCCCCTTGGACTTGATCAACAAGATCATCGCCGTCCCACTCCTGGACATGTCGTGTCCGGCGTTCAAAGACATGCAGATGGGCGGTAGGCCACTCTGGGATGCCATCAAGGACGATTTCCCGGGTGCCATGAAGAGCGGCGGTGCCCTGTGATGGTAGTTATTTCTTCAACCGCCATACTACTTCAGGGTACCTCGCATGTTCAATCTATTGTATACTATGGTGTGCCGTTTAATGCATTCGTCAGCTCATACGTGCCTTAACCTGAGCCCAACGATTATTTAATCATAATACACAGCTGTTGTCAATAAAGCATTCGTACGCATTCAATTGAATAAAGAGTGAATCAGAGGGAAGCATAGTTGCACATGTTGATCTGGCAGGAGCCCTAATATAGTCTCATGCTGCAGTGTATCCCGACCTCTTGCGATTGGCGGAAATATCCAAGGATTCGTCATGTCTCCGCTATGAAAATGCCACGAGTCTCGTTCAGTAGATGGCGTGTTTCTTATAGACCAGCCACGGAGAAAGCCTTGGCCACTGATCATTGCTGGATTCGTCACGTTCATCGGCTACAGACCTGGTAGGAAATAAACCATCGCACCGGGCGTGGGCATGGCGGAGAATTGATATCCTGCCAAAAGATTTATGAATATGCTTCTCCCCTGTGTTATACTATAAAAAGCCGAGATTCCTTGTTCTTGTCCGCCGCGTGGCTACTGTGCAACTCATCGCTCGGACCCGCAACATGGCCTTCCTTCTCACTCTCGCCACTCTCGGAGGCTTCGCCCAGGGAGCCGTGCTGCCACGAGCGAGCATCGACAGTGATGCGGTGGTAGGATTCCCCCAAACTGTTCCCAGCGGTACTACCGGAGAGATCTATCTTGCCTATCAGCCGTACCTCAAGGTGGTGAACGGTTGCGTTCCCTTCCCCGCAGTCGATGCAGAGGGCAACACCAAGTAGGTTCTCCCATGGCACGACACAGTGTTCTGTTGGAGCGTTGGAGCTAATATCAACAGCGCTGGCCTGGCCCCGACAGGAGCATCCAACGGCGACTGCGCCAGCAGCACCGGCCAGATCTATGTGCGCGGGGCCACATATGGCGATTACTACGCCCTCATGTACTCGTGGTATTTCCCCAAAGACGAGCCCTCGACTGGGCTGGGACATCGCCATGACTGGGAGGGAGTCATTGTCTGGCTGTCATCGTCCACGTCCACCTCGGCTGACAACATTGTCGCCGTGTGTCCGTCCGCCCATGGTGGCTGGGGCTGCTCTACAGATGGATACACCCTCAGCGGCACCAAGCCTCTCATCGACTACTACAGCATCTGGCCGGTAGATCACCAATGTGGCCTCACCTCGACTGTGGGAGGCACACAGCCCTTGATCGCCTGGGAGAGTCTGCCAACAGTAGCCCAAACGGCACTGGAGGACACCGACTTTGGTGATGCCAATGTGCCTTTCAAGAATGCCAACTTTGACTCCAACCTGGCCAAGGCGACTTTTTGAGAGAGTTAACACGTTGTTGAGGTCAGAAATGAACGGGGGATTCTGCCTTTTGTTTTGCTGCGCGATGTCGGATTATGTGTGGAGTGGAGCATGATAATGCAGGTGCTCTGTTGGCTTCCCATCTTTAGTAAGCGGAACTTGCAAGCATCCTTAAATCCATATCATTGTCAAATCAGATGTGACCTCGCGTAGTGCTTTCCAGCTTTAATCCCTGTCTAGCACATCTTCTCGGTTTTTGTAGTGGCCGAAAGCCGAGAGGGATCATGAGACTTTCAATGAAATGCGTGAGATCGCCTTCTTCTTGGTCACATAACTCACATTATTGCTGCTCATCGGGTGATCGACAGTTTGTCAGTCCAATAATAGGCCGCCCTTGACAGCAAGTCCTGTCAAATACTCTTTCGGAAAGAAACCGGAAACCCCCACTGCTTGGGAACGGACGATCAATCAGCATCGCCCAACGGGCATCTGGTTGAGGTCGATGACGAAAGGACCAGACCATGCTGCGGGAAAGCGGGGAGCAACATTCTTCTGGGCAAGTGAATGAAAGATGAAGAGGAGAGACCGATGTATAAATACCCCCCGTTAGCTCGATCACGCCATCTGACAGCGGGATGCAGCCATCATCTTGATCTCTCATTGATCCTTTTTCTGCTGCTTTTCCTGCTAATTTTGCCCATCATGGCTGAGGTCAACGAATCGCCGTCTCAGTCCCGCTTGCTCCTCATCAGTGTCCCACGCACGGCATCGAATCTCATGCTCAAGCTCCTCAATATCCCTTGTCAGAAGTTGGTCACATCCGAGAAAGGAGGTTATTTCTTCTTCAACGCCTTTCTCAAGGTCGCCTGGAATGGCCGCCTAAGTATACCCGTAGAAGAGCGGAGTGAAGCCGAGAAGCAGGAGATCCGCGATGCCTTCCAGGAAGCCGTCGATGGTCTCGAGGACTGTTCTCAGAGAGCAGAGCAAGAGGGGAAGATTGCATTCGCCAAAGAGCACGCCTTCTGGCTCAGTAATCCAGCCGCGTTGGGGAATATGACCGAAGACGCCGCCAGCTTCCGACCGCGCATTCCTGACAAGTACGGGCCCTCGCACACGTTTTCCCCTCTTAATCATACTGTTCTCCCTGACGAATACCTGCGGACCTGGAGATTGACCTTCATCATTCGTCATCCAGCCTTGGCGTTCCCATCTCTCTGCCGCGCCATGGAAAAGTTCCGGCAAAGCGGCCTTTTGCAGTCGGAGGACACCATCGGGACACAGGCAACCAACTTGACCTTGAAATGGACGCGAATGCTTTACGACTGGTGCCTCGAGCACCCTGACCTGCCCGGTAAGCCCCTGGTGGTAGATGCGCAGGATATCATCCACAATCCGCAGGTGATGGTCCGGTACTGCGAAGAGACCGGTCTCAACCCAAATGCGTTGCAGTTTGAGTGGGAGACCAAACCGCCAACCGTGGCCTCTGAAACTGAAGCTGTAAGAGTTTTTTCCCCGATCCAGAAAATGACAGACATCGATTTTGACAAGGCTGAGGCGATCATGCTCTCGACCCTGTCCGCATCCACGGGGATCATCAAGGACAAAACGCCGACCGCGGTAGATGTAGACGCCGAGGTCGAGCAGTGGAAGGAGGAATTTGGAGAGGAAGTGGCCGTGAAGCTGGAGATGATGGTGCGTGATGCTATGCCCGACTATGAATATCTCCGAAGTCGACGAATCACTGTCTGATCAAGGGCTCGCCATGGGATGGTCGGACTTTTTGCTGTGTCTATAGTAAGGCTTACAGACTCGTATCAAGGGAAGCTTGACAGTCTTCTAGAACCCGTGCATGTGTAACCAACGTAACCAAATCAATTTGACTCGTTGCAATACTCCAAATGAGCCCTATATCGAACTAGAGATGCTTCTAACCACTTTGAGCGCGGCGACAATCCCGTTACATGAAACGACCCCTGGAGTTTCGCCCCGCAGAGACGTAGACGGACTAGGCGACTTGAAACCAGCTGGCCCAAGCTGAATGATACAAGAGTTCGACCACAAGAGGATACGAGCCTATGAGGATTTGTATTCGTAGATGCTTGGTTGGCGCGGTAGCGGGAGCAGAATCATGAGACCACTGCAGCGGATTGTCTTCGCTCTCAGTTGTTTGTTCCTTGTGTATCTGGGTCTACGGCTTCGATTCGGAGGATATGCCCCTGGCAGCCCCGCACCTCAGTCCTTCCCTGGAGAGAAGGGGGCAACGCAGCATTCATTCGGCAATCTATCATTGTCTCACGCCCAATGTGCTGTCGTCTTTCCTGCTCTATTCGACGAAATCGAGGATGCTGTTTCTCGCGGACCCTTCCCTCTCACATGGTCACGATTAGGAGAGCCGCTGCAGGGACGCATCAAAGACAATCGGGTAGGGTTGCAGATCATGCAGTTGGATTTCGCTGACAGAAGGTACAGCTGTACATCTTAAACTGGCAGAAGAAGGCATTTTTATCACAGCAGATGCTCAATGTAACCGCTCATCCCAGCTAATGGTATGACGTGCACGTAACACTCATCCAGGAACGGACAGCAGCTCTGAACCAGCTCTATCGCGCAATGGTCACTTCTCCGGAGCCCCTGCCAGACACTGTTTTCGCCTTGAATATCCAGGATCGGCCGATGGCACAATCATGGTCATATGCGCGTCCAGCAGATCCTACTGCCACCAAGGCAGGGGACTTTCTCATGCCACACTTTGCTTTTTGGGCGTGGCCGCTCAAGTATATTGGATCCATGGACCGGGCACTGACTGCGATCACCGAGATCGAAACAGATCAGACATTTCAGGCTAAGATTCCACAAGCGGTCTGGCGCGGCACACCTTGGTTTAACGATGTGCAAAACCATGATCTGCGCAAGCGACTAATTCAGGTTACTACAGGCAAACCGTGGGCGGACGTACAGTCCTTGAAATGGGAAACCAACGGCCAAACGGCCAGTAACGGACTGGCCATTGAGGACTTTTGTCGGTACAAGTACATCATCTACACCGATGGAGTAACCTACTCTGGACGGCTGCTCTTCCACCAGGCTTGCCGCTCCATCATTCTGACGCCGCCCATGGCGTGGATGCTCCATACTACACATCTCGTGCGACCGGTCTTCTCGAGCACATTATTGCAGACAGAACCCAGTTTGGGACCTCCCCATCAGTCGGATCGCATCAAGCGAGCCTGGCCAACTGATCTTAATGCCCAGGACGCCAATCTGGTGATGGTCTCACCGGACTGGTCCGACCTTGAGGCTACCATCGCATGGTTGGAGAATCATCCAACAATAGCAGAGGGCATTGCGGATCGACAGCGTGAGCGGTTCCACGACGGAGGATATCAGAGTCCTGCCGCCGAGACATGCTACTGGAGAGCATTGGTCAGGGGCTGGAGCAAGGTCGTTGAGCCAGAGGGCAGTGAGTGGAGTGAACACCAGGGCGTCAGATGGGAGCTTTTCAGTCTTGGAGAACTCTAATGGAGGAGATTGTGAGAGAGTTCCTGACGCCACGAAGTTACTGTGTTGGTTGGGGGAAGGAAAGATAGTCTAGGCTTATGCTAACGATGTGGCAAGTCTCGGCCTACATTGTCATACGCCAACTGCCCTTAGCAAGAATATGTCAATGAGTGACGATATCTTATATGTTATTAACCCTATTGTAATCGTCTTCGTTCCCTACCGTAATGTACTTGACGGGTCCCGGATCGACGCGGCTGTTCTTCGCTCGAAGGGCACCTTGTGGTGCTTTAAGGCCGAGGATGTACTATTAGATGGATTAGTAGAACATCAGTGAAGTTGATTGTGACTACCACCTTCAGTTCATTTTTGATATCGTTAATATAAGCCTCTAACGCAGATCTGGCCATGATGCCACCACCAAGAGAAAGGCCAGTCTAGAAACACCCCTCCGCCTCTGTCATGGACATGTAGCATAAGCAGGGTTTCAAGACGGCGAGCTTGGTAGCATCGTGTGAGATGTACAAGCTGCTTTTTGAAGAGGAGGGCTTAGGGCCCCTCTACTCCTTCTGGTAGTGGATGATGAATTAATGGAGGAAATAGATATTTTTACAGCTAGCCCAAAACAAACATACGATGAGAGTCCATAGTACATTTGAACCATCCTACCTCAATCTACAGCAGATGGATATTACTATTATTCAACATCTAAAGAGAGTACCGTATTTTTATAGGAGGTAGAACATAAGTCGCAGAAAGACCATAGAGATCCTGCTCAGAAAAACACATGAGCATGACTCATTTACCACCATATGTACATAACTCAACCGATATCGCAAGCCGCGTCAGCAAAGACCAGCCTACTAGTCTCTACCAGCGTTATAATGACTCATTCCATACTTATTTCCCCAGAATCTACAGGGGTTTGAAAATGATGGTCCGGCAACGGAATATCCGGACAGCATGGAGAGCTGGTGACACAACATCCTTCCACTCCCCCAATTCTTCTTCTCACACAACATTGTTGTTTTTGATCTTTTAATTCTTTCTTCCTCGGCTACTTCTCCACAAATCTCGAGGCCTATGCTTCAAGCCCAGCAAATGGCTCCGACTGCCAAAGCATTCAACATGTCTTCTTGCCGTCCGGGGGTTCGTATCGCCGCGTTGTTGAACCAGGCTTTTAAGAAGCTGAATGTCAGGAGCACATTTTCTGTCGCGGCTCAGTCAATGTATCTTACCCCTTGCTGTCTTCAGTTAACATAATTATATGCTCCGCAAAGTATTCGTCGTCTAATGTTTTCACGTTGACAGGCGAGCGACCCCAGCCGCACACTTCAACCTCTCCAACGCACAGTCATCCGATCCACGACAGTCGCGAAAAGCAGGAGATAAGTCGTATGGGTGTATCCCGCATGGAGTCAACTAATTATGGCTAATCCTGCTTGCTTTCAACAGGTTTCTTGGAATAACGGGAGGCCAGATCTTCCATGAGATGATGAGACGACATGGCGTTAAGCACATTTTCGGGTACCCTGGAGGGACTATTCTTCCTGTCTTTGACGCCATATACAATTCGCCGCACTTTGACTTTATTCTCCCCAAACACGAGCAGGGTGCAGGACATATGGCGGAGGGATATGCAAGAGCTTCAGGCAAGCCAGGAATCGTTCTGGTTACGTCCGGACCTGGAGCGACAAATGTGGTGACCCCAATGCAAAATGCTCTATCTGATGGAACCCCCATCATCGTTTTTTGTGGCCAAGTTTCGACCTCGGCAATCGGAAGCGATGGTTTCCAAGAAGCCGACATGCTGGGCATCTCCCGGTCATGTACCAAGTGGAATGTCATGGTCAAACATGTCTCTGAATTGCCGCAGATAATCAACGAAGCCTTCCAGATTGCCACAAGCGGAAGACCAGGCCCGGTTCTTGTCGATCTCCCCAAGGACGTCACGGCTGGCGTGCTCAGGAAAGAGGTCCCCATGATGTCGACCTTGCCGAGTCTGACTTTAGCGCAACCAAGCCAAGCAACACTCTCAAAAACCTTTCACCGCATAGCGGAACTCATCGACGTGGCGAAGAGGCCTGTCATCTACGCTGGTCAAGGGGTAGTAAGCTCTCTGAACGGATCTGAGCTGCTTAGACAGCTTGCTGACCGATCATCAATCCCGGTCACCACGACCTTGCAGGGACTGGGAGCATTCGATGAACTTGATGAAAAGTCACTTCACATGTTGGGAATGCATGGTTCAGCCTATGCCAATATGGCCATGCAAGAAGCTGATCTTATTCTTGCCCTTGGTGCGCGCTTTGACGATCGAGTGACTCTAAATACCCAGAGATTCGCCCCTGCTGCAAAGGCGGCAGCAGCAGAGGGTCGTGGGGGTATCATCCACTTTGATATTACGCCAAAAAATATCAATAAAGTGGTCCAGGCAACCGAAGCCGTTGTCGGCGATGTGTCTGACAGCCTTGCAGAGCTCTTGCCACATGTGAAGCGGAGAACAATGGCGGATCGGCGAGAATGGTTCGAAAAGATTCAAGGATGGAAAAATCGGTGGCCGCTCGATTTGTACAAGCAGTCAGGGGGGCCGTCCCGCCTGATCAAACCTCAGTATGTGATCCAGCAATTGAGCGAACTGACGGCTGATCGTAAACATGAAATGATCGTCACCACGGGGGTTGGCCAGCATCAAATGTGGACGGCACAGCAGTTCCGCTGGCGGTACCCACGTACCATGATCACCTCGGGGGGATTGGGGACCATGGGTTATGGGCTGCCTGCAGCGATTGGGGCCAAGGTGGCGCGCCCAGAGGCGCTGGTGGTTGATATCGATGGCGATGCCTCTTTCGCAATGTCCCTGACTGAGCTATCGACAGCGGCCCAATTCAATATTGGCGTCAAAATTATCGTACTGAACAATGAGGAACAGGGGATGGTAACACAATGGCAGAAACTCTTTTACGAAGAGCGCTACGCGCATACCCACCAGTTAAATCCTGACTTTATGGGGTTTGCCAAAGCCATGCACGTTCAGCACCGTCGGGTCAGCGAGCCACATGAGGTAGTTGATTCCCTGGGATGGGTCATTACCACAGACGGGCCCGCCTTACTAGAGGTTATTACAGAGAAGAAAGTGCCTGTTTTCCCAATGGTTCCAGCTGGCTGTGCCCTACATGAGTTCATAACATCGAATGCGGAAAAGGGACAAGGAAAGAAGAACTCTGATGCTTGATGCGGGAATACGTATGCGAACCTTCTTACAGCTTGAGTCCAAGGCAAAAAGCCTAAAACAAAACATAGAAGTGGTTAAGATAGTGCGACAGTTTGCTATAGCTACGGGATGCTGGAACATAGAGAGGGGAAGAGAACATGTGTAACTGGACGACTGAGCAACTTAGCAAGGAAGTATGTACGTCTAAAGGTCGAAGCGGGACAGTGGGTTGTTCTGCGCATTCTCCTTCACAGCGGTCGTTGCAGTAGTCGTCACCTCCTTTGCAGCTTCCTCAATGACCTTTTTGGCCGGAGCAGAGGGCAGGAGACTCTGCGTAGACTGTTCAATGTCCTCGACTCGCTCTTCCATCCCACCTTCTATTTCTTTGCGTTTTGCAGAGGCGATGCTGACGATGTTGGCAGATGCATTCTGAGCCCAGCTGGAGAGCTGGGCCACCTTGTTTGCAATTTCGTCTTTGGTCGACTCCACACTCAGACCGTCAATCATCTTCAACCCGGGTATGATGTTCTCCTCGGACAGCTCGTTCCACATCGTGGCAATGTCTCCAAAGGTTTCAAAGTACGCCCGCAGGATGACAGCGTACTTGTAGATCATCTGCATAACCATCGGTCAATGGGACTCGGCCGCCAAGGTGGCTGATTAGTTCTTTGGACTCACCGATTTCTGCAGCGTACTGAGAGTGAAGTTGCTCATCTGCACGTCGCTGGCTCCACTGCTGCTCGTGTCGATAAAGTCGTTCACGGTGTGTTCCACAACGACATCAATGGTCGAGCTGATGGCGTTGAAAAACCGGCAGAGCTGCATGATATTGTCCTTGACGACCATTATAAGTGAGATGCACTGACGAAGAACACTCTTGATCTCGGTCTGACACACCACAATATCAGTTACCAACGGCATCGACGGATAGTACTTGACGAAGGATACGCTTACCAATGATGCCTCTAGGGTCGTCTGGCGCTGGAGCTCGGCTTGGATTGCTGTAAGTTTGTTCTCCTGCTCAACAAGGGTTGATGAGGCCTCCTGATAGATCTTTTGCGTTGAGAGGAAAGTTTGCTGGGTCGTGTGCAGTCGATCCTTAGCCGCATCCAGGACAGCTTGCGCCTGGGCGGATTTGGCATTAGTCTTTGCAACCTGGACGGCAGGGTCTTCGGTGGTGGCCATCAGAGGAGCCTAACAGAGCTTGTCAGAAGAGCCATGCTGACGTAGCATATACCCGTCAAGATTAGAAACTTACTCCACCAGAGTTTACCCCGGGAAGGGTTTTGGCAGTAGCGGCCAGACGAAGCGCCTCCAGATACTTCGGATGAAACTTCTCTTGCCAGCCTTTAACCAGCTCCGAGTCAGCCTTGGGCGGATCTTTGCTGATGTCCTTTAGCTTGGCGGCTTCTTTGGTAATCTCGTTGGCAACCTGGCCGTCTCTGTTAGCCATCGGTTACGGGAGACGAGCATAATTTCAGTCTCGGAGCAGCTTTACCTCAGTAGCGGTCTGGAGAACTCCCAGCAATTTCTGACTGGGAGGATCCTCAGTGGCTGACTGCTCGAACCGCTCCAGGGTGTCCTCCAGCATTTTGGAGGTAAAGGAAGCAGTCTTGTCCGGCTTATTCGGCGAGTCTATAGCACTCTCCCAATTGACACCACCGTCTGTCCCTGAGGTCAACAGGGCATTCAGGACTGTAAGATACACCATGGCGGGCTTGACCTGAACGTATGCCGGGTCATCGCTGTATTGTGGAAGAGGACTCTTGGGCTTGGGGGGTGCTGGGGGAGGTGGGGGAGGCGCCTCTCCATTCTTTGAGGCATTTTTGCCTCCGTTGACGACATCCTCAAACATCTCAACCCCTTTCTGGGCTCGAGCGACCGGGTTAAGGTTGGAGGTATATGCAGTAATTGCCTGGCCTAACGCAGTTGTCAAGGTGTCGGCAAGCTCGCCAACAATCTGCTGGCCCAGAATATCCCAGCTTTCAAGCGTGTCAGGAAAGCCGATGAATCGGTTGGTTACTGTGGTTGCATCACTTACCCGGAAGGGAAACTATCGGAAGCCTTTTTGTAGGCTTCGGAAGCGACATCTAGCTGCTTTCCTAGCTTCTCCGATATCTTCTTCGCTTCTTCGACGGTGTTGTTCTGAGAGTCAAACTGCCTTTGGGCTACAGACATGTTGACTTCTGTGGCCAACCGTCTTTCTTCGTTACTGGACTGCTCTTGGACACAGTTCGAATGAAGATCAGCCGCGAACCACAGCCACTCTTCGAACTTCTTGTCCATCTGGAGAGCACGGGTGTGACATTCGTCGGCGGCCTTTTTCACACTTCGCAGCTGAGGGACGAGCATTTTTTGGACATCTGCTGGATCAGAGCTCCCGATGATTTTTATAATCTCGGCGACCTTCAGTTATGGCTCGTTAGCGCTATCCTTCTGTCGCGTGTACACCTTGCGTCATCGATTATATTGACCGACAACCACGTACCTTGTCGTAGATGATATGGGAGATATTATTTATCCTTAACATGCCATCCTCGGCATCCAGGAAGGCAAAGCGGCCCCTGTTGCTGCAATCGACCAGGTTCGCCCTTAAGGAGGTGAACCTGTATTGTCCATCAACACCAGCCATTCTGACCAGCCTTGAGCTTGCCAGGAACTTACTGCATGAACTTGAAGCCGCCCTTTGGAGGGGTGAACTCGATCGTTGTGGCTGTCTCCGATGAGGAGGCCACAAGAGCCGCACCGAGTGCATTGATTGAAATCGGAGCTGACTTGAGAAGGTCTTCCCAGTTCACCTGAAAGATAGCTGAGCTTTTGATTTCAGCGACAGCCTCTTTGGTGATACCGGACCGATTGTCTCGCGTATGTTGGACTTCTAAAGCAGCCAGCAATTCCTTCTGGTCCACCATTTTTACGTCTTTTGATCCTCAAGTACTGATGAAGACAACGGAAAGTAAGAGAAGAGTAAATGCTTCGTCTGATGGTTGCAATGTTCATACTACAACCCAAGTGCTGGAGCCAAGGGCTTCTTATATCTTTGCGTTCGAGCTGTCTCCGCCATCAAAATCCGTGTTTTTAGCTCCCCTCTTTCCGATATCTGCAGGTTGCAGCAGGCAACCTTAGCCCCTCTTTCTGGTATTTGCAAGTCGCAGGAGGCAACTCTTGGGGATCCGAAAACGAGTACGAAAAATGCCGCATATTCTTTCTGGCGCTGTGGTGACGCATCATTCAACGTGGAATGGGTATTGGCCGTTATCCAGGCCCATGAAGCGAGAGCGCATCACCAGTGGTGTCAGAGTATGTATTCCTTGCAATGCTTCAGATCATTCAGGAGCTCGAGACAGCAACCTCGATAGACCCCGCTGTGGGCCACCTACCGTAGTCCAAGGATGAGTTCCAATCTGCTTTGCTGCTGCAACAATGGCTTCAGCTCCGACAGGGATTCGACTGCAGGTCGTCGATCCATCACTCTACAGCCAATACCTCTTATACGCCATTGAACTCTCTCTGCGCTCCAGAGACTGTGTGATTCCGCTCATGTATATCGGATGCAATACAGCGTCATAATGAGTTTGTCTAGGATTCTACTGCGGCGACGTGGCTGGCTGAATGTGCGTCATTTGCTGTCTTGCCCCTCAGATAGCACTTCCTACGCAGCTGTAGTGCGGTTATACAGCAAGCCACGTAGCCGAAGGCAATTACCCCTCCCAATTGTTCTGGCTATCCAACGCGTCAAGAAGTATGAACGGAGAGGCAAGCGATCGCTCGTGCTCTTCTCCAGATCCAGATTATATTTAAGCCTAAGGGTCCCGTGGCTTTCAGTGTAGCCACGCCGTCAAACTTCGATAACTTCCTTAGAATCACGGGCACAAAGTTACACTACTAAAGATGGTTGACGTTGATGCCATGAACTCGGAACTGGATCAGATCTCTGACCACTACCAGTCTCTGTTTCGCCGCTTGAATAGCGAATCCCCACGGGATGTGCAAACCGTTGCTTTGTCCCTGAGTATTGCATTGTCCCAGCTATACCAGCTGGCAATCTTCGTGAGAGGAGACTATAACCAGCGAGCATTCGATGTGTCGCCCGAAAGAGATACACTGGTGGCTAAAGTCAAGGAGGCGTTTGAGCAGATGGCTCACGCTTCAACGACAGCCCTGGAGCATGTGTCAACGCTTCAATCAGAGGTATGGCTACGCCAAAGGGACTATAAAACCAAATTCACTGACAAAACGGACCTAGAATGTCGAACTCTTGTCCTCAAAGATGCACGTATTTCAACAACGCGTCAAAGAAGCGCATGGGGAGACGATCGCAAAGGTTGCTGGTTACAAGGATGCGGTAAGCGAGGCCAGTAAGGCAGTGGAGAAGGAGGAAAATGCAGTTAGGGAAGCCAGCAGTAGTCTAGAAACACTGCTGGAGAAGCTCGACGACGCTCGGAAAACTGGCGACGTGGTTGACGGTGTGGTCAGTATGCCTTCTGTGTGATCAGGCTCAGTCCTCTGGACCAGGAATTAATACCTTGGCCAGGTCAGCGCGATAATCCCCATCTGGGGGATAATTGGGCTCATCGACCATAAAATGTCTCCCGGCAGCGTCATTCTGGAAGGCCAGATTGGCGCTGCAAGACAAGCGGTCGATAGCGCTAAACATACCCTTGACTTCGCGCACCGGAACGCCCAGAAGTCCTTGGATCTCCTGAACGGGGAGCAGCTCAAGTTAGATCAGCAAAGTGCCATTCTTGAGAGACTGGGACCCCTCCAAAGCGCTATCCAGTCCACCATTACGAAAGCACAGGAACTAGAGAAAGGTTTAGTTCAGATGAAGTGCAGTGCTACCGAGATGGTCCGTCGAATGAACAAGCTTAGCGGCCGAGCGGAGGATGGTGCGGAGCTCTCAATCACAAAGGAGGAGTTTGTGGGCGGCATTTTGGATGTTGTGGAGCTTGCCATTGTGGAGCCCAATACAGCCAAAGAGATTAAAATGATCCTGGCTGAACTGCGGAACTCGTGGGTGCCTTCTCCAATGCCTCCAGCGATCCAGTCCCGGCTTGATGAACTTGATGGCAAGGCGGCGAAGATTGCTGGTTGACATTAAATTTCTTGTCTGTAGGCCAAGCAAGGCTGATGGGTAATCGACAAAGAACTGGATTTAAGGGAAGGAACAACTAGTTTGGACAAATGGTTGCAGTGACATCAAAATGGAACTATATCTTTCGCCAGGTTGGCGAAATCAACATAGAGATCCGTGCTTTGGCGTTCCTGGACCGATGAGTCCGAGCTGGATGCACGCGGCCTCCTCGGTCTTTGCAGACTCCACTGGCAATCACCGAAGCCGCATTGACGTTTTGTTTTGCTTGGTACACTTTGAGCTGCAGCCACTGCCTTTAACGTCCTGCTATGTACTATCCAACTGCAACCACCTGTGACGCGCTGTACTCCGAATAATCCTGACTTCATTCATATTTACTACTTTAGTATGGGTCATTTCTGATATGCGGGGTTAGGCGACCAGCGCAACAAGCTCGTACTTCTCTTAGCTCTTAGCTTTCGGACCGTCCCGTCATTCCCGTACCCGAAATTTACCTCTCTATCTGTAGTGTTCCGGTCTTCTGTATACATGAGGCAGTAATACCACTGTCTGGGATTGTTAGTTTTATCACTAATAAAATCAAGGTGCCACAGAGATACACAAAGAAAGCAAAGTTTGACAGGCTGTATGTCCCTGAAGTAAGGGGGAAATTATATTTATAAACAGCCAATGGCTGGGGATTAAGGATTTATCCCGTGGTGTATAAGTCTATGCTTCATAGTAAAGGCATTGTATCCCATTGCTCGGCCGGCGATTCCTCTACCTTTTCCCAGAATTCAGGATATTCTTTTCCCTCCCGTGAGGAAACCAGAAGGAAAGTAGGAAGATCACAAAGTCCTGTGGCCATCATGCCATACTTAGCAACGCGTCATTATAACATACTTCGTGAGTATATCACTGCCATATTTGTGAATGCGATCAGTGGAGAACTGTGGCAAGGCGTCTGTAAGTACCTAAATATTGTATAGACTGCAGGAGGCGTAGTAGGATGCTTTAGTCAACCTCAGCGGACCATGTGAGATCGAACCCACTGTCAATCTCCTCAATATCAAGTTCTCGCGGTGCGTTCTGTATTGTTCCTAGAATTGTGTGATTATTCCTTTTCGGACTAGTGCTACACATAAACTGAGATATCTTTACCACGCAACCTCTGAACAATCTTTTGGTACCAAGTAGCACCCATCCAGAATAGCCAGGACCAGATCGACAAAGCGGGGGCTTGAAATACGAAGACCAGTTGCTTTTATAGAAGTACACTATGCCTAGAGTCTCCATAATTTTACTAATACAAACAGGCAGAGCGCTAATAGCTGGCGTAATAGGCTCATGTCTCTCGCCTCTGCTTGCCACGTCAGGGTCATTACGGAATATACACGCACATGTGTCCATAGATGCACATTGACATAACTGTCCGCCAATCATATTATTTAGCAGGTGTGGATCAAATAGCCTGCATATCCAGTAGCTGATGTGGCTGCCTGAGCAATCAAACACCCCATGTGTGGGCGTATGCCATGGCTAACAGACACTACCAGTGGGGACAGTCTCTGAAACTGGTAGTAGTATTTGATAGCGTCGTGCTGTTATCGGGACAAGCCATTCCCATGCCGTACCTACCTTAAACCCTATTAAATGAAGTTATATTGTGGTGACTGCAGTTGTTCCCCTGCAGGGGAGATGGGGTGTGGGGTGGATCGAATTATTCAGCGTATAATAGGATATATAGGTCCACCTTCAGCTTTGGTTTTTAGCTCAGCGGTACACAATGTTGATCCGAATAACTCAATGATGCGCCTTTATTGGCTATAGAGAAAAAGGTTGACAGTATATTTGTCAGGTAGGCCATATTGACTATTTAGCTTGTGGTGCTTGCATTGCTGTCCCTCCGATATTAGAGTTTAGCTTCTTTAGCTTCTTCAGCTGAAGACGAAGTGGATTGGATACGTCATGGTCTGATGGCACACTATTTCAGCTGCATCATCGGAGGAAGCAGCGAGTCACTGGCTGCTCGGACAGGCGATTGAATAATTGTGTGCGCAACACTGGCCGAGAATCTCGACGCTATTTGGGGACAGGAGCCAGACAAGGCGGCTGTTGTCCGAGAATACAAGAGCCAGCAGCCAGCTATCGTGTGCAGTTTTACCTCCCATACTAAGCCTTGGCTTGAGCATGATTGCTCATGTCCACAATACCCTGAGGCGGACTGACCCAGTCAAACGGGCAATAAAGGGGTTTGATTGTTCGAGACTACTCCTCGATGAAGGTCAATCGATCGACCTTTGAACGGGAAGCATCGGCAGAGTTTGAACATCCCATGGAGGAGATATCCGCGGACAATCTGGAGGATGTATACTGGTCCCTTTTCAGTTCGGTCATCAATGGCCATTTGTCATACTTTGTACGTGGACTGCATCCGGGGCTGGCCGGATGGAGAATTGTGCGCGAAGAGATGGAAAAGATCATCCTCAAGGATAATCAACAGCACTCAAAGTGTGGATTGAGAGTCCAGACTCGCTTCCTTGAACCAACGTTTCGAAGGGAAGAGATGGGCTTCCTCGGCGGCAAGATACATGACTGTTCCTAATCCATTATATCACTGTTATCGGTCTAGCTAGCAAAACTACAGCCAAACAATTTAAACATATTTGTACTGTGTCAGTTGGTATTGAGTAGTTGAGTTTCATAAGAAAATGGAAGGAGCTTACTTGATTGTATTAATCAAAGATTTTTTTAAGGGTTTGCTACTTTCAAACAGAAGACAGTTGACGTAATAAAGGTATGGAATAGAATAACTAATCCGGGATATAAGGGGATTAAGAGGATATTGTTTTGCTCGTAGGACTATGGGAGAACCAAAATAGAAACATAACAATTCATTAGCTGGCACAAATCTCAAAAAAAGAAATAAAAACGAACTACAATTCACAAGCAAGAAGGCTTGTGCCTTCTATTTATCTGTTTCTTCCAGTGCAGCAGTAACCACGCTGACAATCTGTGTGCCACCCTCAAGCCCAACACTGAGTCGAATAATATGCTGTGGCACGCCATATTTCGGAACCTTGTTCCGCTGCCAGCATTCGCCAATTGCACGAAAGGGATAGCCAAGGTAAAGTTTGTGTCAAAGATTGAGCCCTTGAGAATAGTGGTTGAAACAGGCAAACCCGGACCAACTGATACAAGTGAACGGAGAACTCATCGAGCAACTTCATCAAATCGGCCTCCAATTATTCGACTACGGACTCTTCGCGCTCCCCACAGCGATGGCGCAGCACATAGCCCATTGATGGTTTATTGGAAGCAGACAAATTCACCTTCAATGGATGATGCTCCCTCTCTTCTTTCTTTCTTCCCCTAAGAATCAATATATATAGGCTCCTCGTATAGTAGTGTCCTACTTTTGAATATAGACCTTTCCATCTGCAACCCAACCTACTAGGTCTTAATCTGCACAGCCGACCACTGGCAGTACGTAGTCTCTCTAGGGTTCACTAAGATTTTGTCACTTGGTCGAGGCTAATACTACCAACCCCGCCGTAAATTGGAGATCTTGGTAATTGCCACTGTGGGGACACGAGCCTGTCTATTTGGGGTTGACACATGTTTAGTTGGGTTTCGCGGAACGCTTGCCGAGGTCTAGGTATTCGTCAGGCTATCTTTTTAATATAACCATGCGATCGTAGGGTCTGATGGATAGTGAACGTAGATCCAAGCACGTTGAGTCCCTCGCATAAGAACTACCATAACGGTTGTGCTCATACAGGAACGGCCGCCCGGAGTTGGGGATGCAACGTTAATATAAAGATGGTAGTAATCAATTCGACCCAATTGTATTTATAGAATGTTGCCTAATTTAACTGGGTAAAAGGGTCTGGTCTCCTATACTGCACATATTTCGCCTACCTATATTTCTGTAGAAGCTCGGTTGAGCTACTGAAAGATCGCCACACGATAATTCTGGATATATTGAATGTCACACATAATCTTCTAAGGAACATGATTTATATCAACAGATGCTTTCATCTCTTCTCCCCCTAGCAGCGTATCAATAAAATCATTACCTAATTAGCTTGTTGAACCCTCCATCGCCTAATCCTAGTTCGCAGCAGTTTTGCGGGGCATGTTACAATCATTTATTCAGGCAATTAAGCGAGAATCGCGAGATTGGTAGTAGGAATGTATTCCTACTTATGTAGAGAGGGGTACTGGGCATTTATATCTCCATGTGGCCCATTAATTCTTCCTATCATCTAAAGTTCTCAACACTCATTCCCTCCGTCTCCTTTCTATGTCTGTTTATTCTGACTGAAATTGACTTGGCCTCTTATTGAGATGTTGTTCACTTCCATTACTGCTGCATCACTACTAGCTGTGCTTGGCACTTTGCCAGCAGGTGTGCTAGCCCAGGATGCCGAGGGCTGGTACAAGGCTCATCCAGGCATGGCGCGTATCAGCCAGGTGAACCAAGACACGCATCAAATTGTCGATGAATTCGGCCGTACGCGGTTCTTCCATGGAACCAATGTCGTGATGAAGGAGCCACCGTGGTATCGGCCGTTGGAGTGGGCGCCTGGTGTCTCATCGTTTGGCGAGCAAGACGTCCAAAATCTGCACGGCTTAGGTCTGAACATTGTGCGGTTAGGCCACAGCTGGGCCGGTGCAGAACCAGTGCGAGGTCAGTACAACCAGACATTTCTAGATATCATGAAGAAGCAGACCAAGATGGCTGAGGACCACGGCCTCTATGTTTTGGTGGACGTGCACCAAGACGTCCTGGCGCGGCAGCTTTGTGGCCACGGCGTACCTGACGTAAGTAGATGCATGGCCATGTTGGCACAGCTGATACTGACATGGCTGCATAGTGGTTTGTTAAGGAAGACTGGGTACCAGGTTGGAAGAAGTACCCCTTTCCTCTCAAGCTAACGCCGTTCCCCGTGGATAATAAGGGGTTCCCATCGCCGCAGTCGCTTTGCGGCACCGTGGACTGGTCTCTGAGCTACACGTCGGTGGCGGTATGTAATGCATTTGGGCGACTATACAACAACTACGACGGGCTGGGCGATGCGTTCGCGGCGTACTGGAAAAAGCTGGCGTCCGAGTATGTCAAGACGACCAACGTGGTCGGGTATAACCTGCTGAATGAGCCGTGGGTGGGCGACTCGATGGCCGACCCGACCCTGCTAGTGCCAGGTGTTGCCGACCACAAGGTCCTAGAAGGCCTCTGGAACCGCGCCGCCAAGCAGATCCGTACCGTCGACAATGACACGCTCATCTGGTTCGAAGGTGCCACCATTGACATCTTGTCGGGTTTCAACAATGTCCCCCTTGGAGACGGCTCGAAGTCAGTGCACTCATTCCACTACTACAGCCCACCGCAGCTGTCGTCTATTTCTACCACACTCGACAACCGCCGCAAGGACAACGAGCGTCTTAGGACCGCCGGGGTGCTGACTGAGCTCACCTTCTGGATGGGTGACGATAAGCAGATGCAGGGCCTAGCGGACGCCATGTCGGCGACCGACGCAAATATGGTTTCCTGGATCGGCTGGGCGTACGAGAACCTGTACAACGGCACATCTGGTCAGCCTTACCCTGAACTGGCAAAGCACTACAGCCGTGCATACCCTGCCGCTGTCGCCGGCACTCCCAACAGCTTCAGCTTCGATGAGAGCTCGGGCATCTTCGAGCTGCAGTTCACGTCTGATCCAAATATTAAAGCGCCCACTGAAATTATCCTGCCCCCATCCACGTTCCCCAACGGCTATAAAGTCCGGGTCTCGCCTGACGGCAGCTTGCTACAGTATGTACCCAACAAGCGTACTCTGGCCTTGTTCACAAGTACTAGCATCAAGAACGCCATCAACATCTCTGTCACAGTCTCTCCTAAATAATCCAATCTACAGCTTACATCTAAGATTACTATGTGTCCGTAGTAGTTGACTTACTCCGCTATACTCTACTCTAGTCAAGATGCTGATCATAAATCATATTGGCCCTATCAAATATGTCAACTACCTCACATACTTTAATCTCTCTCTTTTTGTTTTTGTAGATGCACCTATTGATTATATTATTCGCATTTTACCATCTAATCAGATCATTCTGAGCCCTTGTTAATAAAGTCTATTGCATATCGAAGTTAAGGCCGTCGCGGTACCAATATAATAGACCTAATAGCATCCACCGCCCTAATCAACTTGGTTGGCACATAAAAATTCCTGGGTCCTAACTAGAGTGGTTAAACCCAACCTAAGTCTATGTAGGGACTCATAGGATTAGGTTAACACTATAACTATAGCTAATCTTCGTGAAACCTATACTATCCAATAGACCTTAAAGAGTCTAATCTAATAATAATATTAAAGAGTATTCAATGACATAGTTAGCGGGGTGCTGAAAACCATCTGTCTGCTGCTTTCCACTGCCTGCCCTGCCTGCTTTAGGGATTATGCCCTACTTTCATGCTTATTACCTGCTGCCTCATGCCACCTATGTAATCTATATAACCCCATCCACCCTCTCAATACTTTCTCTTCCTCTTTCTCCTGCTGTCTACCTCACTCCTAGTATACTGCCCCTCCCAGGATGCCATATTATCTAAATACTTCCTCTTTGTAGTATAATGCCATCTATATCTTCTTTTTTCTTCCATTATTTAGCTTTGAAGTTACTGATAGCTTAACCTATTAGTACTCTATTGGTTTCTTAGCTATCTATGTCTCTCTGTCTATGTGCACTGTATCATGTGTGGCACTGGGGACATGACTTCTGCTTTTAGGGAGCTTCTGACAGAAGAGCTCACGGCTGAAGGTTTTGAAGGTCTCGCAAACAGCATGGCAACAGCCTTGGGCGAGAAAGGCTTGAAGTCACTGACTAAAGAGGAGATGAAATTGTAGGTGACTAAGTCCCTTTTTCTCCAAGCTTCCCCTGTCTTTGAGAACTGCTACTGATCTGATTCTTCCATCCCATAGGATCGTCAATACTCTGGTTGATGCCATCCAAAACAAACAAGGGAGAGGATTATATTAGACAAGTAATTCAACAATATGAGGGTGACTCAGATTCTACCCAGCCACAACAACCCTTCGACGCTGCCGGCCCTGACGATCGTACCGGCCCTTTCGACCCTCATCTAGAACACTCGAGCGGCGGGGGAGTAGTCCGCATTTGACAGACGCAACCAGCATGGGCTGTGAGCGGGTTGGGCCACCTACTCACGGAACATATATGACCATATATGAAGGGAAACCAGTGCACCCCACAGTGTGGCGCGCATGGCCACAGGCGGAAAGCTGCTGTCATCAATTAGACCACAGTTTCGGTATCGTATTAGCCAGCTGGTCAGCTCTCTTGCAGCGTGTATGTCAGCTGATGCTGAAAGCGGTAACAACAAGAAATAGAAATGAAGGCCAAGGAAGCGTCTGTATCTCGGCGGCAGCTTGATACGGTAATCGTCCCTTTTTGGTTCTAGAACTTGGCATTCCGTACAGACATGGAATATAGCTTTGCCAACCACATCGCTATCGGAATGGAGGCGGTGGTGTTCAGATTGTCCGCTAGTCGAGCGACATTAACAACTGTAGGGGCAGCGGGAACGGCCTCCGACCGTCGACCGTCGGCGAGTTTCCAGTTCCGAGCAGTGAAATTGATGGCTGGCTGATATTGCATTAGCACGAGTTCGGGTCATAGTGCTTCTTCAGTAATAGCGCTGTGAACTTATTGTTATGTGCTAGAGAATAGATTAACCTTCGGAGTGGGGTGGAAACTGTGGCTTAGAGTGCAAGCCGCCAATGATGAATAGTTCTTGAAGACCACGGTTCGCCAGCATTTTAGATGGTCGCCAGCTGGAACAAATGGGCAGCTGGAATGATATCCCTGTCGACTCTAGGCCCAATCAGCTGTCGTCGCCGCACAGGCTGCGTAGCACTATTTTTTGTTACAGAGGTCCGAGGAAGCTCACGCTACTTCGTATACAGCGAGGCATTACTTTTGTGGCTATTATTGGTTCTCCAATGACGGCCCAGACCGAGTGCGTAAGTACACTTTCTTATTTTCAATCACCTCAAGCAGGCAAATGATTGCTCCTCAGCTGGAAAATGTTCGACACTCCAGCCTGAATACTACGCCAAGTCGCTCTAGAGTACGAGACTGCTGGATATTTCACCGGATATCGCTATTTGGGATATATGGAAAAAAAAGTAAAGTTTTTCGTTTCTCTCAGCTTTCCGTCTCAGCGCCACCGAATAGAACTATCTGTCCTGGTCAGCTGTTCCGCCATGTATTGCCGTATCAAGCTGCCACCGTGATACAGACGCTTCCTTGGCCTTCATTTCTACTTTATGGGAGAGCGTCTCAGCAACTAGATGCGCATTAAGAACTTGCTCGATGGGGAAAGTGCGACTTGTGGTTAGCATGAAACCAGCAGAGTTATTTTCCATTCCGAAGGCCACGATTTCTTTCAACCCAGGTCAGGCTGGTGAAAATATCCCAACTATCCCTACGGAGCATGCAGTATTCGCAGAACAACGCCCACAGCAGGTAAACCCCATTGCAGTAATATCATATTCTAGGACGTAGGCAAGGCCAATATCGCAATCGCAGTAGGAACAATTCAGTAATAATATTGGTTTTTCAGGGGTTAAGTTTCGACTGGAGTCAACTCTTCTATGGAGGGTCGAGCCGCTCACTTAGCCGTCAGGTCACATAGCTACTAGATGATATGAAGTCAGTGATTAGAGCAACCTTAAGTAAGAAGTCGGGGGAAATATAGCATACCACAAACCACAGGCTTCAGGCAGAATCCGCCCGTTAGCGGATTATAACAACAAACTTCATCCTTCCGGCAATGTCGGTCAATCGTGCATGGCCGGGGCGGCAGGGATTGACGCTTTCCTAAGTCCAGTGGTTGGTCTGGATAGACAGCTGGGCTTGCGAGGAAACCAGGAATGAAGATGGAGACGACAGTAAGATAGATGCTGAGTCTCATGATGAACGTTGCGGGAGGGGTATATCTATCACAAAGAAAGCTCAGCTTGATGACAAAGGCTCATATACGGAATCTTATCCTACCGTTATTTGGTTTCACGTGGACCGCCAGGGCAGTAGTGGCGTGTATACAGGTAAGAAAGGGAGGAGCAAGGCACTCTTTACTTATATTCTGCCACAGGTCATGGGAGATATGCGCATGTAGGTTTGTTTGGACTTGGCATCGCAAGGCAACGAGCAGCTGGACAGGTATGACCGCTGGTAACTGGCTGCCCGAAGAGGAGCAGTGAGCCAAGGAATGTGTGGCTTGTGGCCCATGCTTACTGTGACCTACGCTTATTGTGGCCTAGATTGAACAAGGTCCCAAACGGTAAAAGAATCTCAGAATTTGCCATAGGGACTGTAGGGAGTAGGAGCGCACGTTCAACCAGCTGTTCAGTGCTTCCTATTGATCGTGCACGATACCTTAACCCTAATATTTGAGCCATACATCTAGGTTCGATCACCTACAAAGAATAGAGCAGACACATACCATATGGTCCCAGCCCTATTAAGTATTGAAGGACAGAAACGTAACAGTCAATCTTCCATTGGTTTCCAATGCTCCGTAAAGCGAGTTTGCAGCCTCATCACACTTCCATGAACATTGCTAGTAGAAAAGGTGGCTGACTTTGTATTTGATCAATGTATATTACCTACACAGTTGGCGAATGAAGGGTAGTCCACTCGGTAGCGAGACTCCAAGCAGCATATGGTCCGTCGGCAACGAGGCATGGGCAATAGCCTGGAAAGGCTGTGCCGTAGGCGGAATGCTGTCCCAAGGTTCCAAATTGACGACTTTTTCCTCATTTTCTTTCCCAGCTGACGCTTCCAAACTACGTTTGGATGATTAACGATCCTAACGGACATCTCTCTTTCTAGTAATTCTGTTATCGTCTCGATTTGGCTCCCCTTGTACATTCGAAATGGCCTTCACCCAGGGTAATCTTGCTCTTTCTTTCGTTCCCCTCTTCTTTTCTTTTCTCTCCTTTCGCAACTTTGCTGAGTTGCTCTCACCCCTATACAATTGCAATCATGCTGGTCTAATGCGTCCTTCCGGGCCATGATACGTAAATGATGACTTGTTGGCACATGGATGTTCATACACTGGATCCGTGCTGGGAGCTTATCAGCCAGGGTGCTGCATCTAGTTGTCCTTTCACAAAACAGCAGGTTCTAAGTCTTTCTGTTTCCTGTGATTAAGAGCAGCAGAAAAAGATCAACAAAGACTGCTGACAATAGTCTATCACTAGGTAATGTTAGCAATGGCGAAAAGCTCTTCAAGATGTCTACTTTGAAATAGCTGAACCATGTTTTTCTAAGCGGCTGACCTTAATATCAGATTATAGACACGCTGTGCTCAGTGCCATACTGTCGAAAAAGGTGGCAGATCAAAAACTGGCCTTAACCTCTACCGTCTGTTCGGTCGCGTATCTGGTCAAGGTGCCGACTCTTTCTCCTACAGTGACGCCAGTAAGAAGGCGGCTGTTAAGTGGGAGGAAGGCACTCTTGTATGCTCCTGCAAGACTTAATCATGGTGGTTGTTACCAATGTTTTCTGTGCAGTTCGATTATCTTGAGATCCCCAAGAAGTTCATGCCTGGTACTAAGATGGTGGCGACTTGATCACGTACGCATGCCTACAATTTATCTGCGGCGATATTATCTGCAATGCAGGCGCTGACATTGACTCTCTCTGAAGCTACTTGAAGAACTCTACTTAAGCATTTTACGCTACCTTGTTACACCAGCCCTCAGGCAGTAGTAGTATGATGGTTGAATGTCAGGGACCAGGGCCATAAGTACTAGGGAAAAACCAAACAGCATTAGGCTGTGGTGGTAAACCTGTCAGGCATGTAATTATTACACAAGGCGCTGAGCATTAGTTAGACTTACAAAACAGTATCAAGCGTAGCTGTTTTTGGCCGCTGGCTAACTGTTTCATCGTTATATGTAGAATTAGGGATTAGTAGAGTTATTTATAATAGAAGAAATATAATAGAAACTTGAAAATAGTCAGACTTTTTAAAGTATACTAACTATTTTTAAGTTTCTACGTAGGACTTGCATTAAAAGCAGCCTCATATAGGCGTTGGTGGAAGCAATACGGCAACATGCCCCCAGTTACAAAAGGGAGAGGAGAAATATAGGACAATGCAGACAAATGCAACCGTTGATGGCAATCTTCTTCCCTTAAATGGCACCGCCAGAGAATGAGGCGGACATAGAACAAAGAGAAGAGCTCCCATGGGTACCCATCACCGAACAAGAGATGCATCAGGCCGCCAAACCCATGAAAACAGCTGGGGGAGGACGGAATGACACTACTGGTGTAGCATGCTTGAACAAGAGATCCTTGTGGACCTTCACGTCCTTACGCGCTCTCAGCACCAGGTACCTAGCTGGTTGCTATTACGGAAGATATGGTGATCAGATTAGCAGCATTCCAAACACCAGCTCTTGATGATATGGCAAGAGCGTCAAGTTCATGAGTGATGAAAACATCATACTGTCGAAGCTTGTCACCAATGCGATAAGTGATAGTCAGAAGCCATACTTTGTTAGAGGAAATATTAGGTACGCTAGGCATCTAGCTCATTCTCTCAACTGTACTTTCCTGGTTTCTACTTATACCTTTCACTGAAATTGCCTTGATAGGGCCTTATTATCACAAGGTATCTACCCTGAAAACATGGAAGCCGCTACAGCATGGTCCAGGCTGCTCGATCAATCCAAAACCTGTACACTGACCACATTTGTGAGTGGACCCAGTGACCGAAATTCCTCAAAAGCTGCTAACAGAATGTATGCAGGTATGTTTATATCAAAAAAAGTGGTTAAAGCAAAGGTGGGTGTCTGAATGTTGAGGCAACCAGAAGTCCACCCTGCATCCATCCACGAGTGAGCTAATCTACCAGATAACAAGAGTCATAGAGGGACATTAACGTAGCCAAATTCACAACGCTGTGGGGAGTGACGGAGATGTATAAGGCTAATAATTGCAGGTACAGATGCGCTTAATGCAAAATAAGATTAAAAGAGCTCTTTAGCCCGTGTCCTTGCATTCAGGAGATGTACACGAGTCTCGAGGTAAAATTCCTTTGAAGAGAATAATCTCGCAGATCTTCTAGCAAGGTATCCGGTTTGATTTTGCAACCTTGGGCGTGAAGCCAGATCCCAAAACAGTAGCAGTCACGCATCACACACACACACAATGGTGATGTCTTGCTTTGCCTTGGTTAATGTTGCCTCGGCGGCGCTTTAGACTGGAGGCGGTGATGGAGGATGAGTATACGATTCAGCCGCTCTGGTGTGTGGTGGGATGGAGGGTGGTGTGGGTGTGGTTGAGGGAGTCGTGAGTGAAAATTGATCAATAATAAACGCTCCACTTTCTCAAATTTCCACGGGAGCAAGAATCTGCACCTGAAGCCGCAAGGGATAAGTAACTTGATGAAGAGGGATACGAGCTTCGTGTTCAACGGCAGTATCAGCAACGGGCTTGAGGTGACATCGCTCCACTCTTAAGACCTCACAAATAGTGAAATGGGAGCTAATATTTACTTGGCGGCCAAGAGTGCTTAACCCCTCCTGGATTGATTTCACGACGTGTCTCGCCATTGGAGGATCTAAGCGACATATCCAGGATTCCCTCTATATATATCCCGCCGATCTCGTGTTTCTCGTATCGCCTTTTGCATAAAGTACCTGTTGCTGCGCAGACCACCCTGTAGCTGAGAAGGAGATGCGTCCCCGAGAGAACTATTTAATATCACAACTATCCAACCTTGAAGCTCTTATGTATACTCCCTAACCTTCCCTTTGGCCCTTGCCCCCAACCAGAACCTATCCGATCCTCCAGTCACCATGCGAGCCGCCCTCTTTGCTCTCATCACAGCCCTAACAGGCGTGATTGCCCAAATCCCCAACTCCCCCCGATTCGACCTCACAAAACCCTCGTATGACCTCTGGCGGAACAAGAAAACCGCCGCCATAACCGTCCAACAATCATTCACCTTTGACAACGTCAACCGCCGCCTCTTCATAGTAAACCGTCGCGATGGCTCCGCCCTCGACTCAGGAGACTTAACAATCAGCCAACTCGACTTCTCAGGAAAGGTCCTCGGCTCAATGGACCTGCTCGGCTGCGGGCACGGTGTGAATATCGCCGCGGAACCAGTCGGAAGCGATACGTATATCTGGAGTGAAACCGACGCTGCAGCAAGCGGGTATGGGACCGCATTGTGGAAGTTCAAGTTTCAGAATGGGAAGACGTTGAATAGCGCCACGGACAAGCGGAAGCGGATTGTGCCGTTGCCGGAGTTTGACAGGGGGACTGCAACAATTGACCCCGTTTATAAGCGGTTAATCGTGCGATACCAGACTGGGTCCGTGCAGAATATCGCCGCATTTGACCTCGCCAAGGCGAGCGCAGGCAATTTTTCGAACCCGCTGGCGAAATGGGAGATTCCGCATCTCGTTAAGGAGCTCGGGGCAAAGGTTAACGTGTTTCAGGGGTATGCAGCTTACGGGCGGTATGTCTATTTCCTGACTGGGGAATCTTATGACGCTAGTGGCGGTAAGCTGAATTCCGAGGTTATGGCTCTGGATTTGGATACTGGGAAGCTTGTGCAAGGGCCTGTCATTACAAAGGCTGGGTCGACGTTGAAGTTTCGTGAGCCGGAAGGGATGGCGATTTATAAGACAGTCAGTGGGGAGGTGAGGCTTTTCTTGGGATTTGCGTCGGGGGTTGCAGGAGACCGGAGGAGTAATCTGTTTTATAAGAACGAGTTGATATAAGGGTTGTTGATGTCGTGAGGAGCTTGAGGGAGAGACGGTTTAAATGTCATGTCTGGGGATATCATACCAGGAGGGTCCGAAAGTACAAATAGAAAAGAAAAAAATCATACTTTTGATTACTAGTTTATGTAGGGTGTGTTCCTGCAGCTTTGCAGCCTCCTATGTATATTCTTAGTGATCTGTGATCAACAGTGGCTGTGCCCTATGATATTATGTGTTATCATGGTATCACCAAGCTCCTAATAACTCTGCAAGGCAAGTTAGATTCTCTACTTCTTGAGAGCATTAACTGCTTCTCGATGTTTGTTATCCATCGCCCATCTCAGTGCAGTTCTGCCATTCTTGTCTTTGGACTCACGATCAGCACCTCGTTCAACAAGGAGCTGAGCAATATGAGCATGCCCATGTCTTGCGGCCAGATGTAGAGGCCGGTGACCATGCTTATCCGCACCTTCCATATCAGCGCCTTTGGGCAGCAACATGCGGACAATCTCTCGTGTCCCGTGCACGAAGCCCAGTGCAGAGCAGCCCAGCCGGTATCAGTTTTCATCGTGACTTTGGCGCCCCGATGAAGCAACAACTTTGCGACTCGTGTATGTCCCGCCCGAGCAGCGAATAGAAGCGCCGTTCAGCCCCCTTCCATGGTGGTGCCGACTTCGGCACTGGCCTCCAGCAGGAGCTCCAAGATCTGGCCGTAAGACGATCCGCTGGGTTTTCCTCTATCATTGCCCGAATCCAGGGTAGGGGCTCATTGTCCGAATGCTGGATTTGGCTGTCCAGCTAGGTGTTCAAGCCGCGATTCGGTGATGGCAGAATTACTGTGCATGAACGGCTGGATGTTATCTCTTGCGTTATTCTCAACTTGGCCTGGTAGAACCGGTCCCTGGCCTCTATAGTATCTCCTCGCAGAACCGTGAAAATCTCCAGACAAGTCACGCCAAGGCTGTAAACGTCTGCTGACGGATTGCGCGGCTAGTCCATGATCACAATACGGCGTGACGAGAAAGCCTACCGCTGGAGGACTCGTACCTTTCCATGCTAAAACTTCTGGCGCAGAATACCTTGGAGTAATTGCCATGGGCAGCTGGTATAGGGTCATGGCTCAGGTGCTTAGGCTTCTATTAAATATATAATATATGCAATAGCTCGCATTAAACGCTACCGCAATCTCCTTCACTAAGTGCCTAGGAGCAGGCCGGCAATGCTCAGGCATCGCATCTCATTTGTTTACATTGCTGTGACGCGACGGGATAAGTTGTTTGAAACATCAACTTACTTTCAGCTTATGCGGAAAGTGGTTATAGTCGGGAGATCGGGACTCCAATGCGGAAATACGATGACGACCATCGCGGCGGGATACAGAAGGTCATAGCGGACACCGGATACACTGCTGGGTCGCCTGTGGCCCGGAGACCGTAGTGAATCAGATGATGATATGAAGCTTCATGGGGATGATTAGTGAACAACCCGACTTAACTGATTTTGCCTGAAAGAATGACGCCAGAGGCAAGAATCTGCAGTACAAGGAACCGTCCGGCTGCATTTCATCTAGGTAATCGGGCCGACGGAAGATAGCATAATCAACCACTTAGGTGTGCCATTTAAACGGAATGGATGAAGTAGATGCCTCGGTGCAGTAATATGATTCAGGCCATTCATCTTATAACCAGAAAATGCTTTTCTGAGACAGCAAAGTAGCTTGTTCCATTATGTCCCCAAGAAGCTCGGTCCTAGTACCCTGAAGACATTCAACTTCATCTCAATCTGAGAATGACACAGACCATGCATCATCGCGCCTTCCAACTTTCTAAGATAAATATTTTGATTGATACGACAGGTATTCTCGCCCATACTAACCATTATGAAGCTATGCAGTCTTGGACTCAATTATATGAGACAAGTCTGCAATGCCGGCCCCGACAATGGACCAGAAATGATCACTAAGTGCCCCGTTGCCCCCGGGACAGGGTCAATGTAACTCCACGGGGTGAAGAGTGACTTGAGGATTGAGAGCCCGAGTTAATTTATTGTGGGCACTCAAGAACATCAAGTAAGACTAATGATTCGCCCATACACCTGCATAGTGGATGCCTTTCGCGGAGACTAGGCTGCCTCCGCGATGAAATAAGATTAAGCAATTTGAGTATCCGCAGTCGAGAGGCCCTTCCCGCCTCTTCTGCACCAATTTTGGCCGATCTATCTGGGGTTCTCCACGGGGTTCCTCACGATGACCATAATAATACCGAGTAACCTCGTCTCATGTGCAGCCAGTATCGCTGTGTTTCCGCCCTCCGCGAAATTATGTGCCGTGTCCTGCCGGATAAACGAGATGCCCCCGAACAGTGTCGCTATATTGATCTCTCTGCTGTTTCCTTTCCTGGGTTAGACGAACGCCACTGGGGCAGCAATGTTCATACTACATCCAACCCAGGTTCCGGAATGTGCGGGAAGTCTTCCAGAATCTCTCCACTTTTGCGTGACATCGGGGAACATTGGCGGAAATGCAGAGTAGCGCAGGAATAATGCAGGCGAAAAAGAATGCGGGGGAGAGAATTTGAGTCTTGGGATCCGTAGTATCTCTTGACCGTACAGAAAATGAAGCTTGGAAAACGCGACAGCCAGAGAATATATAGAAGCCGCTTCGCCGCGAACTCGAGATCTTTTGGCACTCACAGTCAGCATCTTTTCCTCGGTCCCCTTTCTATACATACTTCGGATGCATTTATCTTGTTAGAATGGTCGCTTGCTTTGCTTATGCCCTAGCTTTCGGGCTCTCTCTTTTGCAGGCAGTAGGTGCGCAAACCTACAATGAGCTCTACCGACCTCGTTATCACTTTACACCGGCTAAGAACTGGATGAATGATCCGAACGGTCTTTTATATCACAATGGCGTTTATCATCTTTACTACCAGTATAACCCTGGAGGAGACACCTGGGGAGCCATGTCATGGGGCCATGCTACTAGCAATGATCTGACCCACTGGAAGCACCAACCCGTTGCCCTGCTTGCGCGTGGGTACCCGGATAACATCTCTGAGATGTTCTTCTCTGGTTCTGCTGTAGCCGATCCCGATAACACGAGCGGCTTCGGTACGAACGGAAGTATTCCTTTTGTGGCAATGTATACTTCCTATGTGAGTACTGTGAACTCCTAGCTTGGAATGCTGGGCCCCTCTAACGCCTTCTGCTTAGTATCCCGGGTCACGCAATCTACCTAGCGGCAAGTCAGTCAATGGTGGGCAGCAGGCTCAGTCCATTGCGTACAGTCTAGACGAAGGCATAACCTGGACAACCTACGATGCTGCTAACCCTGTCATCCTTAACCCACCAGCACCCTACGCGGATCAGTGGCGTGACTTCCGAGACCCGTTTGTATTCTGGCACGAGCCAACCCAGAACTGGGTCTCAGTCATCTCACTAGCCCAACTCCACAAGTTGCTCATTTATACCTCGCCTAACCTGAAGGAGTGGACCTACACCAGTGAGTTCGGCCCAATGAACGCAGTCGGGGGTGTCTGGGAGTGTCCTAGCATCTTCCCGCTGGCCCTCGACGGGAACGAAGCCGAGACCAAGTGGGTTGTACAGATCGGACTGAACCCCGGCGGACCACCAGGAGTTGTCGGCTCAGGAACGCAATACATCGTCGGCAGTTTTAATGGTACCGCATTCGTTGCGGACTCCAACACTCCGCCTCCGTCTCCAACCTCCACATCCGTGTCAACATCTGCTAGCACTGGTACCCAGACGTCCACCACGTCCTGCTGTCCAGGACCAACTGAGGATGTTACGTTTCAAGATTTCGAAGGCACTGCCGACTTTGCGTCGCGCGGCTGGGTTGCCACAGGGGAATTAGTCGGGGCTGCACCGGCCCAAGGGACTCTTTCCGGACAGCAAACCGTCTCTGGATATACTGGCACTCGCCTCGTGAATACTTTCCTGAATGGAGACTCGACCACCGGCACGCTCACCTCGCCTCCCTTCACAATCACTCGGCCGTTTATCAATTTTCTCATTGGCGGCGGCAACGCACCAGGCGCGGAATGCATCAACTTGAAGATCCAAGGGCAAAGCCAAGCTGTGCGTACTGCCACAGGCCGCAATGAGGAGAAGCTCCTGTCACATACATGGGATGTTACTGAGTACATAGGGCAAACTGCGGTCCTTGAGATCGTTGATCAGCAAACGGGCGGCTGGGGACATATACTCATTGACGAGATTACCTTCACTGGGGATGCTACTCCTTCCCCGCCCAGTGGAGATGGTGTGTTTGATTTCAATGGGACCAGTACTTTTGCGAGTCGCGGGTGGACCGCTACTGGAGATCTTGTCGGGAAGAGCCCGGCCCAGGGCACGCTGATGGGACAGCAACTTGTGTCTGGTTATCGCGGAAACTTTGTCAACACCTTCTACGATGGCGATGCGACGACTGGAACTCTGGTCTCGCCCACGTTCACAATCACCAAGAAGAGGATCAACTTCCTCATTGGTGGCGGGAACGCTCCAGGTCTGCAATGCATCAACCTCAAGGTCGACGGCCAGGTTGTCCGCACAGCCACGGGCAGTGATAGCGAACAGCTTCTGCCAAAGAGCTGGGACGTCACAGGTTTGATTGGTGAGAGTGCCGTCATTGAAATCGCGGATCTCAGCACGACCAGCTGGGGACATATCCTGGTGGATGAAATATCCTTCTCGGATGTATCGGAAGAGCCGCGAGGGACCAACTGGATGGACTGGGGCCCTGACTACTATGCTGCGGCACCATTCAATGGACTTCCGTCTGCAGACCGCACCAACATTGCCTGGATGAATAACTGGCAATACGCGAGCAATATCCCTACCTCTCCGTGGCGCAGCATGTTGTCGATCGCTCGGAAACTGTCACTTAAGACCATCAACGGGTGGCCAACAGTCATCCAGCAACCTGCTGCCAACTGGGCCACTCTACAGACAGGAACGTATTCTAATGCTCTGAACACTGTAGCTGAAGGAAACCAACCCATTCCGCTCTCTGGAAAGTCCCTCGATATCACGGTGGCATTCTCTGACCGGAACTCGGCGTCCTCATCTCAGTTCGGCATCCTCCTCCGAGCAACCTCTGACCTGGCACAGCAGACACGAATCGGTTATGACTTCGGCACAAAGAGGATGTTTGTTGATCGAACCAAGTCTGGAAATGTTGGCTTTGATGGGACATTCTCCAATACTTATTACGCGCCTCTGGCGCCTGGCATTGACGGCAAGGTCACTCTGCGCATCCTTCTTGATTCTTCTTCGGTTGAAGTCTTCGGCGGCCTGGGCGAGGTCACCTTGTCGGCGCAGATCTTTCCGCAGGACACGGGCGTTGATATCCGGCTCTTCTCGACTGGGGGAAGTACCAGTGGGGTCACGATTGATGCAAAGATTCTGGGGTCCGCTTTCGATCAGCCCACGACCAGTATGACCAACACGATCAACACGACACCAAGTACGACACTAAGTACGACCTTGAGTACGACTGTCACAAGCACAAGCACAACCACCACCGTCCGGCCTTCCGCTACTGTCCCCGTCGACTTTCGCCCTGTTTTCCACTTCGTGCCAGAGCAGAATTGGATGAATGAACCTAATGGTCTTATTAAAATCGGGTCTACATGGCACTTATTTTTCCAGCATAATCCTACCGGAAACTTCTGGGGGAACCTTAGTTGGGGCCATGCAACTAGCACTGACTTGGTATCCTGGACTCACAAACCAGTGGCAATCTCTAGTGCGGATGGCATACAAGCATTCACAGGGACCGCGTATTTCGACTCTCAGAATCTTTCGGGGCTGGGATCATCAGCAAACCCACCATATCTCGCATTCTATACTGGCTACTTCCCCTCGACTGGGGTGCAGGATCAGCGGCTGGCGTACAGTCTCGACCACGGCGCCACCTGGATCAAATACCCAGGCAATCCGATAATCTCAAAAACCCAGGAAGAACCCCATGATATGACCAAGGGTCTGGAAACCCGGGATCCAAAGGTCTTCTACCATACTCCGTCGAGCAGCTGGGTAATGATTCTCGCACACGGCGGGCAGAATAAAGTCACTTTCTGGACATCGAGCGATGCAGAATCTTGGACCTGGAGAAGCGACTTCACTGCCAGCAGCATTCCAAACTTACCCGGCGGGATCAACGGATGGGAGGTGCCGGACTTTTTCGAACTCCCGGTCAAGGGAACGACGCAGAAAAAATGGGTCATGCTCATTACTCCTGCCACTGGGTCCCCCGCCGGCGGCAATGGCGTCTTCGCAGTCACAGGCTCCTTCGACGGTGCTGTATTCACAGCGGACCCCGTTGATCCCAGCGCCTTCTGGCTCGATTACGGCCGCGACTTTGACGGGGCCCTCACTTGGGAGAATGTCCCTACTTCGGATGGACGTAGAATTCTCGCTTCGGTGATGAATAGTTATGGCGGAAACCCTCCAACAAACACCTGGAAGGGAATGCTATCGTTCCCGCGCACACTGGAGCTTCAACAGTTTAATGGCAAGCTGCGATTCCTGCAACTGCCCGTGAACGAGGTCAGCGCGTACACGTGGCTCGTCGCGAATATCACGAATCAAACCATTGCCCCTGGACAGACGTTGCTTTCCGACATCCATTCCCGGACACTCGATATAAAGATGTCCTTCACGGCTTCCCCGGGTTCTACGCTCTCTCTCTCTGTTCGGAAGGCAGGGTCTCAACAGACTTTCATCAGGTATGTGCAGAGTTCTGAACAACTCTCGGTTGATCGCAATAGCAGTGGGAATATCTCGTATGATCCCGCAGCTGCTGGTGTCCACACTGCTACTGTGCAGCCTGATGCAAATGGGGAGATGCAATTGCGTGTCTTGGTTGATACATGCTCTCTTGAGGTCTTTGGGGGGCAAGGGGAGGCGGTGATTTCGAACTTGATCTTCCCTGACGTGTCCGCTGATGGGGTGTCTCTGGAGGTGTCTGGCGGAACTGTGGCTTTGGGATCAGTGGAGGTGCGGGAGGTCCTCCTTTGAGCTGGCAGTGTACTAGGCAAGATTTTTATGCTGTCATCCCCGTGGAACACGGTCCCTGACATGTAAATGCTTTCATGTCTCTTAGTCTGGCTTCACTAGGGCAGACAGTCCGCCAAAGTCGACAGACCCCGACCGAATCCTTGTAGATTGCCCTTTGAGAAATAAGACGTTGGATCATTTGCGTTACTAACAATGATTCGTGTGACTACTTGTCATGCGGTGCGGGCTAAGTTTTCAGGCTATGAGTAACGAGGAAGTACTTGTAGTGTTCCTAGGTAGAAGGGCGAAAGATGTTGTGCTTGACCGAGGGAATGTTGCAGGCAGAAAGGGGCTTCCTCGCAAGGAAGAAGAGAGGTAGGCAGTGTTCAAAAACCATAAAAAAGAATAACAGTAATAGTAAAGATAATCGTATTTGCCAATTTTATCAGTACTTGACCACTTGCAGACATGATTTCAAAGTATGTTGCAATAGCTCGAGCGAAGGACTACCTTGTATACCTTTCCAGTCCCCCGCTACAGCCGACGCAAGACATTCGCGTAGCTGCTCACGGCTGGCACCGGCGAGACAGGGAGTACCTGCCACTTTGAGAGCAGCCATCGTGGTGGTGAAGAAACTGGGGGAGAGTAAACATCTAGAATTCCACAGGTCTGAAGCGCGACTTACCTGACGGAAAGTGTCCATTTGTATATTAAGCAATCGTCAACCGCAAACGCGATCCGCGGCAGAAGCTGAACATAGGAATCGATAAACCGCTGGCAGTGATCCAGGAGCTGGGTGCTGGCGGCATTATCCTGTACAGCCTGGTAGACGGCAGGCCAATAAATCGATAATTTGCAGCAGTAATACTGAACATTCAGGAAATTCGACAGCGAGCCGAACCGGTCAGCACATAGCTGATCAGGCGCTTTAGCGAACCGGATGTTCGCGGGGAGATAGTCGTACCACTCGTCCAGTTGTCTTTCGAGCTCGAGGGCGATACTGGGTGCGTAGCTAAGCCGGCCATCTGGCGAGCGCGTGACGGCCGAGTTACAGCGGTGGAGCATGCGGCGCATGGCGATCTCCGCGAGGAAGAAGGATTGTGCCTGGTCTGCTGTTGTGCTCGTGCTGTCCGTAGAGTGGACGCTTGCCGGGGAGACACCAACGAGAGTACTGGGTGCCTGTGGGGTTGGGAATTGCCAGGTGCGGCGGCAGTTGGGAAGCGGGATATACTCGTCTAGGTTCCAGATGTCGCTTTTGGCGACGTCGAGCTGGACGCTGAGTTCGCTAGGCGGGATTAGTATGACTGTGCGGTAGGTACTTTTCTCGATGAACGTACTTCTCCAGCAATAATATTGCCCAGTATGCTCTGTGGGTCAATTCGAGGGTGTCATCATCCGTACTCTGGAGCCAACTGTTTATCATTAGCCCGTAATGTCTTACTCCGAAAAATAGGACAACCTTTTGAAGAGATTCTGAATTTTAAAGGACGCTATCAAAGAGTAGTCATGGGCCTGGCAGGGCTTAAGGAGGCAGCAGTAATATATGCTCAAGAAGATCAGGCATTGTATGCTCGTCAACGTGCATTCTGCAAGGACGACAGGCAGCGATGCGAGAGCTGCTTCAAAGTAGGGACTACCAGTCGTGGGATCATGCGCAACACAGCCTATTGCTGCCACTAGTAGAACGAGGAATGTCTGGCACGACGGTGCTAGAGGCCCCGACAAGATGGAAAAATACGTCTCAGAAAAGTTGAGAGGAAGTATGGGGTAATAGCAATGAACTCGATCCGAGAAAGCCGCCAAAGCGTCTGTGATTTGGTCGTGCGATATGAAGAACATCCGCGATGGAGTGGCCGTGCTGACCAGGAGATTCGCTCGCTCTAACTGAACAAGGCTGCGAGCATAATGATCGTCTAGGCCTAGTACACGCATGATGGAGTCTGTGGCCAGCAACCTGAATGGCGAGTCCTCATGCGAACCCAGTGCACTGGTAGACGGCTGTTGTGGCTCCACCAACGGTTGAGACTGCTTGGACAACAGCATGGTGAGGTAGTCTAAGCGCTGGTTGACATTGGCTAGTTCGGTTTCTACTCTGCAAAGAATTAGTTTCAGGCTACAAAATTTCCCAGAGCAGTGCTTGAAGAAGCGTACTTGGTGGCGGGGCTTTCTGGAAGCTGCTGATAGAAACAGTTTAGCCCGCGAGTGCGACAGGGAGCGCAGTACGGTCGCTGACCATCGCACTTTACCCGTCTCGACCTGCATGTATCACAGGCGAGGGCCAATCTTTTCCGTGTCTTGACCATGTTTGACGGTGGTGTCGGCATAGGTCGTGGGTGGTGAGAGCGCGGAGTCGATTCAAATACCGCGGGGTTATGACGTTCCGTTGGATCCAACCCCGCGTTCCAATGTTTCATGCGGATGGCGACGCGGAGTGCATCATTGAGTCCGCGTGCATCTCTAGAAGCAAGCACAATGGAAATACATCCACAGGATGATATAAGTGCTTCGCGATGCTCGTTTCATCGGTCACAAACTCACCTCTGGAAACAGACTGCTACGTACCGCCAACATGAGTTCTGCCCTTGGAAGCCACCTCCTTGCCGACGTCACTAAAAGAAAGGTCGCTCGCAGCGCTCGTGTTGCCAGCTGGGACCAGGGCGGACTCAACGAAGATGCATTTGTCGTCTTGCCCGGTGAAACGGCTGTGCTCGCCGATCTCCAGGGCCCTGGTGCGATTACGCACCTATGGTTTGTGCAAACCTGCCGCAAGATCCTTGGACCGGGCCTGATCCCGTACTCCAAGTCCGGAGTGGCCATGATGGAGATCCATAACGCACTCGGTCTGAATTATGAAATCAATGATCCCGACTACTACCGTAAAGTCCTCATCAAGATGTACTGGGATGATTCCGAGAGTCCGAACGTCCTGGCGCCGATCGGAGATTTCTTCTGCCTCGGCCACTCGATGGCTGCGAACTTCCAGTCCCTCCCTTTCACAGTCTCTGTGAAACCGTCGGAGGAGAAGCAGTTTGGTGGTGCCGCAGCCTTCAACTGTTACCTGACAATGCCCTTCAACAAGCGCGCCCGTATCGAGATCGAGAACCAAAACGACGAAGCCTACATCCAGTACTTCTACATTGATTACGAACTCTACCCTGAGCCGCTCCCGAAGGACACGCTGTACCTCCACGCTCATTGGCGTCGCGAGAACCCAACGAACGGCTGGGCCCCGTCCGGCATCCAGACCAACAGCCTCGAGACCCAGGTGAAGAACCTCGACGGGAAGGGCAATTACGTCATTCTCGAAACCGAAGGCGCAGGCCAGTATATCGGCTGCAACCACTCCGTCTGGCATGAGCAGGGAACATGGTGGGGCGAAGGTGACGATATGATCTTCATCGACGACGACACCTGGCCGCCGAGCATGCACGGCACCGGCGGCGAAGACTACTTCTCCCAGGGCTGGGGCATGCAGAAGAACGCCTATCCCTTCTGCGGCACCATTATCCACGAGGAAGACGTGCCCAACACCCAAGTGAGCTACCGCTGGCACCTCACTGATCCTGTCCGCTTCAGCAAGAAGATCAAAGTCACCATGGAATCCGGCCATGCGAACCACCTCCGTGACGATTGGTCGACCACTGCGTATTGGTATCAAACCTTGCCCGGGCCAAAGTTGGACATTTTGCCGGTGGAGGAGCGACTGCCCCGGAGACCAACAATGCAACCGATTCCGGAACCGAGTGAGAGGGAAATCGCTGCGCTGAGCGCAGAGAAGAAGGAAAAGCTAGCACAGCACCGGGAGAGATATGAGGCGTTTGTGAGGGATCGGAACGAATGGTTGGAGCGGCGGGCGAAGGATTCGAAGCAGCGCGCGCTGAACAATGTTCGGATCTGTGAGGATATCCGTCAGCGGTTCTTGAACAGTCTCAAGGAGTAGAAGTTTCGTCGTGTGCCAGCGCATTATGTAGGTGTGACATCAGAAATATGAACTTTATGATATGACTGCCTAGACCTCGAAGAGCAAAATAGATTAACCTGCAAGCCAGATAGCCCTGTAGTGGTGATTTCGTTGATAGTACGGCAAGCCATGGGACAAACCGAAATAACGACTAGTCCGTATGAAGACCGCTCTGAGTTCTGCCTAACTAGAATTACACTGCCATACCATTTGGTATTTTACCATATGGGGATTTGAATCACCTCATAGTAGGGATTTGAATTGCTATATAGTAGGGATATCAAATACTACTATACTTAGGTATATATATATTTAAATATGCAGTGTTAGTGGGTGGGTTCCCTTATGACCTTCTCTATATATATATATTCTGCCTATATAGGGCACGACCTTGGTATATAAGGATTTAACATTCCTATTATATAGTGATTTAAATCCTACTGTACGGCAATTTGAATCATTCAATATACCTAAGAGGAGAGAAATCAAAATCTAAAAACAGTCAGGTGCTTATTGCTGGCAGAAAACCATGAAATACTGATATACTGAAAGTCCTAAATACGTTATTTCGGTTTTGTCCCAATGGCTTGCCGTAGATATAGATAGCTGTAAATTGATAGGAATGGACGTGGTGTGAAGCGTTCCAGGTATAGTGCTGCAGAATGCCCGAGTAGGTGCGAATTCCTCACCGAGCTACTCCGTACATCGGCCCAGAAGAAGATTCATTAGCAGCAGACTGAGACCCTGAGGCCCACTCGCCGCAAACCAACGACGCCAAGTTCCGAAAATTCCCCGATTTTGGACTTTGGTCCAGATCCCTTCCTCGTGCCCCGGACGATTTCATCGCGGAGAAGGATCACGACTCCGCGGGTGTACTTTGCGACTGTCAGCCTGGCGGCAGGGAACTTTCATCCTCTCTTACTCAACTTTCTTCAACTTCAGACTTCCCCGGTCTCTCTACCCCATGATGATTGTACCCCGCGTTTTGTGACACTTATAATGCTCCACTTGCACATCTCCGATCGATTGTCTATCAACATCTCGTTACTGTTCGGTGGTTCTCTCGAAGCACGATGGCAAATACTGCGGACGCCCGGATTGACGGGTAAGTCTCTCATATATCCCACGATGCTCTCCGAGAGAGATTAACCAGCACAGGGTTGATTACTCCCACATCGACTCAAGCCAAAAATGGCGAATGCTCAGGTCGCAGAAGCGATTCTTCTTTTGGTGTGGGTGCGCACTAGTTCGCAAACGAGCAAGTTGGTAACGGGAAGGACTTTTGTTAGGCCTCTGGGTATCCAGCGGGGTCATCATGCAAGGCTTCGATATAGTCGCAGGAGGCCAGCTGGTTTCTCTCCCGGAATTCCAAAAACAATTCGGACGTCTGCAGCCGGACGGTTCGCATATTATCCCTGCTCACTATCTGTCTGCGTGGAATTCGATTGCTCCCGCCTGCGAGATCGCCTCGACTTTTATCTATGCGCCGTTACTGGAGAAATATGGCCGTAAGCCTGGTATCTTAGTTGCCTCTGCCATCTCTGTTGCGGGAGTTCTCCTACAGCAGCTGGCGACGGATTGGAGGGTCCATCTGGCTGGTCGAGGGGTTAACGGTTGGTTTGTTCTGGTCTTCTTGACTTGCACTACTGAATAAATGCAGGTATTGCGATTGGTATGATGTTCACTATTTCGCCGCTGTGGATAGGCGAGACGTGTCGGCCAGAACTTCGAGGTTTCTTCCTTTGCTTCTTCAATACGAGTATTGTCTTTGGACAGTTCGCCATGTCCGTACTTTCTGTGGGCCAGTCTATAGATCACGGGCTAATTTATGTGCAGTGCCGCAGTGGCTAGAGGAAGCAGCTACCTTGATGGCAAATGGTGAGTCACTCCATGATACCTCAATGTCACTGTACAAATTGTAACCGCCACAACAGGCAATGGTGGCTCCCGGTTGTTGGGATGTATATCTTTCCAGGTAAAGCCCCATCCTGCTCCGACTCTACAGTAGCTCACATCACAGCAATTCTCACATTTGGCTGGCTATTCTTCCCCGAGTCCCCATACTGGCTGGTTCGACAACGAAAGACCACGCAAGCCCAAAATTCCCTCCGGCGGGTCTACGGGTTCAAAAACGACGCCTTCTACGATGTAGAAGTCCGTCGCATGGAAACAGAGAATAATCAAGCCCTCGCATTACAGGGCAGTCTCGCGCAGTCCAACCGCCGCACATTCCTCGGCCTCGACCTCTCCGCCGAAGCCGAGTGCTTCGACCGCATGAACCGCAAGCGCACCCTAACCGCCATCTTCGCCGCCAGCGGCCAGCAAATGATAGGGGCGACTTTCGTCATCGGGTACGCGACATACTTCCTCGACCTAATCGGGGTGAAGGACTACTTCGATGCGTCGATCGTCCTCTACGTTGTAATGCTACTAGCCAGTATGGCCGCCTTCCCACTGACCGAAATCATCGGCCGACGGACCATGATCGTGATCCCGCAGTTCATACTATGCTGCATGCTCCTCCTGATCGGGATCTTGGGGTGCGTTCCCGATCATGGAAAGGCAAGTTGGGGCATTATTGTGTTCATCTATATTTGGGCGATTATATACCAGCTGTCTATTGGTGCCGTGGGGTTTGTGCTGGCGTCGGAAATTGCCACCGTTCGGTTACGAAGCACGACACAGGGTCTTGTTACGATCACTAATGCGGCTTGGGGGCTTATTATGCAGTTCACGATTCCGTATATGGTCTGTTCCAGCCTTCCACACCGAATTTGATATCTTGCTGACTTCCTCGTCCTGTAGATCAACCCCGACGCAGGCAATCTCGGGGGCAAGGTTGGATTCATCTTCTTTGGAACAGGCCTTATCGCAGCCATCGGCGGATGGTATCTGTATCCGGAGACTAAGGTGCGTGGTCCGATAAGTGCAAAGTAACACGAGTACACAAGTTGACTGTCATAGGGCATATCATTTGAAGCCATGGACGAACTCTACGCGAGCGGAACAGCGCCTCGACTCTTCCGCACAGCAAGCGAGCAGCAGAGAGGCATCCCTTTGGAGTCCAAGACTGAGCCTCCGGTTCATGTGGAGGATGTGAATGTTTAAGCGTCGTGCTTGATCTGCCACATGTTGGGCATGTTCAAGCGAGGAATTGTGATGGATTTTGGATTCTGCGTGGGACACCAGGCTGCGTGTAATAAGGAGCAAATATATAACCGTGTCTAAGGCAATAAGACTATGCTTAGGACAGTTGAAAATACAAGTAATTATGCTTCCAACGATGCACTAAGCTGCCCATATAATATTACAAAGGCTAGCTAGACAGCCGTGTGCAAGTGTTTCTTGCATTTTTCGTATTGATTTTGCTAGTGAAGGCGAGGGAATCCGCTCTAGTGATCCACTTTCAGAATGGACAACGCCACGGAGTCAATCGACTACAGCAGCTCCAAAGACATTGATCAATTTAGATCGTATGGAGGAAGGACACAGCTTGGGCATTCGAGAACCTAGACACAGGCTCGTCAAACACATATCTATCCAGCTGCGTCATATAGACAACTATCCACAAATCGGAGCTTTCAACGACCAGTGTCTATTCCATCTTCGTCTCCGGGCTAACCTCTACCCTCCTGCAGCTGCCCACTCCGCCATAACAGAAATTGGATACACACCACCGTACAACAGACACAAGGCGTAGAAGACAACTCCCCCGAACCCTTCAATCCCTTCCCACAATGCACTTTATATATAGTTCAGACAGAAGTTAGAACCCTCCTTACGCTCCTACCCCAACCTCTCGATGCTCCCCAACCACCCGCTTCTCCTCAATCTCAATCTCACCGGCCAAACCACCTGCCCCAATGACATCCTCCTTCCTCTCTTCCCCCCTAATTACCCCCCGAGGCTTCCACCCCACACTCCTCCTCGCACTGCTCACCTCAAAATAAAGCTCATCTACTTCCTCCAGTGTAAGCCCCTTCGTCTCATATATCATAAAGTACACAAACCCGATACAGAGGAAGCAGCAGCCGAACCAGATGAAGAAGATCTTCGACTGCAGGTTTGCGTTACCATCGCCGTAGTTCACTAGGTATGGGGTTGCGAAGCTCAATGCCCAGTTTAGGAGCCAGTTTGTGGCGGTTGTCATCGAGAGGGACTTTGCGCGGGTTTTTAGGGGGAAGATTTCGCCTGTTACGACCCTGTTGGAGCATGGTGTTAGAAGGGATGATGGTTGATCGAGGAGGGACGAAGACATACCAGGCAATCGGCCCCCACGAAGCTGCAAAGAAGAAGATATAAAGACAGATAAACGCAATAGCCGCCTTCTGCGCCGCATCATTGTGCACAATAATATTTCCCTGTGCATCTTGCCCCGTGGTCGTGGTACCAAGAACAGCAACAAGAAGCTGCGAAACAGCCATACCAACTGCACCAAGCAGCAAAACCGGCCGCCTTCCCCACTTATCAATTGCGTACAACCCGGGGATAGTCGATCCCACGTTCACACAGTTCGTAATAAGCGTGATGACAAACTCATTCTTGAATCCGGAGTTCTTGAAGAACTGCGTCCCATAGTAGAAAATGAAATTGATCCCTGTGAGTTGCTGCAGTGCTTGCAGGAGACACCCTGTCACAAGTCGCTTGAGCAGATTCCCGCGGAAACAATCGATGTACCCAGATTTCCCAAGCGAAACTTCGAACTGATGGTTTGCTTGGATCTCCGAGAGTTCCTGGCGGATCGACTCATGGTCTTCGGGGAGGCGCCGCAGTTTCGAGAGGCTGCGCGCGGCGGCTTTCGTGTCGTCGCATTTGACCAGGTACCGTGGGGTTTCCGGGAGGATCAGCATGCCTACGACGAGGATGATGGACCAGGCAAATTGCACGGCAATCGGGATACGGTAGGAGCCTGAGTCGTTGCGGTGGTGGGTTGCGTTGTTGACGAGGGAGGCGAGGAGGAGGCCGACGGTGATGGCGAACTGGTAGGAGCCCACGATAAATCCTCGGATCCATTTGGGGGCCGTCTCGGATTGGTAGAGGGGGACTTGACGGACCGCAGTTGTTAGTACTTTAGCTGTTTAAGCGGTATAGATGTTCCTGTGGTGAGTCAGGGAGCGGCTCACCCAGTGCGGAAATAAGACCAACGCCCAGCCCAGCGAAGAAGCGGCCTGCGAGGAACGGTGGGATGGAGGTTGCGATGGTTTGTAGGATAACTCCGAGGACAAAGACACCATTCGACGCGATGAGGCCCCAACGACGTCCGATGATGTCGCCCATCGGGGCGGCACCGAGGGCACCGAAGAAGGTCCCGGCAGAGAGGATAGAAACGATAGCAGACGACTGGCTAGATGTGACGTTCAGCTGGCCGGTGCTGTCCCGATATCCCGTCGAAAAGGTGGTAGCCCAGTATGGCATCGCAAGGATTCCACTGATCGTGCCAGTGTCATAGCTAGACGACAGAATCATAAGATCAACAACAGGCGTACGACCTCGGGGATGGGTCCAGACACTCAACTGACCCGAATAGAATCCCGCCAAATGCAACAAATCCACTTATCACAATAGCAGGCCATGCCGAGCCCGCTATATCTTCGGGCTTTTTGAAAAGAAACCCCATTGTGACGACGGCAATCTCGGAGGTTGCAGACTTGGATGCTGGCTTGACTACAGCTCGACTGTCTCACTGATGTTCACGGAGACACGAGGTCGGCTTTATGTATACGACGAGCTACCCTCGCAGAGGGTTCAGTCTATCTTGATTCCTTAAATGATTGCGCCCGACTGGGGTTCCAATGCAACATTTCATGCAGTTGGTCCAGTTCGTCGTAACAGTCTAGCGGAACTGTGGAGACTGCTCCGCGAGATGTCCCCCATCTCGGCCCGGACCCCAGTCGGGCGCAACCCGAATTACAAATGCCCGTAGTAGTAGTAGTAGTAGTAGTAGTAGTAGTGGGGATGACTGGAGAGAATCAAACGATGTTAATTATCCGGGGATGGCGTGGCTCGATTGACAGGCATTCGCCGTCGTTGGAAGTAAAAAAATTCTCCGTGTATTATGAACGCCTACCAAGTCCCGACAACTATAATAAGGATTCTATATGCGTCTAGCTAGGGCTGTACACTGTACTCTCTCCCTCAATATAGCCCCCATATCTGCTAGCGAGGGGCTAACCTCTGTAACGCCCTCAAAGATCTTGACTGCAATTTCTAGACCCTTGTCTACCCCCTGAGCGGCAACTTGTACCAGATACGGTTCCGTCAGGGCCACCAGGGTCGCCATCGATATCGTAAACACACTAGATGCCGGGCACCGGCCAGCGGATTAGTCCAAAGGCGCTACGGCTTCACAAGCTTACGGACTAAGTCCAGCTTACCTTGTACACAGAGTCCACAGATTCGGCCTACACGCAGCAACTGCCAGAGCAGCACTCGGAGCAAACTCGGCATAGCTACTAAAGAACCTTGCACAGTGGCAAAGAAGGTCCCCGTTTGCCTCCCCCGTCGTAAGAACCTCGTAGACCGCTGGCCAATAAATCGACGCCTTGAAAGCATAATACTGTGTGCGCAAAAACTCCCCCTGCGGCGAAATCGAAAGGAGATTCTGCCGCGGGCGATATCCGATGTCTAGCGCCCTACGGAAGGATAATGTCTCCGGGAGCAACTGGAGCCATTCGTCTAACTGGCGTTCTAGTTCGGCTGCGACAATCGGGGCGTAGACGTATCTGCCTGGCGCGAGTGTGCTCGTCGCCCATGTGCAGCGCTGCAGCATTTTCCGCATTGCGATTTCCGCGACGAAATAGGACATGTCGGTGTTTCGGGGATATATCTCGCTCCCGCTGGAACTAGATGCCGGAGAGCCGTACGGCTGGTTTATGTGCCACCTCCATGTGCCTGAGGCTGTTGGGGCAGGTGCGAACGGAGTTATATTCCAGATCCCACTATCGACGAGGTCTAGCTGGACTCTTATCTCGCTGAAAAGCTGTCAGCTTCTCCGACCTTTTCTCTATTTCTTGAGGCAAGAGGAGACGACCTTTCAATCAGTACCGCTGCGTAGAAGCAGTTTCCGAGGATCGACGCCGGATCATCCCCGGTGTCTAATTCACTGGGTCACACACTCATCAACACACATTTCCATTCAACGTTGCATTGGAAGCATTCTGCTCACTTCATGATATACGTTTGCAGTTTAGACGACGCCATTGCCACAAAATCGTGAGCCTGACACGGCTGCGCATGGCATAGATAGTATATCGCGAACAGGAGCAGGCATTGCGCGCTGCGAGGGCTACCGTCAGAAAAGACGCAGGGAAGCATCTCCATGGCCGCTTGGATATACGCTGCATCCGGGCGAGTCTGGAGAGCATCTACGCCATTCTCGCATTCTACCACACAACCAATGGCCAAGACAAGGAGTGTCATGCAGGATGACACCGACGACGGAAAACCAGACGTTACTGCGTGGACAAAATCATGGGAATACTCTGCATGCAGGATCGGGTACCAGGTATGAATCTGCTCCGTGAACGCGTCCAAAAGACTATGTCGAGAGAACCGAGTCAGATTTTGTGTGACAAGGATACAGAACGAGAGTAGGGCACGGCTCACATACATCGATGCTTGGTCGAGGTCGATCATCAAGATCCCATCCTGTAATGGCTGCGCAGGAACCGTTTGCCTTCCGCGCTCTGTATGCTCGAAATACAGAGCCAGGGATGTATCAAGGCCAAGCAACTTCATAAATGCTCCATTCTGGAGTATCATACACGGAAAGCCCAAAGGCGTTTCACCAGCTGTAACAGGAGAGCTTTGTCGACTATTGGGGAAGTGAAACTTCTGTGGAATCTGACCCTGTACTATTGCCGTGATGTGGTCCAGTTGGTCCCATAACCTCGAAAGCTCCGCCCTCAGCCTAGATAAAATCAGAAAACTACACCATGTCTCTGCATCAGCATGTCACTCACGGAGAAGCTGGAAGACATTGCGGTTCCTGGTAGATGCACTCTTTCCCTCGCTCGGCACAGAAAGAACACTTGGGCCGCTGACCATCGCATTTTGTCCGTCTCCCCCGACATGTATTGCATGCCAGCGCACCCCGGCGTCTCCGGGTGTCATGGCCTGCGAGGCCGTTGGAATCCATTCTCAGTTCCCAGGCCAGTGGCCCAGTATCTCAGAAGTGTTTGCAGTCCATGATAAAAACGAGTTCTGCTGGGATGTCGGGGCAGTTGACCTGCCCCACGCTCAGTCTCTGAAGAAGCAAGGAATAAATGAGCAAGGCCTCTCCTCCCCTCTCTGCAGGGGATGAGCTCCGCTATCATACCCCAGAAGCCCAATGGCCCTTTCGGCAAAGCGCTGTGGTTGCTTTGCCCCATGGCACGACGCTTCCAGAACACAAGAAGAACAATTCTAATCCGGTCAGTGCGGGGAAAAACAAGTACTAGCCGTCGAATGAGCTTCCGGAATCTCCACATGACGGCTTCGGGCACAAGTAGGCTTCCGCTCTATACCGAATGGAGACCGTGGCCGGCCACTGAAACGGCCGCGTCCCGTGAGCCATCGGGCAATAAGGACCGGGGGAAGGGTGTGATGTGACAGCCCTCGCCTGGATGCAGGTGTGTGGCAGATACGTGCCATTGAGTGGTTAGGCTGGGGGACTGTAACACCTCCTCCTTTCCGGAGAGGAGGAATCCGAAGAGTGGCCCGTGGCTACCGTCGAGTTCTGGTCGAACTCTCTCGCTTCGCTTATCTTGCTCCGTATTGTGGGAGCTGCAATTTTTTCCGGTGCCGGTGACCGAATTTGGTTCTAAACTATAGTAAAACCCCGCTAGAAGCAACTCTGATATAAGGAAAGCCTCGGATATAGCAAATGGCCCCCGTGTCTAATTCTTATAAAATTTGCTTAACACTCCAATATACAGTTTTTGCTTCCAAAAATCATCTCTCCCATACAAATTTCCTTATCCTGTGTATACCACTGCCTGGCTATCCTAGACCACTTTTAAGAGTATTTTTACAGGCTAATACAGGATTACATAAGTGGTAAATTATGGCCATCTCTACAGAGTACCTCTCAAGGCTCTTATATAGTATTTATTTAGTATCTTACATAGTATAAAAGGGTAATTTTAGGGAGGGAACTCATGGAAGAGTATCTGAACAATATCTAGTCGTGTTTAGGTAGAAAAATATACATTTCTAGTGTTAGTTGCTAAAGAATCCAGTATAAGGAAATTTCAATATAAGGAAGCAAGTGGCTGTCTCTAATAGTTACATATATCAGGGGTTTACTGTAGGACGAAGCGGACCTCAAGGGCAGGCAGGCCAGTTCGCATTTTCTTACAATAGTCCCCACCAGGCATGTCTTTACTGCGCAATCTATAGCTGATTATCTCGTCCTGCTTCTACTATTAAGATCATACAACTTGCAAGGTGTGGAATAGATAAGATATTCCCCTCATCTATACCCAGTGATATTGCCAACTGCCGTACTGCAATCACGCAATATGTACAGCACTGACTCGATCTTTCAGAGAAACATCGTCCCGATTGTTCCGCGCACCAGGCTCATCAGAGAATGTCGGGTGATCCCTAAAGTCTAACGGCCCTCAGTAGATTAGAAGCTAAGTCTAAAATGCCTTTCAAAAGAAGGCAGATTGAGATGAAGCCAACCTAATATATGAATTTCGCCCATTCCCTGCCTTGCAAGCCATCGAGAACTAAGTTTATCGAGTGCAGTTTTGAAGTCGTCGAGGACAATCGTATCACAAAGACACTTGAACATGAAGCAAAGCTGCGAATAAAGCGTACGTTAATAGAGATCTCAAGACGAACCGATATGCGTTTACTAGGGGGTAATGCGAGTTTGAGCGCACCTTCCAGAAAGGGTTTATACCGAGCGGCATGGCAGATTGGAGTGCTCCAGTCACACTGAGGACATCCAAGACGATGAACACGATGGACAGACACATTGAGGCGAGCATGAGTCCAAAACGGGGACATTCACGAACGAGCTCAAAGATGCCAAAGCAGTAGTGTTTCTTGACGACCCAGAAGAGATTGCATGTCGTGTAGATCCACCAGGGGTCGCTGGCAGATCCAGTTAGTCTTGGCATCACCACTCGGTAGATAAGACCAATAGGGCAGTATCATACCGAAATAATGCCTCCCATGGGCGGATCTTCTCGTAAACAATAAGGTTGATGTTGTTGAAGTAGGCAAAGTTGGCGTAGATCTCGGTCACCCAGTATGGCTGTGCCAGGATGATAGTGCCGACGTAGAAAAGAGACAGTTTACGACCCATGAACGGCCTGTTCTTCATCCAAGCAATGACATTGTGGAGAGACCAGGATATGATTAGTCCGATGGCGCTGGAGGCCAGGTACCATCCGTAAACCGGGTCGGGGGCGAATATGAATGTTCCATGAGCCAGGGCCAGAATTAACTACCACGAAGGTGTCCCGGGTCAATGTGTATATTCCGCATCAAATACGGACCCAATTACCTCGAGTAAGATCAGTTTGTGCAGCAGAACGCCTGCTCGCATGTTTGCAATGGTCACCGCAGCCATGATGACGAGGGACCCCGTCATCAGGCCTTGCGACCAAGCTTCCAATACCAGTGCAGCGTGGTCATCATCCGGGGACTGAACCGTTCGTCTCCCGAGGTCAAAATGCTCCACTGAGAGAGTTAATGATCGAATATTCTTCGACGTGGTCATGTTACTTTGCTATCACATTTTACACGGCGATATGCTGTGCAGGCGGCAAAGACTAAAGAAAGAATGCGGCAAGTCTCCGATCGAGTTCCACTCTTGGAATATATAGGCCACAATTCTCCTAATTTGCCTCGAGGAGGAAGCGAAGGGATCAAAGCTCTCTCCGCAGTTCGGAGTGCGGAGAATCTGGAGATGCGCCGAGAGAAAAATGGGGTTTCCAACAGAGTTGCGTCGTCCAGAATAACGGAAGAGGCTAGAGCGTCTCGCGGAGAGGAGGGGCTGCTCCGCGAGAGCTGATTTTGACCCAATCATATCAAATGTTATCAGGACCTTCGCTACTAAACTCGTATGTAGTGGGTCCAGTTATCCTCCAGACGGACCGGCCTGGCTGGATGGCAAGACACCAAGAGACTACACAACAAGGCGAGTATACATGCTTCTAGCCCTCTGGATCGTAGATGGAGAGAATATATCACTGGGACACCAGTAGTATCTCAGTCCAAACAGACATCGGAGCTCGTGCGCCTCCCAACGACACTCTTATCTAGAATGGCTTCAGTCTGCGTTGATTGTCGCGTCCGCAGGAGACGATGTGACCGGATCCGGCCCAAGTGCACGTCCTGCGTCAATCAGGGGGTGGCTTGTGTGTACGGGCAAGCCACTGACTCTCAACCATCACAGTAAGTCTACCCCTTCGACATAGACGCAGGTACCGTGGCTGAATGCCCGTGGCAGGTTAGTACAGGAGCTCATGAGCATGCGAGAAAGACTTGAGTCTATAGTCCCATTACTAGAGCGTAGACTGCAGTCTTCAACACTACATCACAAGGCCCCGCTTGTTGGGCGTCCACAGAATTGTCCGCCCCTCATCATCAAATCTCCTCACCTCATGCAAATCCTCGGGTTACCGAAGGATCTAGCATCGGTCCTCTATCGCTTGGAAATTGCTGCTCCACGAACTGCCGAGTCACCGGTCGAGTGGACTCTTGCCAGTTCTCCTGATTTGTACGTCTTACAAGTTAGCAAGTCAAAGACGACTCGGCTTACATCACACAGCATCCTCCTTAGGTTTCAGGATCAGGTTCATCGATGGTGCCCTGTCCTACACCATGATTTCACACGCCACTTTTTCGAGTCAAACGCTGCTGGCTTTCCATACTCTACAAAATCATGCTTATCTCTCCTCGTTGCATCCTTTGCAAGTCTGGACGATTATCGGCCCCCGTCCTCCCACTATAAGGCAGCCCTGTCCATGATCCCGATAGTGATGCAGGAATCCAGTGTGACAAGTGTTCAATGTTTGGTTCTTTTCAGCATATACTGTGCATTTCTTCTTCAACCAAGGCAGGCATATGAGTATATACAGGCTGCCTCGTTGAAAGTGCAGCCCCTATTGAATAGGTACACCATCTTCTTGCCCATTTTTTCTGTGTCCTCACATACAAGTTTATTTGTTCCTGCTGAGATCAAATAGTCCGTACTTTGCCGAGGGCTCGCCCGAGTCACACCTTCTCACACGCTTATACTGGACAATAAACCTGATAGAGAGGTCTGCCGACGCCTGTTTCGCTACTTTTCTGGCCTAACAAGTGTGTAGTGAGATATCCATGCACTTCAATTTATCGTGCCTGGGGAAAACGTTGCGCGGGCAGTTGACGAAGACTCCATTACCGACAAGCGTAGATACATGGAACTACTCCTCTGATTCTAGTCAACCGTCCACACCCTCACCATCTGGAGTGCCTCTAAGCGGATACTCACCAACGGAATCGCCGCAGATGTTCTCACGTCTTTCCACTGAATTGAATCTCCAACTAATTTTGAACAGCTACGCCGGCTCTGTAACAGATATGCGGAGTTCCTACAGCGACGGCTCTCCGCATGTAGAGGATACGGCAGCTCCAAGTAACCCACTAGACCCTTTACCAGCTTTGGCCTCTACACGCAAGGGACCAGACTCTCAGAATAACCCACACCCATCACAACAAATGAATGATCCCGTCTGTCGAGCCAAGAGTCACATGTACGAGATTATTCTCTACTGGCCGGTTATATACCGCGTCATAATGGATGGCTCCGCGGACCCTGAACTCCTTCCCTACGTACCACTTTTCTTTGAATCTGTCATCAGCTTCCTCTGTGCGGCTAGGATTGCGATTCGGGTGTGTCGTCCGAAGGCCTGGTTCTTCTGTGCAAGGTTCGTGTTTGCTTTTTGTTTACCGTTTATACCAAGCTTACGTGTTGATCGCAGTATATACATTGCATCTGTTGCCACCATCAAGGCATTGGAACTCCCGTCTCTCCCTTTGCTGGCTCCGCCTTGGACTTGGGAGTATCTTGAGGGGTCAGTGGACGCGCTACATAGTCCGGCTGAGCTTAGTCCGTCCGTTCAGTATATGCGGGACTCGCTGAAAAAACGTTTGGAGATGGCTAAGCTGCAGAAGAGTGGTTAAGCATTCTTGCGATAGTACGAATTTACGATATTTCTCTAGCTTTCCATGCAGAGGTATAATGAACTTTATACGTTGGAGCTATCCGTGTATCTAGACCTGGTAGGAAATATGAACAAGTCCACGCCCTACATACTCTGTGCTGAATTATCTTGCCAAGCGAGCTTCGCTGTCCCTGTTTGACACGTCGGCGATCCGCCCGATATTTCTACTTCACCGCCAGGTAGAGCGCACTTCCTTCACGCGCAGCTTGACATCTCTGGTTTCCCCGCCAGTAGAGAAGAGTCGACCGTACACAGCATCACTCGCAGGGAAAATCTGGCTCGTAATCGTGGCCTCGCCGTTGCCTCCAAAAACCTCAACACTCGACCAGTCAACCAGAACCCTAAGGGAGACAGTCCCGTCTGCCGACGGAGCCAGAGGGGCATAGTACACACTCGCGAACGTGCCATCGAAGGATGTATCTCCTGAGCGGGTGCGGTCAACAAAGACCTGCTGGGTTGCAAAGTTGTACCCAACGCGGGTTTCATAACTATAGTCTTTTGTGGCAGCGACGGCAACTCCGAATTCGGCCTTCGCAGTCGGGGGCGACTGCCTGCTCGAGAAGGTCAACTCGAGCTCCAGAGTCTTCCCGATACGCCCGAGACCGCGGACACCCTCCACACGGGGGAAAGAGAAGGTCTGACCACCATGCGTAAGTGGCTTCCACTTGCCCGCGGGTTCCTGGACAACTGTTGCCTTCCCATTAATCGTCTTCAGCGCTAGATGCCGGGGAACCGACATCGCACTACGCCAGGGATCTGTCGGGATGACCCCCCCATACTGCCAGTTATTCATCCACGCGATGATCGTGCGCTGGTCCTGGGGTAGACCGTTGAACCCAAGCGCCGCATAGAAGTCTGGTCCCCAGTCCAGCCAGTTCGCAATCGTGTTCGTTGCGCGCTTGTTGGAGAAGGAAATCCGGTCGACGTTGATATGACCCCAGCCTCCCGTGCTGTTGTCGATTATCTCAATCACCGCTCTCTTTCCTTGCAGCGTGCTTACATCCCAGCTTTGCCAGGTGAGACCTTCGCTGTTGGATCCTGTGGAAGTGTGGACCACCTGTCCGTCGACTTTCAGCCGGATCGCGGTTTCGTTGACGTTGTTACCGCCTCCGACGAGGAAGTTGATGTATTTGTGCGAGATTTCGAACGGGGTGGATGTGAGTGTACCGATTGTGGCATCTCCATTGAGGAACGTGTTCAGCAGCTGCTGACCGAGATATCCCGTTACTGGGTTCTGCCCGGGGAGCGTCCCCTTCGACGGGGACGCGCTGGTCAAGTCACCCGTGGCCGTCCATCCCCGGGCAGCAAATGTCTTGTCTCCTTCGAAGTCTTCGAAGATCACGCTGTCCTCAGGACCACTCCCGTCATAGATGCTGTTCGCATCTGGCGTGAATGTGGTGCCGTTGAAGTCGCCCACGATATATTGAGTGCCAGAGCCGACGGTTCCTGGCGGGCCACCGGGGTTAAGACCCAGCATGAGAACAAATTTCGTCTTCTTGCTGCCGTCGAGCGCAAGTGGGAAGATACTCGGGCATTCCCAGACTCCACCAACTGCATTGGCCGGTCCGAATTCACTAGCCAAGTCCCAGTGCTTAAGGTCTCGCGAGGTGTAGATCAGGATCTTGTGCAGTTTTGCAAGACTGATCACAGAAACCCAGTGGCGAGTCTCTTCATGCCAGAAGACACTGGGATCCCGGAACTCCAGGTACTGGTCCTGGTATGGAGCGGGAGGGTCGGCGATAACAGGGTTCGCAGCGTCGTATGTAGTCCACGTCATGCCCTTGTCAAGACTATAGGCGATAGACTGCGCTTGCTGGTTTGTTTTGACACGCTTCCCACTTGGCAGGACTTGCTCCATCGGGTACTGCATCATGTGAGTTTATCCGAATCAAAACCAGCGAGTAGAACACACTCACGTAGGACGTATACATTGCAACCCAAGGCGTCTTCCCATTCCGCCCAAACCCACTCGTATTCCGCTCATCAATAACAACTGTTCCAGAAAAGAACATCTCTGTGATATTATCCGGGAAACCCTTCGCACGAAGCGCAACAGGGTGTTCTGTCCAATGCATCAAGTCCCTGCTCGTCGCATGACCCCAGGACATTGCACCCCACGTCGTCCCGCCGGGATTATACTGGAAGTAAAGATGATAGACGCCCTCTTTGGCATCGTACACGAGGCCATTCGGGTCGTTCATCCAGTTCTTCTCCGGGCTGAAGTGGTACTGGGGGCGATAGAGCTCCGTGTAGGCCGAGGGCTTGCTGGGGCGTGCCGCAGCCGAGGCAGACATTCCGAGCAGAAGAGTTTGAATGAGAGTACTGAGCTTCATTGCTGTGTTCTCCTGGGGAGTAGCGGGCAATGCAACAGTAAAAGAAAAAAAGGAGTGTGTGCCGGTTACCTACTTTATGGCCGGGGATGTCCTCGCTTTTATGGACTTCAGCGCGGAACAACTTCACCACATGCGCATCCACTAATTTTCACCGGATGCAATGCTCGGGTTTGCGCCCAGCTGCCCATCGCGGAGGAATGGGGTGGAGACCGAAATGAGCCCGCGCGCTCAATCTACAAGCGTTTCTGGAACCGTCCATTCCCCGCAACGGGGCGCCGGTACACCGAAAATCGCGCCTGGGAACTCACTGTACATGTTCAGAGATTGTGGGGTCGGCAGAGGTAAAGAAATGGAGCGGCTTGGGAATAGCGGGTTTTGGCCTTGCTGAGGAGGTCTCGCGGAAACAGTCAGACTCTCCGCGAGGGGATCACTCAATCTTAGTGGATCCCAATTTGACTTTGCTGCACCCATGGACGTGGTCCTCAAGTAATGCTCTGCATGCAAGGGCCTGTCATATCACTGGGACAATATAGATCTTTATTTACCTGAAGAATGATACCTCCATTGTATACAAATATCACTCATCAGTGTATACCGACATTACATCACATAGCTCTATGTAGACTGGCGATCACTGAAAGAAATGTACTCTCGGAAAAGGCATGAAAGCCTGTGTTGTTTAGGGGGAAGAATTTATCAACTCCTCCATTCTACCATTCTCAGATTAGGAAGCCTCAAATCGCTGCCTCGCCCGCAATGATGATTCTTTCCCTTGTGTGTCTTGCCACCCAGGCTCTAGCCGCGGATATTCGCCCGGTCTGCCACTTCGTCCCAGAGCAAAACTGGATTAGAGGCAAATGCACTCATCAAGATCGATTCAACCTAGCATATGTTCTATCAGCACAACATTACGACTAATGTCTGGGCAACGTGAACTGGGGCACGCAACCATTAGCGACCTCGTCCACTGGACCGACCAAACCCTCCCAATAACCAGCGAGAACGAGACCCGAGCATTCACCGGCATTTGCTATTACGACTTCGAGGATACTTCGGGTCTAGGCACCGCCTCTCCACCGTATCTTGCTTGGTACAAAGGGTATTTTCCCTCCCAGTAGAGTCCAGGGCCAGCGTCTTGCTTATAGCATCGACGACGGGGCGACCTTGGAAAAAATTCCAGGGCGATCCTATTATATCTCCAGCTCAGGAAGGATCACATGATAGCACTACTAAATTGGAGACGCGCGACCCCAGGGTGTTCTGGCACAATTCCTCGGGGAAGTAAATTTAGATCTTTTCGCATGGCGGGCAGAACAAGTATACTTTCTGGACGCCCACTGACGCGAAACAATGGGCGTGTGTGAGTGATCTTACATTGGCAGAAGTACCAAACCTACCATCTGCAGTTGAAGGTTGGTTAGCCAACCTGTCCGGACGGTGGGATGCATACGAATATATGAGCGCACGTAATATGATACTGAACCTGGACTATTACCATTGCATGGCGAAGATCCACGAGGCCAGTCTTGACTGCAGCATGCCGTCGTTGACTAACAGGCCATTGTTATCTAGTATAACCTTGTTCTACCAGGCGTCATGGTCAACCTTGGTATATGTTCGCCTGTGCTGACGCTTCCTTCGTCCGGGATCCTCCTGGTGACTGAAACTTCATTGGATTATTATAGTGCGCTGATTTAAGGTTGTTTGAATCTGCCACGATGTATGCTCACCCTTTATTGACCGCTGTCCTTTCTCTGTTCTGAAGCCCAGTCTAGGATCCGCTTGCACCTTCCTTCGGCTGAAGATCTTGGAGGATGTTCGGTATTTCATTAGAAAAAGTCAAAACACTGTATCAGTATATCTATGTGCAATTTCGGCGTTTCATTGACTGGTATTTCTCTGTTAGGCTTTGTGGGAAGGATGTCTCGCAGGTCCAATGATGTATGTGCTGCTAAGGATGTGCTGCTAAGGAGTTAGATCAAGACATGGCGTCTCACTCCTTCGACTCGCCTGGTTCTGTTCTCATCCTCTTAAATTCAAGGTGCCATATTTCTTAATGTCAACGAAAAAGAATTCATGAGAGAAAAAGAGTATATTTCTTCAAATTGACCACAAGTCACCGAATCTATATTTCTATATGGGGGCGCAGGCAGGACCCAGGGGAATGGGATACTAATTAGAGATACTAAGAGCTTTCCTGTCATGTACATGACCTCTAAAGGAAAGAAAATAATGTAGAGGATGAATTATACACCTGAAATATAGGTAATGAAGAAAGCTATCTAACTAATCATTGCTTCTGCACTGACATTGTCATTCTGGAAGGAATATGAATATATGATCATATGAAACAGAGTTCATATGGGATCTGTGGATTGACAATCAAGATAATTAATCATGAGAAAGTAGAAAGCATTTATCAGGAGAACAACTGTTTTATATACTCTACCTACATTTGGAAGCACAGCCTAACCTGGATGTGAAGCTCACACTGCCGTGATAAAGGCTCCACATAAGCCTCAATGCCTCATTGTGTCCATAGATAGTTCTGCACTAGTGGAGGACGGCAGATGTGATCAACAAAGCCACACTATACAGGACTGTGCTGCTGTGCAGGACAGATGTGACAGGTAGAATCTAAAGGATCACTAATCACTAAACAATCATAAAAGAATCACTGAGCAATCTAGAGAAGCAGTTAATCCAAACAGACCTTTGCAGGAAAACTATACAGTAGGGCATAAGTGAACAGTTATCCTGCGAATGTAACATATGATGTGGTAGATAGGTACACCATAGATGGTATATCAATATCGTGAACATCTACCATCATACCATTATACCAGCTACCACAGCTACCAGCAGGAAGAACACAGATATATAAGGACACTCATTACCACTGTATCTAGCAGGTTTTAGTTCCTTGCGTTCAATATTAACTATCAATCATTCGCTTGAGAACTAGTTCACTAGTCCCATTTATCAGTTACTCTTTGACATGTGTTGAAATCGATAGTACTAGTTCAATTCGCCAACTACTAGTAATTTATATGGCTAATTGAAAATCAATGAAGGTCTGATTCTTCTAAACGAATGACTATCGAGCTCCTATTTATGCCTTCGATTAGTTAGAGGGCGGAATTCGGCTTATCAAATAAGCGAATATTCGCCGATATTTGGGCGAAATATCGCCGAATATTATCGCCAAGGGGCGGCACGGAGAAATCAAATCACTTCCCAATCGGGCAAGCGGTCATATAATTCAATAACATGCCACTGTAGATACCTCAAGCCTATCTAATATCTATAAAGAAAATTATTATTTTACATGAAATATATGGTAATTATCATTATACTAATCTAAATCGAAAATATTAATTTGATATCTTTAGGGCTGAATAGGTGGTGGTTAAAATTTATTCTCAGACTATGATGATTTATCAAAGGTTGATGTACATATATAAACTACCACTACTTTCATACTAACCCATGACTAAAATGATTATTCCCTTATATCTCACCAACCACTAGATATTTTGATTTGATATTTCATTTTTAGGTTGACTAGATACTAGGCTATCTAAAGTGATATTAAATTTTTTAAAGAAATCCTTAAAATTAGTGATTAGTAAGCAAAATAGTTTCTAGCAGTTTAACTGATGCCCCCTGGATCCGACCCTGACCTGCCCCTAACCCAGTGCGGTCTCTCAATCTAGGACTGAACTGAACCCTTGCAAGTTCGGTGAGGGTCAGATTCGATTTTAGCTGTTCGGTTATGCAACTCTAGACAGACTCTATGCGTATATTCATTCAGGTATGACAGCTTGAGTCATTGTACTATTGTTTCCGTGCCAATATTATGGCACTGAGTCAGCTTCATGATATTAACTAAGTAGCTATTGCATTGCTAGTCCCGATCCAGCCCCCCATATCCTGCATTCACTTGTACCCCGCTGTTGTTTCATTGGGCAGCACTATTGACAGTAAGAAAGGCGTTCAGAGAGTATTCCTCCTAAGCTAATGCCTCTTGGTGATAATTCCGCTGCGGACATGCCTTTGATACATACCGTCCTCTGGCCGCCAGGTGTTGATGGCAGCATTTCCCCATCTGATGAGCACGTAGCTGAAGCTACGGTACTAAAGGGCTTGGTAGTAGAGCCCGGCTACTGGATTCAATTGACAGACTGGTATGTAGTGTGTACGGCGGATACTAGTAGATGAATTGGTACTAGGAAAGAAACACTGCAGCAAGGAGGACGGTCTAAGATTGCGTAAATGGGGCCAAAGTGTTTCCTTATATCAAACAGTTGGAGACCTTTTTGGAGAAAGTAGCTTCATGACTTTGTTGATAGTTCAGCCATATCTCTCAGCCCATCAAGAGCGGTTGCACCATACTTATCTTGTGTACAGGTATCTGCGCCATGATCCTTGACAAGGAGTTTTACTTCCAGATCGTACATGGTCACTGCACGCATCAGTGCGATCTCGCCCTTCCAGTTTGCGCGTTGACATCGACTATCTTGTTCTCCAGGAGGGCCTTCACCAGCTCCAAATCCTGTCCGCGAATTGCAGTCATAAGGGCGGTTTGGCTGTTTGTCCTGTCCTGAATGTTAGGGTCCACGCCTGGCATGGAAAGGAACATGCGGACTGCAGGAATCTGCTAGTTGGAGATCGCTGCTTGGAGCCTAGGATTTGGTTTAGTCTTGCTGGTTTTGAGGAGTATTTGCACGATGTCGTTGTAGTTCTTTTGTACTGTGTAGGGAGGTGGGTACTTGAATGGGTCTACTGTGACCATTTGCATAAAGACATTAGTTTTTTAGGCAAGCAAACCGCAGATAAAGCACACTTACAGCAGCTAAGATTTAGGTCAGCCATGATGGGTATGAAAAATGACATAACAAGCTCGATACTTTAATAAAGGAGTTCTTTCCCTTCGATTTCACCGCCAGACGCTTATGGAG